TCATGCTTTTGTTTTTAATGTAACTAAAGTCAACTATCATTATTATTAATATTATTATTATTATTATTGTCACTATTCTTACCATTATTATTATTATTATTATTATTATTATCATTATTATTTGTAATGACATAGTTTAATCTTGTCAAAAATGATATTGGACAGACAAAAACATAAATCTAAATAGATATAAACTTTTTCATAGTAGTATGTCAAACTTTTTTCAGAAACTTCAACTGCAATTATTTAATTCAATTCAGAAGTTTTTATCCTTATAATAGTAAACCATATAGTAGGGTGATTAGTAATGGTAGTATGAGTAGTAGTAGTACTGTGAGTATTAGTAGTAGTGCAATGAAGTAGAACACAGGTGAGAGAACAACCAAAAGTGTTTTAATACAAATTATCCTAGTATCTTGGTAAAATATGTGAACCATACATAAAATGCTCCATTTGGAAATGTTCTAACAATTGTCTCAAATTTCATCGTTCCTTCATTGCCATAACAATTACTCTCTCTTCCTGTTCATTTCGACTCGATCTTCTCAACCTTCCGATACCAGGCACTTCTCTTTTAAGTGGTGTTATATACTACTTATGTCGACGTAAGTAACATGCACCAAAGTAATAATAATAACATTCAATTTAATTGGGATATATATTATCCAAACCTAACTACTTACAATCCTAAAATTCACTACTGACCTAAAATAAGCGTAGTGTGTGTAAACACGTCAAAATGTTTGATTCAGATCATCAATCGATTGATGTTAGACCACACATTGAAAACTTGGAAGCACTGGACGGCCATTTCGTCCTATTGTACGACTCCTCAACAGTGCACATCCACGATCAAAAAGTTAATAATCTTTACAACCCCATCCTGATAATCCACTAAATATTTTAGCGAACAAAGTCAATGGAGGTGGAAACTGTCTAATAGAGTTGTATTCAATAGTTTAAATATACGATTAGAAATAATTCTTATCAATTGTTAAAAATGCTGAGTGATAGGATACAGAGTTACATGTAATTTGACAAGTAATTTTATTTTGCTACATCCTCTTGAATACAGATTTCTAATATCATTCCATACATTTATCACATGAGTTTGCTCTATTTTTCAAACTATATTCTCAATTTTATGCGATTGCAGAACAATAAATAAGAACTTTCGTCTAAGTTTGAACAAATAATTTCACAATATTTGGGCGCCGAGTTAATGTGAGTCATTAAAGAGGAATAATATATATTTGTAAAATCTCAGCGAATGAATTTCAAGTAAATCCAACGTTTCTCCTGGCAATCTGGTCCAAGGAAAATAGAGTTTCCTTGAAAAAGCTTGGAGCAGATTGCCAGGCGAAACGTTGGATTTACTTAAAATTCATTCGCTGAGATTTTACAAATATATATTATTCCTCTTTATATTCTCAATGTTTTATCCTTCTTACCATCATTACTCATATCATTATTTAAAATCTGTTGTTAGTCATTTCATCAATTTTGTTTTGTCAAGTTAGTTCAGTATGATAATTTCGGGCCTCTGAATATTTGTTATACGTTTGAAGTTAGTTATAAATTGTATATTGACTTGACTGAAGGCATTCTGTGTTACAATTCAAAATTTGTAGCAGCGATTCAGTTGGATCTTTTTTTATCTTTTCTTAAATCTCCAATTTATCCCTGTCCAATATTTCTCACTCTTTCATTTCACTTGAACGTTTCGTATCATACATCTTTTGCTTAGTTTCATAATACAAGTGATATTGTTATTCTTTCCTAGTCCGTTTTTATTTTATTAGTTTCTTCTCATCCTATACTGATTTTTCATATGAAACCATGGATAGATATGCATTAATATCACAGCCTATGTCATCTGTGACGGACTGAATAACTAAGTAATAGTATGGTGAACAAGAACGCGAGTGGCGACAAGCGAATGTAGTTGACACGAAATTACAGATCATCTCGCTAAAATATGAGAACCATCCAGTAAATGGTTAGTTTGCGAACTATCAACCCATCGTCTCAAACCTGACTGTTCCTTTTGCGGATATCAGCCCATTGTCTCATATTTCATTCTTCATGCATTTTCATACCGATTGCGTTCCATTCCCGTGTTTTCCTCATCGATCTTCTACTGAAATACATCCTATGCCTGACCACCATTCTATACTACTTATGGGGATATAGGTAACCTACACCACAATAGTAACTATTGTATTTAATATTCTTTTAAAAATATCACTTTGTAAAAATGTTTTAAAAATAATCACATATGGAAATGACATATAGTTTAGTTTGGAAAGTCAAACTGTATGAAACTGTTCATCCATTTGTCGACGTAAAATGTTCTTCCTTTGGCCCTGAGGGCCCTAGATAAGGGTTTCCCTTGTGACGCATTTGGGTGCTTTTCTCAATGTGTGTGCTATCCATTTCCAGCGCTTCTTCCCGATTTCTTTCTCCACTGGGATCTGATTTGTTCTCTCCCACAATAGGTTGTTGCTGATAGTGTCTGGCCAACGGATCTGACGTATTTTGTGTAGCGAACTGTTAATATACACTTGTATCTTCTGGATGATGGCTTTCTCAGTTCTGCAAGTTTCCGCCCCATACAGTAGGACTGTCTTGATATTTGTATTGAAAGTTCTAACTTTGGTGTTGCTTGACAGTTGTTTTGAGTTCCAGATGTTCTTCAGTTGTAGATATGCTGCTCTTGCTTTACCGATCCGCGCTTTGACATCTGCATCAGATCCCCACGTACTCCTAAGTGATGCTGTCCTGATATGTCCTTCATTCTGTTTAACAATACTCTGTCGAAGACTGTTCCTGGTATTGGGAGAAGAGTGATGCATCTGTCGCTCTCACACTTGCTGAGATAGCCTTTCTTCGGTATCTTGATTAGGTGTCCTTCTTTCCAGTCTGTTGGTACTTGTTCTTCATCTCAAATTTCGCTGAAGAGAATGTTGAGTATCTTTGCAGTTACTGCTACGTCTGCTTTTAGTGCCTTTTCTGGAATGTTGTCTGGTCCAGCTATGAGGAGTTAGGATAAAGATTTACGGTTGAATGTTAGAATTAGGAATTAGATTTAATGTTTTCATCATGAACTGACATCAGCTATAATACCAAAATGGTATTTAGCTAAATGAGTGAATGAATTTCTCGCCAAAATCCAAGATCTGCCACCTTAAATATGAATGGTTCGTTCATAGATTATAGTCTCGTCAAATAAACATTTTTTTTAATTCAATAAAATCACTAAAACAATAGTGGTATAAAAATTAACAGAACCATTTTTCATGTCGTTTTCTATCAAATCAAAGATATAATCAATATCTCTCACATACAAAGACTACTATTATTAGCTCGAATCAAGACAAGTTTGAACCTTATTCAAAAAATTAAAAAAGTACTAGTGATGAATGCATTACTTTTGTCTATCACATCACAACTGTCGACTATACATCAACAATATTATTTTATATTAGTTCAGCAGAATCTTCATTCAACATTGCATTCAGTATTTAATTTTACTAATTCAATGTTAATTAATAAGACTATTTACTAATGAGTTTGCAAGTATCATTACCAAGGTTTGACTTGATAATTTCGAATAAATTTAGCATTGGGTAGATTGTCATGACTAAATAACCAATTTTGGTTTGGTTATTTATTCTCTGAAGAAGTAGATTACAGTAAGTTGCGAAACGTCAGAAAATCTAATTTTTCTACTCATTTAGATATTACAAATATATTACTTATTTATGAACTATTTACGAACTCACGTATAACACTATCTAGAAATATTTATTTATCCATAACTATAATAAAAGACAAACTGGGCAACTTGAATAATCAGTATGGAATGAATTATTGTAAAATGAAAACTTTAAATATTTTTTTTCAGATCCTCAGCCTCTGAGTAATTTTAAATGAAAACAGATTTCGAAAATAAATGCACATTTTTAATTGTACACTTCTTATATAAACTAAAATCAAGAAGTAAAAGTCATGACCAAAAATGGTTGTTGAAAGATTTCCCCATATACAGTTTTCATTCAATTAGAATTTAGTCATCTTGTCAATATAAAAACAAAGCATACGCTTGTTAGTATTTTGCTGATCGCCTACTGACGTAATGTGTAGCAATATCCTTTAAATTCTAGCTAAAAATAATTTCATGATGTATTTTCATAGTCACTCATTAAAATTTTCTGAATATATAAAAACTTAATTAGTGACGTAGAGAAGTCGAATAGAATTAAGCTTGGGTTAAGTATAAATATTTTCCTATTCTCAAGTGATTTCAAACCGAAATATATATTAATGTTTTCGTGAAGCATTCACCGAAAGTGGCCTATCTTGAACGTTATATGGATTTGCATTGTTATCATTAAATTAAACGAATAATGAACCGCTTTTAACAATATTATCCGTGAATACATCATTTATTTTGGTAAGTAAACGAGTAAGCACATAATAAACTATCAACTTACCGGAAAGAGTCATGATCTACGTTTGATGGTAGACGTTTGAAAACAAGGAGTGACGATGTGCCCTTCATGACTTGAGGTTTCGCTGATCGACATATCACCGCATTCTTCAAGTTAACAAGAACGCTTTTAAGTTCACAATCGCATGTGTAAAATATGTTTAAAGGCCCTTCATAATCCACAGAATGTCTTTCAGACAGTTCAGGTGATGCAAGTGCTGCATTTTCCGACACAGACAATTGCTCTTCAATGGTTTTCAGGCCATTCATGATCAGTATGTACAGCAGGCAAACGAATCTAGTTAAGATAACGTCCAACTAACAGAATCGTTATGTGAATGGTCAATACATAATTCATAATTGCCATAAAAACCTGCGATTTTCCAAAGTAAACTGCTCGGTAGATAACGTTCCATGAATTTTTGATTTAATTTACGTTAATCATTTTTCAGTGTCGTTTTAACTGCTTTGCGACATCGCGGCCAATTTATTTTATTCTGGAGGCGGCTTTTCCGGTGTATTCAAATCTGGTCTGTTCGTTTGTTAACGTTGTATGTTTATTCCATGTTACTAAGATATTCTTCACTACTGTTTTAGGGCGGTTAGATGAATTAAGGTGTGAGCTTTTTATGTAGGTAGCTCTGTCGGCTGAGCACTATAAGAACGTCCCTTCTCACTCACAACAAACTCATGTATTCTGTTTAATAAGGTTCTGAATCGTACTTAACCATGGCTTCAGACCACTAGTTTTCCTTTAATCGCTCACCTAGATTTCCGATCTTCATAAGCTCATTTTCACCAATATAAATTGCTTTTACCTACTATTAGTGAATTCACCTTCAGAGTGTACACTCAGAGGAACGTTCCTCTGACTTGTAAACTCTGAAGGAAATCCTGGAACTCTGTATTTCTTGTATGTTTGCAATCTGATAAGAGTTTACAGCAGCTTCCCAAAAATCCGTCTTAGACACTGTCTATTAGTTAGTACTAGCCACTTAACCAAACTAAAATTAGTGGATTTATGTTGAGACCTGCTTACAGGTCAAAACTTGATTGCTGCATCCAAATCTATTATTGTCTTAAAAAAGTGAGAATACCTGACTCGTAATACATAAAACTATTGCACTTGTGGACTTATGTCACTAAGTGCAATCATTAGCATTATTAAAGCACTAAAATGAAGTCTACTTTAAAGTACTCAGACTACTGACACATTCCGGCCATTCGTTCCCCGTAATACATTCGAGAAGTGCTCAAAAGGCGAATCAAACACGTGCAACCTGCACGTCTTTTCATTTAATGCTTCACCAATGTAATGAGATAAATACTTAAATGCCTTACAGTGTAATCGCTTTTTGACAAGGTAGTAAATATCTCGTCTGCCCCATGTATAGGTTGTCAATGGGCAAACGGGGTTTTTATCTGTATGGAGGTCTGGTCACTCACCAACCTACAGCAGCTCATATGACATCAAAAATCAATACCCTCGGCTACTGTGCCTAGCGTCAAACTAAGCATTGATCGACCGAATTCAAAACATTTTGTACTCAGAATAGGTTAAGTGTACGTCGGAAATTCTTTTTTGCCACCTAGAGTCTCCAGAAAGCTGCATTTCATCCTCACTTTCAGCAATCATGATAATACCATCTTTGATTTCCAATCCAACAAGGTATTTTTCACACATGACGTCAGCCATTGGAAAGCCAAATAAGAAATGCTTGACCCCCAAAAGCATATCTAAAGTGAGACCCAAATATAACTATTAAACGATACGTTTGAAATCAGGTATCCTATGATTTAGGTCTCTTCCGAAACTCGAGAAGTGGTCCCCTAAAAAAGTACCTGCTTCATTTTGGGCACCCGGGCAGTATTCCAGCCAAACTAAGTCATTTATGTGGCGCATATATATTTGGTGCCTCCTCGTACCGATGTTATGTTTAAATAAATAAATAGAAACACAGAGTTTTTACTCCGGTTAGTTAACCTAGGTACTGTTATTTTGTTTAATTAAACTTGACATCAATTTGGGGTGGTGATAAATTCGACAGAAAGATTGGGGAATACGTTTTCTTTGTAACATTTAACTTTGCTGATTTGAATATCGGTTGAAGAACTAATTTAATAGTTGTGGGCTATCATTTATCATAGCGCACAACATCCTGTATGATGAACCACTGATTCCTTTGGTATCTCATGATTTAACTTATTACTGAGTTAGCACAACAACCACTATAAAATTGTTTCGATAGTTCGAAAATCATATTGGGTCAGTTTTCATTCTCGATATCAAATCCGCCAGGATATACCTGGAGTTATAACATATTTATCGGATATACATTTCTAACATCTAGCAACGATATGTGATTCAATTAGTGTCACCATCTTGAAATATCGACTTCAGTAACTTGGTTATATTTCACAAGTATCATCCGAGAGACTTTTATAACCCCCATTATTTGCTGATGTTGGAATTGGGTAGGAAAACCAACAACAATCATTTCATAATAGCTGTGGTATGAAAAATAATTTTAAGAGACTGACATCTGTTGACTTATCAGAGTTCTCCAGTCGGGGTCTTAATTACTGTTCAACTCGGATACTAGGGACGTTGTCAGATATGACTCAGTAAAAGTTAATACCAATCGTTCTGCAGCATTTTATTGCATCCTTCATAATTGAGTGATGGTCCTTCTTCTAGTTTTCTTGGTTATACTTTTAACTAATCTTCATCTCTTAATAAATACTACTTAATGATTGTACTGCTCTTCTCTTTTATTTCGTCACACTATCGACTTTTTTGTATCACCGAATATACGCACTTGATTTTAACCACCGAGTTTAATTTAGTGTGACTCGTCGAATATCTGCGGATTCATTATCTAGTCTTCATGAGATTGCAGGTGTAAGGATAACAATAACTCTCATAGCGTGAAATTCACTCCCTAATCAGTAGCCGTCTATGTTTTCGGTTTTATGTTTCTATAAAAGTTCAGAGGGACCCTAAATTATGACATTTGCCGATCATAGTTTTCCTGTATATACTCATTAAATTGAATGTAAACAAAGTCGGTGCTGAATCTCATCAAAAGTTGTCATCGCATGGGCTCTAGGATCCTGAAGGAACAAATAGCGTATGAACCAATCGTTGGTCACCGGCTACCATGGGACTGCATCTCCTCACGATGCTCCACTGCCTTGTGGATCAGACCTTTAGGTCGAAGGCTCCAGGTGTGGTCCCCTAAGAAAACCACCTGCTTCGGTTTGGGCATCCGGACAGTATCGCAGCCCTCGCACAAATCAAATGAGATTTGTGTGGCGCATATGTATTTGGTGCCTCCTTGTACCAATATCTATGTTTTCAAATAATAAAAACCATTAAGTCAAGTTTAAACATATAGTTTTATTGAAATATAAACTCAAGTAATAATTATTAGTATGGAAGTTGTGGATATTGTTGAAATTTGCTATCATGAATCAACGTAAGTTATTTAATATTTATTTATTTATTTAAACGCATAAACATTGGTACATGGATGCGCCACACAAATGATTCAGTTTGTTTAAGGGCTGGAATGCTTCCCGGGTTCCCGGACCGAAGCAGGTGCCTTTTTAGGGGGCCAATCTCCGTGCTTTTGGCCCAAAGGTCTAATCCGCAAGGCACTAGAGCAACGTTAGGAGATGCAGTCCCATAGCAGCCGGTGACCAACAATAAGTTCATACTCCATTTGTTCCCTCGGGATCGTGGAGCCCATGTGCACCGTTGGTATGGAATCAGGGTTTTCCAACTCCCCTAGGTGGATCCTTAGTATCGACCAACCCGGTTAAAGCGCCGGACATTCGCTCCACTTCCTCTCAATTTCGTAAACAACAACGATGCTACAAGAAGACAGTGAGTAAGCCTTCTTTGATAGTAGCCATGTAGGAACATTTCGAAATGGAGACAACGTAAGTTAGGTAACTATGATTGTCACTTTCAGGCTATCAGTGTGTCTTGACGACAAACCTACGGAATTCGAGAGGTCTGTAACAAACTCAAAGCGATACGGAACATCGAAACATCGCATTCTGACTCTAGAAGTCCTTAAAGACAGTAATCGAAAACTAAACGGCGATTATCAAAGGAGCAGGTTATGTAATGGCTAGAGTCAACCAAACCGAGGTGTAACATCGGTCCATCAAACTGGGAACTTCCTGGCTTGGTGAGTTCAAGGCTGATTCCAACTACTCAGATTTACTGATTATTTACTTTCCTCTAAGTTTTCAGCGTAGCGTTCTTTGAAACTTTAAACTCTTCTTTTTATTTTGTTCCTTTTGAAATATGTCTTATGTTAATCTTCCTATAATTGATATCGTTATTCCTCTTCTGTTTTTCCTCGTTTTTGATTTGTCTTTCATTGATACTCTGACATGTAGGAACTTGGTTAAATACATGTTTCTGCCAGATTCTGTGTTGTCTGTGATTGGCTAACTTGTCGATCAACATGGGATTCCTAAATTGTTTGCTTCTCATTTTACTACACGTCCAAATGTCTATTCCAATCAATTTCTTATATTTGTTAATTTTGTCTCGCTATGTTCAGATCGTGTTTTGTTAAAAATTCAGTTACACTGGGGTTACTTTTTGGAATTATCAGAGCATAAAGTCGTCAATCCACTTATTATTACCACGTCGCTTGGGCTAGTGTGCGCTTATCGTTGTCTGTGCTAGAAGATGCAACCCAATAATCACACAGATTTGTGTTCTCGACCGTAGCTGATGCATATTATAATATTTAATATGTGACTATCCTAGCTGGGGTGGTTCAAATCCCTAATCTGATAGCAAAAAAGAAAATCGCCTAGTCTATTGATCTACAATTTCGAATCTATACATATAAACAAACTATTATACCAATTCATTTTCCCCCTATTTCGCCCTTAGGTACCATATCGAAATGTCTATGAATCAAAGTCATTCCGCAAACGGCAATGGTGTCATTCTGTTTTATGGAGAAAGGTATATGCTCAAATCGAGGTTTTAAGTAAATCAATTATTGTGTTTCAGGATGTTAATTTATTACGATGGATGTCATGTAGAACTCGAGGGTCAGTTTCTCAAGTTTTCACATATGGGACGTTTGTACCTGACTTCACATAGAGTAACTAATTTCACATAATTATCTTTACCAAATTTTAACAGGTGATTTTTATCAACAAAAAAGCGTCATCAGGAGTACTATCATTCAGTATGCCATTTGTTAATATGAAAGAGGTTGACATTAAACAACCTGTGTTTGGTGCGAATCGCGTAGAAGGCATAATTACGGCTGAACCGAATGGTGGCTGGCAGGTAAATTAATTACTATCTTTGATTGATCCTCCTACCTTCTTAAAATACTAATTTTTGAGCTCACGTTAATCCCACATATGTAATTTAAAATCGTGTGTTTTCACAATCCATTGATTGTTGGAGTTACAAAGTAGATTCACTATATGTAACACATCGCTAGACTAGCTGACCTGTAATTAGTCTTACTTAGAACATCCTTTTGCCTAATAAATGTTTTGTAATGGACACAGATGTTTTAAGTAATCATAAACCTGTGTAATTCATTTATCAAATACAGGTTTATATGATATGATCACTTGTTCCTATAATAAATAATTCAGTGTATCAACCATCGTATTACTTTCACCAGTGAAACATATTGACTATAGAATTTAAATATACCTCTAGCAATGCATAAATTCTCGTAGAACTAATTTTCCTCAGCCTCCTGTCGATTGTTTCCAACCATTAAAATATAAAATATTGTTCATTACTGTGTGAAGTCATCAGACTTGGTAGATGTATAACAATTTATCAATATTATAAAATCATCACAAAGATATGAATGATACCTCATACTTCTCATTTAATATTAGTTGAACTGTTCAGTGAATATTTACCAAGCCATTTTTGATTTGAGGGTTTCGTCATTTGTCTAATGTATTAATTCTTTTTTGGACATTTTTAACTCGAAATTTCCTGTTATATGGTAGACTAATTAGTGGCGGTTGTTTTTAATTCACGTTTGTAAGTAATACAACTAAAACAAATAATGATTGTTTAAGTTAGACTAATGAACTCTTATGATACTGTGACTTTCAAGGTTAATGTACTGGTCTACTGTTAAAATGTAACAGAACTAAAACGTATACTTATTTTACGAATCGGTCAATATTCACACTCAGGTTTTAATGCGTAAAACTAAAAGTACATATACAGTACAGAAACTCATCTATATCAACCGTAATCAATTTTCTTCTGGTCTATGAATAGTTTTTTTATGTTTTCACATACTTAAGACTTCCCCATGCATACGTTCGTCAACAGATCAACGAAATCATTTTTATGTAGTAAGAGTATTCCTCTATTCCCTGTACATTACTCATAACATGATTAGTCTGAGAATTAATCTATAGTGTGAACATCATCACCAGCACCAGAACAAATATATCCATATTCCGTCGGTTGTCTTTTTTCTGGTCAATTGAACAAGTTGTAAATATTCCATAATCTTATTTGAAATGTGATTGAGATAGTAACACTGTATAGATCGTTACAATGAAACTTAATATCCACTTCCCCAAATCTTATCGTCTTAGCAGTTTATCATAGTTTTATCTAATTATTCAATACACTTCAATAAACACATATATGATTTTGTGTTATAGGCTTTTAGCAAGTGATAATACCCTGCTACGTAAACGTATAAGTAAACAAATTGTAATTTCAACTTCCAACCCAATCGCTTAGAGTCTAATATCACCAAGTCTTAATTCCATTTATTGTATTCTGGTTTACTATTTGTTATATTTCCCAGATTTTCATCATACATTCAAAGTGTCTCGCTCATTTTTTCTTCTAAGGGTGAAGCGAAATTCTCACTAACATTCAAAAAAGGTGGTGCAATTGAATTTGGCACAACATTAATCGAACTAGGCAGACGTGCATGTTCTGCAAAACAACATTTCAAACCGCCAAATGCATATTCATCTGTAGCAGATATGAATGGTGCAGGTCAGTATTATGCTTGTCCACCACCAGCTTATTCCGCGCCTTACAATGATCCATACTATGGATTTGTACGACCACATGAAGCATTCACTGTACCTCAAGGTAAGTAGTATCTTCTCCCTCGCTCTTCTTATCAACTCGTTCTTCATATTTACTGATTAATGAAAGCAAGTAAATACAATTTTTTACTTATCTAAGCTTATATTATCATTGTTATTGTACCAATTAATTGTTGGTTAGAGGCCTTAAGCGATTCGGCTCAGAATCGTTCCTAGTGACATAGATGTGTTTATTTTTTGTCTTCGTTTAGAAATTGAGTCCCGAAATCTCATTGTTTTCTACTACTTCTGATTATGATGTTACTACAACTACTACTTTGGGATTTTTCTTGAAATAGTTTTACCTTGTTGTTCTGATCTACTATAGCAGGTTTTGTCGATGCACATAAGTGTTAGAGTCTACATTGCCCATGGCTGACTGAAATAATTGTTAAAACTAATATTAGTAGTAGTAGTAGTATCATTTTATGTTCGTAGTTTAGTTTCCTTAATGAATCGATTCAATAAAACTAATGTGAGTTTATGACTTTACATTGAAACAAACTACAACCATTTTAAAATGGATCCACCAATTTTATTTATTAAATTTGTACAGACGATCTTAACATTATTAACTAACAATTTATTCGAATGAATGACCTACATATATAGAGGAAGGTAGAATTTCCCTCAAAATAGAAAAGAATTATTAATTCTGTAACGTTTACAATAAATTAGCCCCTCATTTATATACAATGTCTCACTGTTTTCGTAAATTTTTATTTTTTACAGCAGAAACACTCTACCAAGTCAGAGCACCACCTCCATATCCTGGTGCAACACCTACCACAATGGCTAATGATTTTGGACCTACTGGTACAAGTCAGTACACAACACCTTATCCTACTACCTCGACAACTATAGGAGGGAATGCACCATATCCAGTTACCAACTCAAAATATGAATGTAAGGGATTTTGTATTTCAAATTATTTTATTTTAAGAGTTTATCACTTATCAAGTTCTCACTTTTAGGGGAAAATCCGATTTCGTAATCTGAAAAGACTTGGTGCTATCAAAATACTCTTAATGAGCATACGATCCAATTATATTCATAGGTTTATCCGTAATCTCTTATGTTTTAGACACTAACTACATCCATGTAGAATGATTCAAAGTGTAGATAGAACAAAATATGGTAACAATATATATAGCCACGTTAAACCTATCAGGTGATCCTATCAGTAACCCCTTCAGATAGAAGTTTGTGCTGATGATTTTGTTCAGAAGAACAATGAAAGCTCCACAACCAAACCATCCAGATCAGAGAAGAAAACCTAACTCACCCACCTGAGCTATAAATCTTCATCATTTTCATTTGTATTATATAACCTTCTTTTTAATGTTATCAGCCTTTTATATTAAAACATTACTGTGATGATTGTTTGGCAGTGAACTTGAGTAGAAAATATCTATCTTAAAGCATTTAACTAGAAAGTGAATGCTAGTATGTTACTATAAGTTGTTCGCTATGTTGAATTTAAGGTTTGTTATTCGAGCAGACCTTATACTCGTATCTAAAAACTATTTCATACGTTTCAAATTAATGTTACTAGAACTGGCAGCTATTTTCAGCCTGGATATAATTAGTCTTGTACTGGATAAACCAGCTCAGGATTATACATTAGCTACTACACCGAAATGTTTTACGGTTAATGAATTGTGTTTATAGAAATTATTCGTAGCAATAGTAATTTAGTTTATAGTTCTGCTTCACTCTACTCGTAATTATTCATAAACATACTTATCAGAGTGACTTACTTCAGGAGTAATGCTGTCCTAATAAATTTCATGCTTCTCTGTTCAATAATAATTTAGATGATGTTCACATGATGTGGTTCATAGCTTCCACATAATAATAGTCTTTTTGCAAAATTATTTCTTGATCTTCAGCCTACTTTTTCAACGCTTGTTTATTTCTTAGATAATGTTTATTTGTTGATTGGGTTAGATCCTAACTGTTATATTTTAAACATGTATCATTTTAGCTAAATCGAATGAAGCTGTTGCTTTCAATGGTCCTGCCAATGTTGTAAGTGGAGGTTACTACTTTCCAGAAGATCCTTTTAGTGTATATGTACAACCTAGTGCTCCAAATTATCCAGGCAACCCCCCATCCTATCTGGGTAATACTCAAGATAATCATAATCAACCACCTCCCTATCCAACTGAAAACTACAACCAGCAACAAAACGCTTCTAAGAAAAATCAGTAATTAGGCTTGATTTTATTTACCTCATCTTTTTATATTGAGGCAAATGATATCATCTGGTCATTAATGAGAAATTGTGCTAATATGTCTGTCATATTTTTCAACAATTTTCTGATTCATATTAACGACTCGGCATAATGTGTTGGTTACTTTCTTTTCGATTCTTATTTGAACTCAATTATTTTTTGATTCACATAGAAACATCGTTTTGGTTGTTTTCTTCTCGCTTAAGTAAATTATCTGATACCTTGAATTTATCTTTGAGTTTTAACGGTGTCTGTCCATCATTATTCGTAATGGTTCTCCAGAATTATGAGTACCATAAACGACAGGTGGTTGTTTAATTTCTCAGCTAATCTGAGGCAGAATAAGCACAGACCGACAGACTTACCGAACATTCAGCGTTTCTTTTTGTGTACAGGATCTTTGATGAAAAAATATGAAACTGCGAACGAAGCAGTGATAGGATATTTGAATTGGTCAAGGTTTTGTATCAAATGGTAAAAATAAGAAGTTTCTCGAAGGGAAAATATTTCTTTAGTTACGGATATGGTCTTTGAAAATTCAAGTTCGTACTGTTCACGGTGGTGTTACTTCAGATCCAAACAACAAGCTAATATTCAGGCTCTCAAAAAGTTACACCGCTTGTTTGGTCGTCCAGTTTAATTTCCTGGCTGGCGAGTTTTGTTTCACATAACTAAGAATACTGGTCAAATCGCTAGAACTAACGGCTGTATAGTCAAAAATGTACCTAGCGAGTGGTTCGGATTTATTTGACACAGTTATAATCTGTTTGATATGAAAGGCAGAAGGTTAAAAAAGCTGATGATCTGCCTATCACCACTATATTAGATGTACGAATGAATGTTTTCAAGGGCGCGCCCGTCAATTCTGATGTGACCTTACTAATCTCTCACTGATAACGAGGAATATCCATTTTCCACTGACAGATTGGAATACCTAAGAAGTTGCGTCCTATCTTTCTAGTAGGCAACCGTAATAACAAATCTGACAACCATAGTCTTACCGGAGCTGGACTACCGTGCACTAGGTCTAGCTGTCTTGATCAAGTACTCTCGTCCTGTTCTCTTCAACTGAAGCATATGTTGATTCATTTACAAACAGGATTTGTGAAAGAGAAATTAGGAATGATTGTAACCTACTGGAATTTCTGTAAACATCAAAAGGTTTCCATTTCCGTGATAGGCGTATACAAGCTTTCCTTTTTCTACCTTCTTTAAATAAAGAAACAACACAATGAAAGAGGTACTGGGTATTCTGGATATCAGCAGCTATTACGTTACCAGGTAGGAGATTGGTTGGTTAGGATGTGGAAAATAACTCGAGGAAAATCAGCACCCTGGAAGAGAACGTTGTTCCAAGAACTAACCAGCTAAATGAAAAGATTAATTAATCAGTAATGAAAGGTATGAGAAGACGGGAGTCCAAGAATAAAAGGGGGAACGAGGCAATGAAAAGCGATATGGGGGTAATTTGGTGATTCGTAATAATGATATCATCAGGTAGGTTGAGAGACATGGATAAGGCAAAGCTGATCCATGCGAGAGACAATCATCCATGGGTGTGTAGGTGTTTACCAAATATTTTCTTAAGGCTGTGCTCCGAGGGGACTGTGGTCGTTTCATCTGGGAGAGCATTCCAAATGGAGACGACACTTTCCGAAAATGTGAAAGCGTACGTGGGGTTTCGCTCTCTGATTTTCGATCTTTTAGAAGTTGCTCCGATTGGTGTAATGATGACGTCCTAGTAATATGCCTTGTTGGGGTGACTTGGGATATTTAATATGCTGTATGTCATCATCAGATCAATCTTATTCTGAAATAGCTTATCGAGAATAATCCCGGGTGCTGGAGTATTTTTCCATGACATGTATTTCTTGGCCCCTTGACCTACTTACTTGGCAGTCTCTGTTACTGATCTGGGGGATTTACATCTCTTTTGAAGTTATATGGAGCAACAAAGTTGTGAACTTCCAGCTGTACGTTCTAAAGTGTTAGCAACAGTTCTGAGGTGACCCCTACAAGTTTTCCCCGCACAAAATGGAGCGTTGCGTTTGACCTCACCGCATGTATTTTGAGCTAATGTTCCAGCTCTTTGATGTTACTAACTCAAGATCAGGCTCTGAAGCGACAACCGTGAGTGAATTCTAACTGAGAAAGTGAGAGTTTACTGTCAGAATGTCTGTAACAAGACATTTTGACGAATTAAGCTGCAATTGATTGTCTAGTGTTCATTCCTCTAATGTTTCAAGGTCCTTTTGAAGTTTTTGTAACCTGGTTTATTACTCCGAATATGAATAAAAATCTACTTGACAATACATTCTAAAACTAGACTAATCTAGTTTGTGCCTCGGCAGTAATAAGAAACCATATAATGGTTGAATTGGATGAATTTATCTAAGGTACTCATTCATTTAGATGGACATTAAAACTATGAGACGAGAAGTCGAAATAAAATGGGGAGGGCAAGTGTGTTTGTAGGTTCCTGGTTTAATTGGTCAGCGGAGTTGGTATCAAAGACTTCTTCCATCCCTAGGTTGGCAAAATCCTCACCATCGGGCCCTGGTCTGCAGGTTTCCACTTATTCGTAAACCTAAAGGCGCATTTTATATTAGTTTGTATTTGACTGCCAGCTTGGTTTGGAAGTACCTCCTATCTCTTCGAACTTTGGCCTTGAGTCTGTTTCTCAATACCAAATAAGGGTGTAGTCATAATCCTTTAGGGCTACTTGCCACTTACATCGAGCCCTCCTTTTTCCCCGTGTTCCGAGCGTCGTTCTACCAAGAATCTCTTTCTAAGTGTGCATTATGCTTGAGATGCATTGTGTAAAACATTATGCCTGTTTATCTTTACTGTTGGTCTCCAACAATCTGATATCCATGTTGCCTGTTGAAGATGCTCTGTCATAGTCATGTATTCTGCCTTAATGTAATAAAGGTAGGAAGCATTCTCATCCCTCAGAAGTATCTCTTTTGTGACCACGTTGAATATGACTGCAACACTGTTACTACTTTAAACGGATCAGATTATTTATCGGTAAATATTCTAATCCTTACCCAATCTCGCGGCGCCACTCACATATTCAGTCAGTCTCAAAATTCTGATGGCTGTGAAGAGCCGCTTTTGAAACCATCCTGTTTGGTTGATATTCTATTAGCTGAGATTAGGAGATAGAGTGTTAAGATCTCCAACTAAGAGTATTCAGTCAAACTTAAGGTGTAATATTTGTGACGCAATGAACGATTACTCAGGTAGAAACAACCAAATGAATTTTAATACAAAATTACAGAGTATCTCTGTAAAATATGAGAACCATACAGTAAATACTTCATTTGCAAATTTCCAACATTTGTTTTCGTATTCCGTATCTCTCTTCAGACTCACAATTCCCTTCTAATTCTGTATCTGTATTCATTGAATTCCGCTGCCAAGTTTTCTTCTTCCGATTAGTATTACATAGTACTTATTACTACAGAAATAAGTAGCATGCACCACAGTAATACTATAGGGTTATTCTTATCTTTCTGGGCGTTAGTACTTGAGAATGCCAAGTTTAATCCTCCTATCATGTACTGGGTGCTGTTTGCGTCGAAGCAAAAAAAGTATGGTTCTGTTACTCCTGTTAGTTCGGTACTGTCTAGCGTTAAGGCTTTAAAGTGGGTTTAATATGAATAGCCTCTTCGCCTCCAGCTTTGTTTACCCTATCTCGTCGAACAAGTATTATATCTTCAATTCTCACTTCATCATTCTTGATTTGAGTGGAGAGCCGTTTTGGTTAGAACTATGATCTTCAGATTGAACTAAAATCACATGTACCTGATTTCTACTCACTTACCATTTAGTTCTTTCAAGTTGGTGTATAGGTACTTGATCGTTTGTCTCATCATTAGGTGTTTCTCTATGGTAGCATTCATTTTCACGGCTTTGAAAGGATCGTCGTTTATGGTGGGTTAGGAAGTTCTGTAGGAAATGACCACTTCAAGTTTTTGCCTTTACAGCGAACACCATTAGTGAAACCGTAGCCTCGATGTCTCGCATCATGAGTTGCTGGTCAATGGTAATCGACACTATATGGTGTTCCATAGGGTATTTCTGCTGTAATCTTGCCGATATAGTTCGACCCCCATCTTATCTGATGCTGGATATGTCATTCCTCCAGCCATACACAGCCCGAAGGACCTTAGTTAGGTCTTCTTGCCTTCTGAAGTCCACAGCCATCGGACGTGAAGACTCACTGGTCATAAGGTTGAACGGACGAGGTAGCTAAGGCATGTTAATTGTTACAGCAGTGTTAAGAATTATGCTGTGATAGCCAACGTCGCTGCTGCATGCCACATCTGTGAGTTTCGTGCGATGTTAATAAAATTTATTTCGCAAAGTGTATTGAGACTAGAGTTACACTTAATAGAGATGTATTTGTATTGGTTCTGACCATATAATCCTCAAAGCTGAACATGAGACAACTGGGAAAATAGATATTCAAGATTCAACACGGGGACAAGGCCAACAATCGTGAACGCAGGAATATTTATACGTTCAAAGAGACAGCATGGCTCGGCACTGCAGACGTAGTCATTCTGGATGACTTGTCTTTACTCACACTAAATATATCATTCTATCTTTAGCCTAAATATGTTTTCTAGAAACTTCAGACATCATATTGTTATGATACGAGGAGTCAGTGTGGACAGTGATGTGACTTACACGTCAGATCCCATAGATTAAGCAGTCACATCATGACGTATCTGCAGTTTTAGGATCAGGTCTATTATTATAATAGTACTAATAATGAATTAGACCGCAATTCTCCAACATTCAGCAAAGTAACTTTGGTAGCAATTTCGTGTGAATATCATCTATGAAGATCTAGATAGGTCAATTAAGCCTACGCTTGTCAATTGCTCATCACATGTTATCGGGTTTGATGCATTTACACCCAGAAGTTGGCTTTTAAAATATTATACACGAATTTAACCACAAAACGGAGTCCTTTGGCTGAAAGTTGTCTTGGTATATATTTTTATGGTTATGTTGGTGAGTCGTAGCTTCTCCCACACAACAAGAACTCTCTTAAGAAAGTAAACCATCGGAAACTCTGTGTTTATGACAACTGTAAAAAACAACGCTGCTTCCAAATGACGTGCTCATAGTTAAGTATATCAATGGGATAGATGCTATAATTTCTGATTTTGGAGCCGGTTCTGTAAGAACTCATTCACAAATTACGCGTAGGTCTTAGAGGAATACAACATTCACAATGGCTTGTGTCATTAAGTAGGAACATGAACATAAAATACAATAAAGTTTATTACGATAAAACATGACGATCAAACAACAAGCCCATGAAGAAATAGAATGGATTGTAGAACATTCTAACACAGTCCTGGTGCGTAAAAGCAAGCCAAAAACGTGCATCTTAAGTCTTAAGTACAACTTTAGTAACATGCAACTGCAGGATTGTGCGTTGATACTATCATCTAACTCAACCGTTACATAAGTATACACAAACAAACATGACACAGTGAGCATTGGTTCAGCCAAAAATGAGTGTGCGAGCTCCAGAAACACGAATTTCACTGTCAACAAATAGATGTCAATTGTTCCAAAGTTCAAAAGTCATTGACAAATATATTTTTAGAAATGACACATCGCTATTGAACTGCTAATTAGTGTCGGTAATAGTATTTTTGTTGGAACTCGCCCACTGGTCCTGTTTCATATGTCTCACCGATCATTGTTTGTTTCCACATATTCTAGTGCTATAATCGGTCGTTACCTGTGATAAAGCTACGAGTATTTCCATTATAATTTAATGTGACTTTACTCGATGATCTCGAATGAGATGACGTTGTATATGATATTTGCAAATACAACGAAACTCGGTCAACTGGCCATTCAGTAGTCCATTATATATTACCTTTATGGTTGATGTGACAACTTCCAAATCGTGCATTTATCCAGTGCTACATAGTAAGGGTTTTTATGGTAATTCATGAAAGTTTATATTTGGCATGTTGTATCTAGTCTACCTCTGGCCTTTCAATGCATTATTTTAAGATGAACCTGTAGTGGCTTCTACATTTCTATATAAGTTTATTCTTATTAAACAGATAACAAAATCAGACATAATGTAGCAGCTTTCTATTCTACTACTTGGTTCGTAGCTTCGTACTCAAACACATCACCATATACTTGTAATTTTCAACACAATTTACCATATTTGTCTTATTGTATAGGCGTCGTGATTTGCTCCTTGTATATTTATATCTTTTTATGCTCATTAGTATACTTTCGGTAAATGGGTCTTCATTTATTTCCAAACTTTATTTGCAGCTATTTCAACACGCTTGACAAATAGCAATTTGAATTTCCAAATATCTCAGTACCTATGCTACTTTTGCCCACTTACGCTATTGCTTTATATGCTGGTACGGCTGCACGATGTATATCCCTCTAAATATATTTCGTACACAACTTTTTGTTCCTTAGAGTATTATAACTTATGATCGTATGTGCACTGGAGTTAGAAAGGGGACAAAAAACTCAGTGATATATGGATTAGACTCCTTGGTACTCTCAGTGGTCATACCGAACCGGATTGGAGTAAGATGCTTTAAAGTCACTTGACCGCAAGCTTGTAGTGTGGCGTCGAGTCGTCGTTGACTATGATCACCGCTACAGAGACTACGTGCCAGTTAACCGATAAGATCCCCTGTAGGCCGAATATCAGAGGGCAGTTGATGGCTGCATTCGAGATGTACTTGTTTGCGATCTCGTGGTTTCGAAAGAATACTGAGATCGTGCCAGGTTACAAGTGTGATTACTGGGCGTAAATGAATCCGCGCAAGGTCACAATCAAAGGAAGAATGTATGTATATTGGTACAGTTAAACAAACAAGTACTGTAAAACAATCCTTGGTACAATCGGTTATAATATTAATTGTTTCCATCACACCAATCGCGTTCTCTTGATAAAAGTAGGTCACTATAAGCTAAACTCATGGACCTGCATGCTGTTCTGATTGAAAATATTACTCCGATATTACCAGTTAAATAACTGAACCTCACTTGTCTCTGACTTCAGTAATTCTAGTGTACTGAACTAGATAACGGTTTATTTTCAATTACCGATACCACTTTTCGTGCTTCTACCAGAAATCACATTGCTCTTACTATATTTCACTCGAAATTCCAAGTATTCTAGCTTTTGCTAAAGTTATTTTAAAAATGAATGTAGTCTCTTCGTCGAATGAGCGTTTTTTCTCTATACATCAATTAATTATAGGGATATGGAAAATCAGTAAAAAATACATTAGAAGCCTGTTATCGATGCCGTTAGATTCTCCGAAAAAAATTTAGGTATAGTTCTCGACTATAAATGATTGTATTCATGCTAGTACGACAAAGGTTCAAAACTCATGTGCAAAATAAAACGTTTGCTGACTATAGTCGAAACTGTTAAGTCGGTTACCACGTTAAGCTCACATAACGTATTCTAGCTTCTGGACAGGCCAATTTTTCCATTCTTCTTGAGTCACGTTTTGACCTTATTAATTATTCGCTTATCAACAATGACTTTTTATAGGAACGTATGTGTGTGTACATATTATTCTACTCATCACATATATGTCGATTATTTTTGTTACTGTAAATACTGACAAACGCTTGATTAAAGGTAGTTGTCGTACAAACTTTCTCAACTTCGCGTCATTTCGCTTTGCTCTCTTCTTTTTGCTTTTCCGATCTTTTGTCTGGATCAACGATTGTATGAAATATACGTATTCGAAATTCATCCTCGTATTTGACTTATTTGGTTCCGTTATCCACTAACGTGTAATAAGTCGATAGTTATATACAAGGATTGGCGATACGTATATTATCAATAATAATCAACTGTACGATCTAACTGTAGTAAGATCCCAAGCTACTAATAAACCACCATCCTATGTGTTTTGTCGATTCCAAATACATGAGAACACTATCAAGACATCTAACAGGTTAAGTGCTACACTATCTATTCTTACGACAAATAGACCGTTACACATATTCCCTCATTCTAACAGTCTGCTGCTAAAATTCGGTGTGCAGAAGAGCTTAAAAGATTAGTATTTAACAATTCATCACGAAAGGTACAAATGAAAAAAATTTTCTCAGTCTGCCAGTCATAGAGGTCCTTATGGAAAATTTATAGGTTGCTCATCTTTCGAAAGTGAAGTTGAAATTTTTAGAAGCTAGATTCCATGGAGAATAAAGCACTGTAATTGCCTTCAATTTTCATGAGTTGGAGGTAATTACAGTAACTGTAGAAACTACTTTATATTAACAAATAAGTAATAACAGTGAGATCCAAACTGGAAATTTCATATATTTACTAAGAGCTCCACTTCCAATACACAAGAAAAATCTAGTTCGTAATTGCTAGGACACTAGCAGTTTGTTTATGTGCGCTGAAACTTGAGGCAGTATTTTAACGTCTTCCAACCTGGCGAATGTCATACCTGTCAAAATTTGATTGCAAATCAGCTAGAGTTAAAGGTAATGTCTTTTAGTTTCGGGGTAAATTACTAATTCAGATTTGTCAACATAAAGTAAATTTTCAGTTAATCTGTGGTTCTTTCAGGGAAAATGTATCTGTAGTTGTAAGAGTGAATATACGTTCATGCGAGTTTGCATAATAAGGCATTCATTCATCTACCCGCCTATTTCCCTTTTAATACTATGAGCTTTTCCTCCTCATCTAAGTATTTTATGATAAAACCTCACACTTGATTTTATTTATGTTTGAACAATGTCATGTTCATATCCAACCCGCTAATATTTTGAATAGACCCTACTCATAAACTGGGTAAGTCAATACAAAAGAACATTCAAGTGTTTGTGGAAAACCGCATCGTTTTAGCTGTGCTACATACTACGATTAGTTCATTCCAAATATTTTCATTATAATTCCAATATGGATTTAGAATAGAAACCATTGTTTTGGTTATAACGAATAAAATATCATACCATAGTCAGAAGTTACTCCAAGTTGGCTATTGTTGATAAATCGCTCGCAACATGACTCTGGGAAGTCTTATTTACAAATAATCTTGTTAACTAAAGAGGTAGACCTTATTTTGATATTATTGGAAATGTGCCATATACAAAAAATTTGGTCTAGTTGTGATAATTCTTAAGATGTAAATGTAGGTTCAGATTTTAGTACTCTTCTTGTGTTGTGTTACGACATACCTGTAGTTATTTTGCTATTCCCATCACTATGATAGTGTCAATCCAAAATGGGTTCTGTTCAGTATCTGAAAGGTGAAGCCGAAATATGACAGCTGTACTAAGTATTGTCTTACTCAATACCTTCACTGACATTCTAGGGTGGATGCGGAACTTAGGTTTTATTATATTTGTGGGGGGTATTGTACCAGATACCAATCCAACAATACCAAGCAGGTGCCTTGTATTGTAATATTTAGACTAAGTCAGGGTGATTTTCAGTTGTGTTTCAAGTTGTTCTGACCTCTTTGCCCCAATCATTTGAAGTGATAGTCCCATTATTATTCCCCATCCTTATGTACAAGTCTGCACTTAACTTTTCCAACTCTCCTGAACACACAGTTAGTTGCGACATGTTTGGTATTTTTATTCATTACCAAAATTGCTTGCTACATGCTTTTCCAGTGGTGTGTACTATTTGTTCCAGACTTTTCATAACGAACTAAATTTGTAAATGCTTCAATTTATAGGATTAGCTTTCCATCCTAAAAGACCATGGATTCTTAGCAGTTTGCATACAGGAATTATACAGTTATGGGATTATCGAAGTTGTACGCTTATTGAAAAGTTTGAAGGACATGAGGGTCCTGTTCGTGGCATCGACTTCCATGCCAATCAGCCTCTGTTTGTTTCAGGTGGAGATGATTATAAAATCAAGGTATGGAATTACAAACAGCGAAAGTGTTTGTTTAATCTGATTGGTCACTTGGACTACATAAGAACAACATTCTTTCATAAAGTAAGTTGTCTTATAGTTTACTAGTGACTTGTGTTTAGTTTTTTTCATATAAAGTACTCAATTGTGTAGATTCCCTATTTCACAAATGGTTATTTCATTGGATTAATTGGATATTAATAAATGGTCTAAAACATCTTACTCTGGACTGTGATCAATTAGTGCACTGAAAACATTTAAATAACCGCTATCATACTATCCACACACTTTTTCATTTCTAGTAAAGCCTTTCTGGTGAACGAAGTACCAATCCCTTTTTTCTTTAGGATTTAATCCAATACCTCCATTTTGAAGTGTCAAGAAAGCATTCACTCAGATCTCAGATACTCGTTTAGTGGATCGTAGTGATTCACCGTACTAGCCAAGTTAAATTAATGGAGCAACTGGGTTATATATATCTTCGAAAGGTAGTATCCATCATCTGAAATATTCAGGTTTTATCCAAAGAAACTTTTTGCAACATAACGTTTTGACGTTAACAACTAATATTTTCTTAAATTTATTAACCCTGTATATGTTTATACATTCATCTTTAAAGTTTTCGCATGACGAGTGATTTTACTTGACTCCTTAAATCATTGTAGACCGAATAATTTCCGGAATTGCTGATCAAGGCTTTAAAGTAGACTTTTTTCACATTGAACCTCTATCCTAGTACACAATTTTCGTAAAACGTTTTAGCAAACATGAATGGTTGTTCCGTAGATTGTAATCGTTATTGACAATCACAGAAACAGTAATTTGTATAAACTAAGATCGACAATAATATGAGGGAAATGGTACGATGGATACAAAGAGGCATGCTTATGAGCAGGACCTCAATAACGAGGCTGATTTTGCAGAAGAATGCAAAGGTCAATTTTGGTTAGTGCACAACTTTTCTCATAACAAGCCATCTCACTTTCCAGCACTGAATTAGATAATTTTCACTTAAGGTAAACGAAAAGGTAAGTCTCGACGCAGTGTTCACTGTCTTTTCTTTGTGACTAGACGATAATCCTGGGTTGTTGCAGTGGTCTCATGGGATTCCTGTAGACTGCCGGGTACCTTAGAATATAGGCTACTGTGATAAGAATAATTTTACCACCATTTAACATCAACTTCAAGAGATTTTGTGTTGTGTAATTTTCTCTTTGATTATCGACATCATTAAAAAATAGTAGTGAAAACATTAAGGTGAAGTAGTCAGTACAACAGGGTGATGTGTAGAGTGATCATGATACTCACTTGTGTCTGTTAATGTTGACGTTTGTTGTCACTTTACCTTACCATTAGAAAATTTACTAAGTGTTTTGTCTACGTAATCGTGAGCTGTATCAACGAGTCATGTTACTATGTTTTACCAGTGTATACTCATTACTGAATAGACCAAGTAATATACACGTTTGTAGAGGTAGAGTTTATGAGTATCCTTTTGGACATGTAACCAAATCTTAAGGCAATTTCTATTTTGTCTCACAATTTATCGTATAAATTAGGAGTATCCGTGGATCTTAAGCGCTTCAGATGATCAGACAATTCGTATTTGGAATTGGCAGTCACGAGCTATAGTATCTATTTTAACTGGACATAGCCATTATGTTATGTGTGCTCAATTCCATCCAAAGGAAGATCTTATTGTATCAGCATCTTTAGATCAAACTGTGCGCGTCTGGGACATGTCAGGTCTGCGGAAGAAGAGTGTAGCTCCGTCGTCATTGTCAAGTATCGAGGTAATTAATTTCGAATTGATTTTATTAAATCATTTACCCAAATATTTAAAATTTCTCACTTTATACCATTTTGAGTTACTGAAAGTTATGAAGCACTCATTTCTTCATGATTAAGTGAAATTGAAAGCACAGTTGCATGCTGTTTTCTCATGCTTAATCTTCAAGTAATCATGAGCTAACTTTATAAAGGTGAGTGCGTTCAGGTAACCTTATCGTCATAAAATATCATGTGGATCTAAAAATTAATTTCATGAACCATCCTTAGGAAACTTCAATTCCTAAAGTTGATGATCAGTCTTTTTGATACTTAAAAATATCTATTAACTTCAAACCTGTTTGTTTGTTTTCTTACCACTTTTAGGACCACTCGCGACATTTCACAGGATCCTCCAGTCCTGGTGTTTCTGGTTCAAATCTATTTGGCCCAAGTCATACAGAGTTGTTTGGAACAACTGAAGTAATTGTTCGTCATGTGCTTGAAGGTCACGACCGTGGGGTGAATTGGGTAGCTTTTCATCCAACTTTACCAATAGTTGTATCTGCAGCAGATGATCGACTTATTAAAATTTGGAGAATGACTGGTAAGTTCACTTTTAATAAATTTTGCAGATGTATAGTAACACATTGATAATGCTATTCGATCTAATAATATTTTAATATATATGTAAGCACTCAGATAAACTTGTGGTTCCAATACATTAACTGAAAATCGGCTAACAACAAGTAATTTAAACAAGTGGACCGATGTTATTAATAAAAAATATGTATAATAGCATTAGGTAGTCTAAATGACTTGTTTATTTAAGGTGGTACTAAATTTTTAAACACAAGCATAACACTTAAATAAATGAAAAGCTAATTCTCCAGTCTCTATCGAGAAAGTCTCTGTACAAACTTGGAATTTCTACTATAGTTACCATTCAAAGAAGAAAAGGGTTACAATAGTGTCATTCATTGTTTTGGAGTTGGAGTTGTGAATAATTAGCTTGGTACACAAGCATATTAAATTATGATTAATGTATATAGTAAAACACATCACATTTTCACTGAATAAAAAATTATCAGTTCTTTTTTCATAGATTGTTAGTTCGCTTGTTGAAACGTATTTGTAGCTAGTTGTCTATATGCACCGCTAAGCTTAGGTGTAAGACCTTAGACGACAATGTTTTATTAATCTATTTAGTTCTGAATCGGCATCACCGTATGTTATATATCACAATATATCAACCACTGCAACACCCAAAGTTGGTGAGATGGGATCGTGAGAGGCCTTGAAGTTTTAGAGCTAGAAAATGTTACTAATTTGTCGAATTTGTTGTTGAGTTCCCAGAGATATTAAAAGTCAAGCGTTAGAGACATCAAAATTACTGAAAAGCAGTTCTAATAAAATGGTTCGGTAAATCGCATTGTTACGTAAATACCTATTCGTACTTTCTATTTATCTCAGCTTTTCCTTTTCTACTTTTCCCTATATTAATATGAGTCATGACTTGAGGGCCACTAATTATGTCCCATATTATTCTTACTGTAATATATATATATTCGTAAATTGTAGTGTTTGCTTGTTAACTAGCTAGGAGTAGCCAAAATAAAACATTCCATCAATTCGTGAAGTTTTCGACTATTGGTCTGTACCATGTTGATAGATGCAGACTACCTGATTGGGGTCTGCTCGACAGTCCTCATCAGTGGTTTAAAATGTTAAGTGAAGTGCCTCATTTGCATTCACGCTTTATCTTTTTCGACATTTCCAACTCCAGTATTTCTTCACACATATCTTCAATTCATCTTTTCGAACCGTATTCACAGTGCTGAGTCTTTTTCTTTATCATCGCTACCACATTATTTCGGCTCTTTTGTTATTCATCTTATAATAATGTGGTATGTCTAACGTACTTTGTCCGAGGCTGTATATTGATTATGATTGACTAATTCCGAAAGAGTTATGTTGTCGATATCCATTTAACTGTTTCTGACTCCAACAACTCTGAAAATCTTCTTACTACAGAATCAAAAGCTTGGGAGTTGGATACACTTCGTGGTCATTTTAACAATGTTAGCTGTCTTGTGTTTCATCCCAGACAAGATTTGCTACTTTCTGATTCTGAAGATAAATCTATCAGAATATGGGATTTAGCCAAACGAACTTGTGTGTCAACTATTCGTCGAGATTCAGATAGATTTTGGGTTTTAAACGCTCATCCAAAACTAAATATATTTGCTGCTGGTCATGATACAGGATTTGTTGTTTTCAAGTTGGAACGTGAGAGACCTGCATTTACAGTATATAAAGATTATATGTTCTATGTGAAGCTTCCTCATTTGAGACGAGTTGACTTTGCCGTTACCAAAGATGTTCCTGTTATACAATTACGAGAGTAAGTTTTTATGCATATACATATTTTGACATCATTCTAATAATCTCATCAAATTATATTTAATCCTGTTAAATATATCATTCCGCACAATGCAGGTGTATAGGCTCAGCGCTCAGTCGAACGGCGAGAATTTCACGTTCAATTACTGACATAAATTCATGAGTTTTTATTTTAGATAATTTTTACAGTGAAGTAATATCATCAACAAGAATGTGAATTATTCATGACTGATGGGTGTGATGAAATATTCTACGGCTTAACGATCTATGTTCATCAACTTGTATATAAGAAATATTTCAGGGTTTTATGCCAACCACTTAATAGTCCACGCAATATCTAATCAATTAAGACCACAATGTAACTTGATAGAATTTGATCAGCACTAGAAGAACGAGATAAACATGATATTAGTCTCTGTCTAATGGTCATTCAGTAATTGTAAATGACATACTTATTTTCGTAGAAAGTATGAACGTAAGTTTTAAAATTTGGCTACCTCCATTTGTATTTTCATTGAAGATTTATCTACGTTCTTGGTGTTATACGACATGAAATCACTAAATAATGTAATGTGTTCAAGTCATTAATCAAAATTATAACTACAATTTTTTTCTGTTCCGCACCTACTATTTCTCCTATACCCTAGTGTCTTAGACTTTACCAATTACACGTTTAACCTGCACTATTCACCTTGAGTTGACCCAAGCTAAGCTCCTTCTGGTTCATTATTCGTAAGTCGTTCTCTATCTCTTATCTCGATCCCAAAGAGAAGTCGGCAGCTAACCTCTGTTGTATTATATTTTCAAATACATGTGGGTTTGTATAAACATACTGGACCACATCACATCATAAAATGAAAAATCACAATTATACGTTATCAACCCAAAGTGGCTGTAAACAAGGCAAGTTCAGAATAACTGATTAGTAATAAAATAGGAATAAGTAGTATAGTAATGGTCAGTGGGTTAAATGGGAACTTGTGATAAACGGAATATATAAACGTCGCAATCCAGTTACTTGGTTATTGTACAATAAAAATATCCATAATAATAATAATAATAATAATCCCTAAATTAATTCCAGGAGCTAATATTTCTTCACTCTTTGTTCTGATACATCAGTTGGCCTTAGGTTCAATATAATAGTACTGTCTTGATAACTAACTTGATACAGTACTCATTTTCGTGTTCCGTTTTTATCATTTGGAGATTGTTCATGTACAATTTTATAAAGGAGAATTATTTGGACCTGTCTAACCCGACAATAGTTACTTAGTAATATAAAACAGAAGTTATCAGTTTCGTTTTTTACCCTTTTAATAGAGGTCGTGGTCAAGCTGTAAGCGTTGGTTACAATCCAATTGAGAATGCCATGTTAGTCTTGAGTCGGCCGCGTCAAAGTGAACTAAACTCATCAGCTAATATCTCTATAACAAGTGGAACCAGTATGGTCTATGATTTGTATATGCTACCCAAAACAATGGGTAGTAGTAATATTCAACCGGAACATGTTGAAAGTCGATCAGGTAGCGGAATCGCTGTCGCTTGGATTGGTCGTAATAGATTTGCAGTTTTAGAAAGTTCTGGATCAGTAAGTAGTATTTATTTTCTCGTATTTGTTTATTTTTTATGTACTATGATATTGCTTTTAGTAAATACTTTAAAAATGTAGTGATAGCACCATTACAATACGGAGTTGTGTAACAATTTCTAGTCCTAGATGACATACTTTTCATTGAATAGTGACAAGAACATAACTGAGCGAACTTTCACACTTTGATTCATCAATAAACTTCTATTAACACTTGTGAATATTATAAGTCTGAGTGAGTTATTTATTGTTTAAAGTGAGTTCTTAATCTTCATCAATTAAATCATTTGGTCCTATTGTCAAATTGAAAACCACTTTTAAAAATTAATTTCTCATTAATAAGATCGTTTCACAAAGAGCTAGAAATTTTAGTCTTCAGCTTACTTCGTCATTGTCTGTAATGCCACTTGTTGTTTCGTATTGAGTCGGAAGTTATTACCTTTGATTTATTTTATATTTGTCAGTCAGCAATAATCATCAACATAAGATACGAAATGAAATTGGAAAACTGAATAGCAACGGAATGGAAATAAGAATATAGCAGCACTGACAATGAAAACGACTTGACATTGGCAATAGTGTTCAGGAAGTCAGAATGAAAAAGTACGTATAAAGGAAGACTGGAACTTAATATTTAGAGGCAGGGTGAATGCTTCTAAACTATTTCATTCAACAACATTGATGGCAATCATCCCTCGGGTCTCAACCAAGTAGTTTGCATTTGCCAACATGGCTCAGATCAGCAGTCAATAACTTTATGAACTCCCGTTACGTTCAGATATGGATTCTCATAGCTTTCTTTCAACATACTTTTACACTGGCTAACATCGCCAGGCGACATAAAAACTGAATATGTAGACAGAATATATGTCAAATCGTCTCAAAATCTTTTCTTAAGTGACTATCATATTAGTTTCCTATATGTTAATTGATTTTGTTTATTTTCTTCCTTTATCAGATTGTTATAAAAAATCTTTCAAATGAAAATGTTAAAAAAGTATCTTATTCTGGTGTTGATCAATTTTTCTATGCTGGAACTGGTAATTTATTAATTCGTGATTCTAATGGAATCAGTCTATGTGATGTTGCAAATAAACGTACTTTATCAACATTGAAACATATCAAGGTAAATGTTTTCTGTTGATACTTTTTCTATAAATCTTTACCTTTAATAAATCATTCGGTAATATCATCACATCGTGTTACAATATATAACATTTTGGATTTACCCAAAACATATATTATGCAAATAAGTTATTCAATTCTTAAGAGTTTGAATTCAGCTAATGAGTTTTTAATTAAGACGAGATGCACTTCCTGAATTCCATTCCTATCCACAATCCATTTCTTCTTTGGATAGATTGGTGATAAATTGTTTTACCGTAAGACTAATTATATTCTGGTAATATAAAAAGAATCAAAACAAGACAGAAAAAATGGATTGGATCTCAAATGTCCAACTGCTTTCTTTCTATAGGAATAACCTTAGATAGACGACCAATAAAAGTCAGGGGTCATTGAATAGCTGTTTAATCCTAGTGCTTGACTCTTCATCAGTGCACGTCAATATCACTAGGAATTGAACACGAAACGGCGATCGCTCAACGTAAGCAGTCTTTCTACATAATTCAGTTAAGCAGCCGTGTTTACTAAGGTTAAAGCGTAATCATATACTTTGATAAAGCCTCACATATCCAATGCTTGTACCTAAGTTATCCATACAGTTGGAGAAAATCCGATATATTTTCATCTTATCAACTTTGGTAACAAGACAAACTCTGGTTGTACTATAAACTAAGTTATTTGCTTTTCATATACTTTGGTTCATTTTAGTACATTCGTCATGTTATTTGGTCACCTGATGGTCAATATGTTGCTATGTTCACTAAACTATACCTTTATTTATGCGATCGACATCTGGAAGTCAAAGCTACTGTACATGAAACTGTTAGAATTAAAAGTGGTGCTTGGGAAGAACATGGCGTTTTCATCTATACAACAAGTAATCATATTAAATACTGTCTCCTAAATGGGTAGGTCACCATCACTAAAATAAACTGTTTTTCCAATCTCTGTAACTTCTGTTCCTAAATTGTGTGTGTATGCTATGTTCGAGATATTAAGATATCACTTGGGACTGGCGAACGAAACGAAATTCAGCAACACAACAACAGGACAAGCTAAGCTACTACTCTGTGCCCCAGGCCTTCTAATTACAGGGGGGGAAGACCCTGTTCAGCGGGAAAGTATATTCTACAAGCAAACAACTCATGCATATATATATATATATATATATATATATATATATATATATGCTTTAAAAACGTCACAAAATAGCGTACTAAAAGAGGAAATGAACCAATGACATTTAGGGTTCTTCCAGGTGGGAAATAAACTGAAGGTAAAAGTGGGCTATTATGGGGCAGAAATGAGAAATTCAAATCCCCATAATAAAATTACAAAAATCAGAAGTTTACCAAGTAGTTTCTGGAGATCTAGCATCCCCAACAATGTTTGGTATTAGCTTGATTTTATCACTCTGGAAACCTTTATTCTCATCCCGAGATAGATATGTAATTAGATCTACTAGCATTAAAGTTGGTCATTCTAAGGTAATGTATTGGTAGTGTCTTAATGGAGACCGTATCTTGCACTTTTCGCTTTCATAGACTGATGTACATAAAGACATGTAGACTTTCATAAGTTTTACTATTTCGCTGACAGATTTCTATAGCTAACACCTTATTTTCCTACTGTTATTAATTTTTTCCTAATGCAGTTTCTAATCCAGAACTTCATTAATTTCTGTCTTCTTTCCATAAACTGCTAAACTCACATAGTAAGGTCATGGACTATGTTGGAATAAATGGTTCAGGCGAAATTAAACCTTTAGAAAACCTTATTCATTAGGGTTCTTTTTCTAGACCGTTTCACTGGGCTTGGAAGTCAATTCAGCCTCTTTATCACTTAAACAATTCCCTTTGTTTGAGCAAATGTATGGAACTTTCAACTCCATTTAAAGTGTTTCTCATAAACGTAGTAGTGAGTTTAGAATAACTCTCACCTAGTGATAATACTGCTGTTATTCTAACTAAAAATGATTGTTTTATTTTCGATGATGCATTGTTTATTTTATTTTTCTACATTTTTATTTACAAGTTATTTTTACTAAATTAGAAGGTAACAATTGTTAAATCATATCATTTAATATTGTGTTAGAATAATTGGACTCACATTATTTTTTTTTAACGTAGGGATTATGGAATAATTCGGACACTTGAGCTACCTGTTTATATTACACGTGTTCGCGGCAATTCAGTATATTGTATAGATAGAGATTGTTCACCACTTGTATTCACCATAGATCCAACAGAGTTTCGTTTCAAATTAGCTCTAGTTAATCGTCGATATGAAGAAGTGAGTAATCATGTGTTAAGTTATATCTATTTATTCTTTTTATTTGAATTAACCAGAGAAACCATTTAAAAATTGATATATCAATTAATATGATTTTCCTTGTACCAATCCTTCAGAATCTGTTAGCAAACAGAACCCTGCTTGTAGGCGTAAATTACAGATTCTCAGAATAATATATGGACCGCTTATAGACGAAGATGAATATCTATGACTCTCTTGTTCTCTATAGTTATCTAGCTAATACTAACTTTTAACTCAAACTACCAAGCAATAACGTTTTGTACGCGTTTGATAAATTGAACATATTTCACGAAGGTTTAGGTAATACGCTCTGAAATGCTTCCTTTATCTAACAATGCTGGACCATTATTCATCCAGTTTTACAACACTTACTAAAAAGGCAACAAAGCTTCCTATCTACTACCTCAGAAATTACCTAGTTTCACCATTGTGATCTTTAGTGAGTCATTAAACGAAAGACGTCATTTTGTCGCCCTTTTGTTCTGTCTATCTGCCATAGTTTCAAGTCTCTCTGTGTTGTAAATCTTGTCATGTATTCAATTTTTTGTAAAGTTATATTCAAATGCGTCAATATGACAGTTTATACAATAAATTCTATTTCATTATTTAATTATTGAGAAAAATTCCTATTCATAGGTTCTTCATATGGTTCGTAATTCAAATCTTGTCGGGCAAGCTATAATTGGTTACTTAGAAAAGAAAGGTTATCCAGAAGTCGCACTACACTTTGTCAAAGATACACGGACAAGATTTTCATTAGCTATGGATTGTGGTCAATTAGATGTTGGTTTAGAAGCTGCTCAAGCATTGGATGATAAAGCTTGCTGGGAAAGACTTGGTGAATTAGCTCTGAAACAAGGTAAACTACAGTTAGTCGAAATGACTTACCAACGAGTTAAAAATTTTGATAAACTCACATTCCTATATTTGATTACTGGAAATTTGGAAAAATTAAGAAAAATGATGAAAATTGGTAAGTTGGGATTTTTATTTTGTATTTCTTGATTCTTGTATTACACTCATACATTCACTAATGAATACTAAGTTTCAATAAGAATCTTAAATTTCAGTGGTTACATTCTACAGTTAACTATTTGTAACAAAACTTCCGTAGGTAGGTAGGGTAAATAAGAAAATTAATTTTGAATTATCCAATTATTACTGCTCTATACATAAAACGCTTATTAAAAAGAGCTATTTAATCCATAGATTACTTTCCTGGTTGGTTACTATTCGATTGGTACTTTCATTTTTCCTGCACTCATCCATCCATCCATCCACGGTAGCAATGATATGAAATATATCAAGGTTAGGGGCGTCAGATAGATTAGAGTTTTTTAGCTGTTCTATTCTTAAGCTTTAGTTATTAAATGAATGTGTTTTTCCTGTTGTCAGTTGACTATATTTAATAATGAGTAAATGATTAGTTAAATTGGCCGTACTTTTTATGGTAGTTTATGGTCTGTGTATTTTTTTGGTTTTCCTTCATCCTCTTATGATAAACACTGATTACAATCACCACTAATTTATTTTTATTTTTGAGGGAGCTCATTTCATACTATTGATATTGTGGTAAAGCTAAACCTAACCTATCCAATTGAGCACTAGTGGTTACCATTACTTACCTCTAAACTTGTTTGTTTTATGACTTTTGTTTAAACACATAAGCTTTGGTTCAATGGGCCAATAAAATATATGTACGCCATACAAAGTATTTATTATTAAATTTGTAGCTTTCTTAGGGGGTCACTCCCGGAGCCTTTGATCTAGAGGTCTGATCCACAGGGTGAGGGGACAACGCTAGGAGATGCAGTTGCATGGTAGCCGGTGACCAAAAATAGATTTATATGCCATTTGTTCCCTCACGATCCTGGGGCCCGTGTCCGCTATTGGTTCACAGTCAGGATTCTCAGACTCCTCTAGGTGGATCCTCCGTACATACCAACCTAGCTTAAGCACCAACAATCTTTCCATCCTTTCAATTTCGTGAACAACACCCCAGCCTCGAGAAAGTAGTCAGTAGGACTTCTCGGGCACTGGCTACATACACGTGGCCATATGTGAGAGCATTCCGAGAGGGAGAACGGTCTCTCCTCACCATTGGCCGTACCAGGGCATTTAAAGGCATTTCATCAGTAGAATAAATAAAAAAGTTTTTGTAACAAATTCTTTTCTTTTTCTTTTGTAGCTGAAATTCGAAAGGACACATCAAGTCATTATCATATTGCATTACTTTTGGGTGATGTTGCTGAACGTGTAAAACTACTGCGTAATTGTGGACAGGGTAAGTAATAAATTGTGGAAAACTTTCCATTAATTTTTTTCAATGAAAGTAATCAACTAAACTATTAGTATGTGTCATGCTACAAAACGTCAGAAGACCATATCTTTCTTGATTACTTCATATTCACCAGTGAACTACTCAAAATATATCTTGAAAGACTTAAGCACATTTCTCGGTTTTCAAGGTATAAAGAATTTCATGTTGCAGTTGTTGTGATCTCTAGACTCAGGGATTGTTAGGGCGCGTGGCCGAAGGTCTTGGGTTCGGTTCCCGCATGTGGTGTCGCGGATGCTTGCTGCTGAGAAGTCTCATACTAGGACGGAATGCCTGTCCAGTACTTCCACGTTTTAATGGTGGTCTGAGTTAGATCATTTCATGACTTTAATGAAATATCCAAATTGTTTTTATTCACTCATTCTACTTTAATTAGTCATGAATCGTAGAAATTTCGGTCAGTCATATGAATCAATATTTGTTTCTTATAAATGATTCCTTGTCGTTTGATTTGGTCGTGTATATATTGCACTAACTAAACTTCTCTACTTCACAGTCAGTGAAACTTCTTCGCACTTTTATTTGATGCACATATATTCTGATACAACTGTTCACTAAAATGAATATGCTCTATACAAAATAACAATGAAAGAAATCAATCTGGGAAGGGGAATACAGTCAAAAAAGCGAATCAGAATGCTACTTAATTGTAGATACAATTCAGGAAAAATTTCTTTCAATTAAGGCAGTTACTTTCGTTTTTTTATGACAACAGGATCGTCATTACCTGCTATTGTAAACCACGTCTGGTCACATCTTTCATATCATAGCTTCGTGTCACAATACACTCTAAACTTCATAAAATTCCTCTAATTAAACTTTTAAAAACTACTTTTTTTCAGCGTAACCAAAGGAATGTGATAACTCGCAACTGTACAGGTCATGTACTAAGTTGGTAAATATGTAGTTGTCATGCATGTACGTGTAAGAGAGAAAAAAGGAAAGCGGGCACGTGTGTTCTATTAGTTTTATACGCAACGCTATTTAGTTAATGTAAATATTTATTGTCTTTCTATAGAACCACTTGCCTATCTTACCTCTGCTACACACGGTCTTCAACAGGAAACTAAAGAGTTGGAGGAACAACTCACCGCATTATCATTACAATCTGTACCGGTTGATTCAAATGTTTCTTTTGTACCAGAAATTGATCCAAATGCTAGTTTAATAATGCCATCACCACCTATCCTTCGAGCTGATAAAATTACTGAGGGGAAACCTTCAGAAACTGATTGGCCTCTTCTAAGTATACAATTAGATTTCTTTGAAACAGCAATAGCTCAACGTCGAAATGCTGCATTAAAATCAAATAATAAAAATGATGAACAAGATAACAAAATAATTGGTGCTTCTGTGGCATCAGCCAGTTTACTTTTAGACACAGAAGATGTACCTGAAGGCGCTTGGGGAAAAGATGCCAATCTTGAACTTGATGGTAAATTTATTATGTTTTTTGTCGTGATTTTATTGGGTTCACTGATCTTTCTTTACTATAAACTACATCAACTTAATAGTTTTCTGTTCATTGATTTGTCATGTAATCAAGACAAGAAATGTTCTGAAAGTTATTCAACTTATATTGTTCTATATATTGAACTTTTCTATGTATATGGATTTTCATAAGATTCGTGAGAAGTAAGAGACCCTCTTTCTCACATGAAACAAATAAAAATAAATTATAATGTAGGAGGTAATCGTGGTTATAATCAACCTGGAACACAGTACATTTTCGTATGTAAAGGCCTGTACTTACTTATGTCTGTTACCCTCGTGGTGGGCCATAGGTCTCCCACCAGCATTCTCCACCCAACTCTGTTCTGCGCAATCCTTCCCAGTTGTTATTCATCCTTTTCATGTCTGCTTCCAATTACCGACGCAATGTGTTCTTTAGCCTTCCGCTTTTCTGTTTCCCTGCAGGATTTCATATTAGGGCTTGCCTCGTGATGCACTTTGGTGATTTCCGTAATGTATGTTCTATCCTTTTCTTGATTTCCTCTTCAACTGGAAGCTGGTTTGTCCTCTCCCACAGTAGGTTGTTGCCGATGGTATTCGGCTAACGGACATTGAGTGTCTTGTGTAGACAATTGTTTATAAATACTTGTAACTTTTTGATGATAGCTGTAATAGTTCTCGAAGTTTCAGCTCCATACAGTAGGACTGTCTTGACGTTCGTATTGAAGATTCTGACTTTGGTATTAGCTGGTAGTTGTTTTGAGTTCCATATGTTCTTCAATTGTAGGAATGCCGATCTTGTTTTGCCAATCCGTGCCTTCACATCTGCATCGGATCTTTCTTGTTTATCGATGATGTTTCCCAGGTACGTGAAGGTGTCCATCTCTTCCAGAGCTCCATCAAGTGAGATTGGATTGGTGTTCTACTTGTTGTATTTAAGGATCTTGATTTTTCCTTTGTGTATGTTCAGGCTTACTGAGGCAGAGGCTGCTGCTACACTAGTTATCTTCATCTGCATTTGTTTGTGTGTATGGGATCTAAGAGCCAGGTCATTTGCGAAGTTCAAATCTTCTAATTGACTCCGAGCTGTCCATTATATTTCTTGCTTCCCCTCTAATTTGAAGGTCTCCATAATCCATTCAACTACCAAAAACAAGAGAAAGGAGGACAGTAAACGGTCTTGTCTGACTCCGATCCTTACTTGCAGTGAATGTCAGCTGTACTCCATGCACAACTTTGCACTATAGTCCGTCGTATAAATTCCGGATGATGTTGATGATCTTCCAAGATACACAATAGTGTCGAAGAAGCTTCTATAAAGTCCTCCTATCCACACTGTTGATGTTACTATTTCCCTAATAAGTTTATGTTTTCCTGTTGTCTATGTTTAAAAATGATTTCTATCAGCCTCTTACCATATGGGCTACTCGAAGTAACTGCTAACTTTATATATATATATATATATATATATATATATATATATATATATATATATATATATATATATATCACACTCCTTGGACAAGTTGATGAACGTCGTAATTCTGTATCTTATTGGATAACGTGTTATTATTTGAAGCGGTAATTATTTAGTTCGAATCCTATTATGAATATCGAACTACTAAACTAGTTTCAGCTGCATCAAAATACACATCCTGAATTCCGCTGTTATCTGCTATCCAATAAATTTCATGAAGCGTATGACTTAGCCAATATAGAACAGGAAAAAATCATTTCTTATTTTCGAGTAGTCTCTACTAAGCTGGAAATATAATTCATTTTCATAGTTTCTAAGTGACGAAATGGTCTTGACTAAACCATCTCCTGGAAACAGTGAGCTAGCTTCAGAATACAACTAGAGTTCCAGTGAGAACTGCGGCAAGTAGAGTTCAACTATGTCAGGTATGAGACAGTTATCCATCTCAGGCAATGGTAGATGGTCGCAAAATGTCGTGGATTCGTCGAAGCTCGACATCTACACCACTGGGTCCCGGTTCAGGGGTCTAGAAGTTGTTAGGGCTCAATACCATATAGTGGGTTCGTGGATGCTGATTGCTGAGAGTTGTGCATACTAAAACAAAATAGTTGTCCATTGCTCCCAAGTTTTCAATGTTAGTCTCATCAGGATCAGTTCATGTGACTTAGGAACTATAAAAATTCTATATTCTCTATAAAACCCCATAGTGATTTTAATTCATTGTCAAAAATTTCGTCACAACGATTAATATCCAAAAACCCTTCTTTTCATGATTAGAACCAAATGAACTCGAAGATGAATTAGACATTGGTGGTGATGCAGTAAATTCAAATGAAACTGGTGATAAAAATCCAGAGGATGGTGGTTGGGATATTAATGATGCCGATTTGGAGTTGCCATCAGATCTTCAAAATTCCAATGCGGTTTTAACAAATAAAAATGAGAATGTATATGTTGCTCCATCACCTGGTCGACCTAATAGTTATTTGTGGAGTGAAAATTCTAATTTACCAGCTGATCAAATTATGGCTGGAAATTGGGTGAATGCAATGCGTCTACTCAATGCTCAGGTAAATTTTATTGTCTTCCTTTTTATGTTTCGTCAAATTGTATTTCCTTGTATTTAGAGTTTTCTTTTCTTTAAAAAAAATGGTATACTTAATGTTTTTTTTGTGTTTACAAACACTCAAAAATTTTGAATATCCCCACTATCTAGTTAAACATAATGTGGTTTTTGTAAATCCATAACTATGAACTCTTTCATTAACCAACCTAACCACTCTTATCGATTAGCATTCTTCAGACACTTTACTTCGCTCAACTGGTCTCCGAAATCATCGATTTCTGATTGACCTGAATCCCAAGCCGCCAAAGATTCTTCAGTCTTCTTTGTATTCTCACTGTCCAAAATCTCAACATTTTCTCAGTTGAATATGTGTTCACTAATGCCCATGTTAATTTGGTATAGGTGAAGATATTTCATGGCATTTAACAAATAGTTGATATACACGCATATCCGACCGAGTGTTTTTTGATAACATTCAGTTTTTCTTTTATTATTTCATCTTTTTCTCACATAATAAAATAAGAATAATTAAAGTGTTTTCTCAATTTTCAGGTTGGAGTTGTCAACTTTGAACCGTATAAAACAATTTTTATGAATTTGTTCAGTGCATCTCGTATAATATGTACGGCTTTACCATTGGTACCATCACAATTTGCATATCCTCAACGCAACTGGTAAATTTATTCATTCCACATATTAATTAATTTATCTATTTTGTATGTATTCGTTTTATTTCCTTACACATTTCACTATTCATCGTTTAATGTTCAAACATTTCAGTGAATTAATGTAAATAATTATTTTCAATAGCCACTGTGAAAATTTTGTATTATATTCACAATATATTTAGTGGAATGTATAAAAATAGGTTTTCTGAATGACTGCTATTCAAATACACATTGTTACATATGTGTACGTGTATCAAACACTAAGGCTTTATTTACATTTATCACTAATTTTCACAGTTGAATTCACGAGCCGATCTAAGCTAAACCACCATTGAAAACCTGGAAGCACTGGACGGTCGTTTCGTTCTAGCATGGAACTCCCCAGCACTGCGTACCCACGATCCCTCACGCGGGACTCGAACCCAGAAATTTCGGCTTCGCTGCGAACACTTAACTTGTAGACCGTTGAGTCGGCATCATTCATTTGCCTAAATGAAGCATTTATTGATGAAAAATGTCTACTATCGTCGTTTAAAATTCTATAAAAATGTTTTTTTAGGCATTTTGTTCTTAATCTGTATCTATTATGTAACCGTATTAGTTTATTACTACAATTCAAACTTATATTCTTTAATTCATCTTTATATTGGTGTTTTGCACATATGCTAATAAGAGAATGATCAATTGTCATCTTAAACATCAATAAGAAAATTCAAATAACCAATACAAAAATCGAGTTAAGACTCCACCCATTTGCACAAGCTAGTGGCTATCTGGACTCAGTAGCTAAGTGGATAAGCCGATAGTGTTTGAAGCTAACGGCACTGGGTTCAAGTCCAGGAGTGAAAATTGACTATGGGATGTAAATACATCCAGTTGACGAGCTCTAAGTAGGAAGAAACCAGCGTCCTTGGTTTCACTGCTAAAAAATCATCATCTTTGCTTATAATGCTTGCATTCTTTAGGTTTATAACTTTTATTCTACTCATATTACTGTAACATTTTATAATTTTAAAATATATTTACATCAATGTGTTTACTAGGAAGAAGATTTCGTCAACATCTGCTTTACCAGCTCCTGTAATAAGTTTAAATGAATTAATAACTCGTCTACAAACGGCATATCAATTAACAACTAAAGGGAAATTTCAAGATGCTATCAATCGTTTCCGAATAATTTTATTATCTATTCCATTATTGGTAGTTGATTCACCATCGGAAGAATCCGAAGCTCGTAGTTTAATCAATATTTGTAGAGAATATATTGTAGGTTTATCCATGGAAATGACACGTAAATCTATGCCAAAGGATACAATAACTGAACAAGTAAGTCGGAATACACTTCACAGTATAATGTTTTTTTTGTAAATTATGTATTTTGTAGTTTTGCATAGTGTGTTTAGAATGTTCAAATTATATAAATATTTGAGCCAGATTTTCATTCAGTTCACAAAACTGAAGCATTTCTCGAGTTATTCAAGGAGTTTGTTAATGGTAAATATTTAAACATATTATTGTCGGTTAATGTTTCTAATGTCTTCAGAAAAATAGCTATTTCCACCTAAAATTATTTAAACAGAAGTCATCACTTAATAGTAATTCTATTAATAAAAATTACCACATAGTCTGATATAGCACTCACATAGCCATGTGCACACAACCACTGCCAAGGAAGTCCTACTCACTGCCTTCTCGCGGCATTACTGTTGTTTACGACATTGCGAGGACGAAAAGCGAATGTTCGGCGTTTTAACCGGGTTGGTGGGTACAGAGAGTTCACCTCGGGCAGTTGAGAAACCCGGATTCCAAACTAATGGTGCACATGGGCTCCAGTATCCTGAGAACAAATGGCATATGAAACTATTTTTGGACACCAGATACCATGGGAATGCATCTAACATTGCTCCACTGTCTTGTGGATCAGACCTTTAGGTCAAAGTCTCGGGATGTAGCTCCCTAAAACACCACCTGCCTCGGTTTGTGCATCCGGGTAGTATCCGATCCCTCAAACAAATCGAGTGATTTGTGGGTCGCATATCTATTTGATGCCTCCTTGTACCAATGTTTGTGTTTAAATAAATATAAATAAATAGTTTAATATAATATTATTTATCATCAATATTTATTCATTTATTTGATTAGATTCGCAATGCTGAATTAGCATGTTATTTTACACATTGTCGTTTGGAGACACCACATCTTATATTAACTCTTAGAACAGCATTGAATTTATTGTACAAACTGAAGAACTATCGATCTGCTGCAACTATGGCAAGACGTTTATTAGATTTGGCACCATCACTAGAAGTTGCTCAACAAACACGTAAAATTTTACAAGCATGTGAATCTGTAACACCAAATGAAGATTCGCATGCATTAAGTTATGATCCTCTAAATCCTTTCGATATATGTGCTGCTACTTATACTCCTATCTATCGGTTAGTGAAAAAAATTATTTTTCTCTTTAGATACTTCTTGATTATAAACGTTTTTTATAGTTCGCCTTTGTTGATTAGTAATCATGAATTATATTTTTTGCAATCTATCACAATCAAATATGAGTAACGTAAATCCCTATGGTATAAATGTCTACCAGCACAGTAAAAAAGATAAACTACCGCTGAGTTGAGAAGCAAAAAGAATAAGGTAGTAATATGAACTGTAATGAAAATCCAAACATAAGAACTGCGGTGTTAGCGAAACAAACGAGATCCAAGTAGAAATCAAGGAATAATGTTCAAGTAGATATTTAGAAGATAATAGAAAATAAATACGACAAAGATCAATTCTATATGAATAAAGGTAACCACTATTCTATGAAAGGCAAATAGGAACTTATTGTAGTTTTTCCAGAAATAATTGTCATTTCATATTTCTCTTTCGATGTATCTAATGTTAAGAACGTGCTTTCTTGTGAAATGAATCAGTAGATTATATCTAAACATTGGACGATCCAATAGACATCTTAGTTCACTAAGTAAATAAAAGTGTTGATTCATCTATTTATTAATTTCTGAAGATGAACATTTAACTTTTTCTTTGCTACAAGTTATCTGCAGTTTTGTTTTTCATGTATTTTTTCAGTGGTAAAGATTCTGTACGTGATCCTCTAAGCGGAGCATACTATGTACCAACGATGAAGGGTCAACTATGCCGTGTAACTGGGGTAAGCAAATATACAGTTCATGTGATTCTCTCTCTCTCTCTCCCCCTCTATATATATATATATATATATGGCTTAGGAAAAATTCATTTCTGAGCCTCCCAACTACCAGTTTGATCATTTGTGAAATAAAGGTAAAGAACTCATAAGAATGGATCATCACTTTTTAAATTCCAGTTTAAGAAAAATTGTAACACTATTATAAAATAAATCTCCTTTTACTTATCAACATATCCATCAACATCATATGAATTGTTTTCTAAATTAGAATAAGTCAAGCTGTGACATAAAAGTTAATTAAAAGTTTTATGAACTATCAAGTTGAGCAGTAAATTAGCCATCTTTGTTATTCAATCTTTAAGTAAGGATTTAGTTATTCGATTTGTGATTTCATCTATGTGCTCATATATATATTTTCTAGTGAAAATTAACATTAGTACAATCATCACTGTAAAATCGTTAGGTGCTTTGTCATATCTCTCAATCTTTTTCGACAAGTAATTTGTAGTTTTGAACCCCAGCTTCATCTATGACAGGTTACGTAACTGTATCAGTAGTACTCAAACAACCAGTATGACTTTAAGTCCATTACATTAATCTGCAGATGACAAATAAGTTTACATCGCATAACACCAACCTTATTCCAAAATGGTTTTTTTAAGATCTAGAATCATGGTGCTGCACAATTTTATCGTATGATTTCAATTACTTATTTTTTTAAATCAGTCATTTTGTTATTTGTCTTCTACAGGTTACAGAAATAGGCATTGAACATCAAGGGTTAGTAATTCGATCAAATCGTTCTTAACAATTTGATGGTCTTTGATCATCTACATGTTAGTTTATAATAATGAATGAAATCGGCCTGTATGTCTAAATGATTTGATAATCCCTCATTTGTGCTCTGTGATCATTTCTCTCCTATCATCTTTTTGTTTTGCTCTTTAATATAAGAAACTGTGTAATTCATTTTTGGTTTGGTCTGTATTTGCAAAATAAAAGTTTTTTTAAATATTTATTGTATACTACTTTTTTTATGCGATAAAAAATTGTAGTTTATAACAAAATTTAACGCTTTCTCTGTTCATTAAATATACCATGTTGGATGTTGGCAGAAAATTTAAGCTGATAATAAATAACTAAATGGTGTCAAGATCATAAGAAATGATTATATCGAAGATATTAGGTTCTTACTTTCTGCTTGCTTCAAACAATCAATTGTAAGACATACTGATCAACTTTTCTTCCACTTTGCTCAGCTATCCTCCATCTCAGTTGGCAGTTGATTGGAGGTCTATATTTTACACTAGTTGGTAAAACATGCTGGCGAAGACACTCGTCGAAAAATACAGTTGTTTTCGAGTGGAAGCCTGCCTTTCGGCGAAATTCTCCCATTTTCAAACAACAAGAAGCGTATCACGCTCATATGATTTTGAGATGGTGAAGATTTGTAACTCAGATGGAGTGTACCTTTTTTTCCACTTGAGCTTCAAATCCCCATCTCACATACTGATCAAGAAATGAAGCGTCATAGTCAGCTTTTGGCTTGAGACAAATGTGCGTCTGCCTAAGCTGCCACTTTATAACGAGATATTCCACTATCTATACAAGTATACAATGAATGTGAAAGCAATCAGCATAAAATAGTAGTTAGTGTTCTCCATATCTGCCCCTCTCATAACCAACCCATACAAAAATCCACTGTATAGGGATTCTGACTGGGACCTTCTGCATACTATGGTAAGTTACTGATTGAAATACCTTTTTAAGTAATAGTTTTGTGGATACCACTGACACATTCTATCAGATCACAAACTCGTTTTTAGTTTGCTGTGCATCTCTCAAGACGTACAGGACTATTAAGCATAGCGAAACACTTATATCCGTTAAATATCGTAATTTATTAGGAAGCTCGAATTAAATGACTTGACAACAGTAGCAAACTCAACCATAAATTTCGACGAAATTGAAATAAGTTAGAAACTATTAATGAGGGGTTTTTAGCACTTGATAATGGCTCGAAAGTACAAAATATTTCATTTCACTAAACGCGTTTGCGCATCTCAAAACGTAGATATACCATGCGTCCTGTATAATGACATTCATAAGCAACTTCAAAGCCATCTCAAAACTTTTCAATGATATTTCTGCAAATAATTAAAAATTCTTAAATCACTGACTCGAAAGTCATGTATATGATTGGTCACTCCATATAGTTCATTTTTCTTTCACGTATCTGTAAATTAGTAAGGCTTTAAACTCCCTTAAGGTCTCAAACATGCGGGTAGAACACTGAGAAACTCCTAAATAGACCAAACCAACAGACATTGAAACAACACACACAGACCTTACCATAGTGGTCACGCCACTAACAGTCGAAGAAATCAGGATCGCCATCAGACAAATCCTCACAACATTGTGATCGGTTCTAAGCATGTCTCCAACCACTGGTTACGATAGTCGCGCGGACCCCAGCCAAGTAGTCTGCATTCAGCAACATGGCTCAGATCAGAGGTTAGTGACTTCAAGCAATCACGCCACGTTTTGGTTTCGTCGCTCCTAACTTTCCTCCATCTGTCTCCAACACGAGATTCGCAACCTCATCAACTGATTTACCATCATTCCCTAATACCCTGCATCTAACCTCACTATTACTTACCCGGTTATCCCAGCAGACGTCAGCAATATTTCTAAGGCATCTGTGGTCAAATACTAGTAGCTTACGAGTGTCTTCTACTCTTAAAGGCTATAATGACCGTATGACGAACACTGTAATCATTATTCAGTCGCTCCTCAACAATACAACAGAATATCATCATTCTTCTGTAAGTGTTACACTCTGAAGAAAATATCATCTGAAAAACGGTGCAAATCTCCATATTTCTGGAGTTTTATTTAACTTCTTCATATAGATCCTTTTAGAAATAGAATACTTTCTATGTTTGGATTTTAAAGATTAGTATAAATGAAATGGCATGACAATCTCATCTCAAATGCAGTATGCATTACATTTATACATATTTTAACAGTACAGTAGAAATTGTTCGTATAGATTTAAATGTATTTAGAACCTTGTCACAACTTTATAAGTGATATATATAAATTGTGAAGCTCCCATGTTATTATATTCAATCTGTTTGAAAAAAGAAAAACCAAGTCAAATTAATCCGATATAAATGATAACAAACTATTTACGCTAGTTTACTTTGTCACTAATTCACCGGTACGTCTTTTTATAAAACAAATTTTCTTTTCTTTTCCATCATATAAATACATTTATAAATTCCTATATTTTATAAATATAGATATGTGTATACACATAATAACTACAATAGAAACATTGTTAATTGTTAGTTAACTTTGTACTAGCAAATATATCAGCTAGACGAATTACTTCTTCTAAAGTATCAATACGACTGCCAACAGCTTGAGCTGAACTTTCTTTACCACCTCCTTTTCCATCCATTGTTTTACTAATATGTGTAACCCATTCATTAGCTTTTAAACCATGTGAAACAAGTACCTATGTGAAATGAGAGCAGAAAAATAAAGATATGAAAAATTCAGTGTATTATCCAAGTTTTTTGTTTAGGTAATTATGTTAACTGTAATCATTATATATATGGTAAAATTAGGTTATGAACAGAAGTGGAAACCAAGGAGAATTTCGCTTCTCTATTTTTGACTTGTTAACACTGAGGTGCACATACACCTAGATAACGAATACTAGTTAGGATAAAACGCCTATCCTGGATTCCACTACCAACCATAATCATTAAACATAAGAAGATTTTATGGTTTATTTCACAGTGCTTTATTAAGATTACATTTATTTGGTGTCACTGTATCAAGCCAAAATGTTCTTAATAAGATGGGGATTGATGTGAAAAGATTAATGACTTAAATAATCCCCCCTGTAAATTGAAGTGAAGTAAATACTTTTCCATTCCCTATATTTCGTGTTCGTCAGGAATCCCGATATTTCTCGAGTTCTATTTAACTTCTTTATACAGATCCGTTTAGAAATATAATGCTTTCTATGCTTGGATTTTATAGATCGGCCTTCTATTATGAGATTGACTTATTCATTTAGAATAATCAAATTCTCTTAGGTGAAGACCTTGACATAATGCAGAGTTTTCTTCAACTACCCCCCCCCTAGTGAGCTTTAATATTATTTCGTAATTTTTTACCCATCAAATTTATCCATTCTTTTCGAACTGTTCAGTCTTTTTCACTATCATTGATAATACAATTATTTCGATTCTTTATTAGGGCAATAAAATCATTCCCATTAAAACTGGTCTGTTTCTCTCTGCTTATGTGCGCAGTGCTGCTTTTTTACAGTTGATATGTTAGTGATACTGTAATCGTGTAATCACGTTTCATCCTTTCAGTTAGTCAAATATCACCATTACTTAAGAGTACAATAAACTATCAAAAGTTGACCTACATGGTGATGGAACAGATAACTTTTCAATGTTAACAACAACAGAATGAAGCTACTGGTGATATAGATGGTATGAAAATTCTTTTCTTCTCAATACGTTAGACTGAGTCTAGTTACATATCATCTCAGGGTCATACTATGGATAAGACACGCTATTGGACGGAGCCAATTATACTCTTAATAGAGATCTCAGTCTATATATCCTTGTCCGAGTCAAAAGGACAAATGTATAATACACTAATGATTTATTTACCCGTTTATTCTGTTCACTGACTTAAGTTTTCCAGTCAATTGTCAGTCACTTCACTTACATAAGTGGATGGGTAAGCGTATAAGAAAAGTGATAATCTGAATTGTATGACCCAGAACATAATAAATTTTTCTAATCTAACCCTTATTAACGCATAGGTTCAGGCCTTTAAATTTAAAATATCGCTTACTTTTGGGACTTGACAAAGAACAGTCAATTTCTTTGAAACGAGATCTGAAGAAATTACCATTACAGCTTTATTTGGACATATTCGTTCTATTTCTTTTATAGCAGAATTCATAATTTTTGTATTCGATTGAGCATCGAACACATGAATGATATAATTACTGGGAGAGTTAGAAAGAGTTTCACCTAATAATCGAGCCTCTTCTAAAACCTAGAATGATGTAGAAGGTAGAGATTAAGTGAGTAATTTTAGGCTTAAAAATTAGTAAGGTAGTTGAATAGCACAACTTAGTTGAATTACACGCCACAAATTAAATGTACAAAAAGATTGATGATGTTGTGTTCTTTTGTTACTTGAGCACTAATCATTACAAATATAAATAATCCCGTAAATGGGGTACTCCAATTGTACGGATCTTCCTGCCACAGATATTGTTTGTCACAAACGAAATGATCAATGTTAATTTTGAAAAAGTAGCAAGATAAAAAAAGCATAACGCGTTCTACTCTCCAATCTTTGAATATCTTTTTCATTCATATTTATAGCTGTAAAAGAGAACAGGCTAGGATATCAAGGCTATCAGTATCAATTAGAATGTTCATAGCAAACTGTGTTGTTTAGTTTTAATCTACTACATACAACATTGAGACATAGTTCAGGAGCGAATCAGTAACTTCCTGATGCTACTGAATTACAGTCGTGTTGTAACGAAAATTTGGAGTTTTGCATCACGGAAAGACAACCAATGAAAATCAAGAAAAGATAGACAATTGTTCCGTTCTAGTTTGGGACACCGCAGTAATGCTGAAGTACAATTCACACGATACAATGACATTTAGGAGTCGCAGTAGGTGATTTGCCTTTAGACTAAAGTTCGTCCGTAATATCAAGTTTCAAGTCCAACAACACCCTATATTAATAGCGAAAATTTCTACAGCTGAAGAACTGACATGCTCGGATCTGATTAGTAAGCTTTAAAGTACCGTATTAGCAACAATAGCTGGATTCTATTTCTTGTGATAAAATTGTGTCCCTGCGCTGAATTTCAAGTAGATGAGAATCAACACGTAATTACTACCTAGTATCTTCTTATTCTATTTCCCCTACAACTAACCTTTATGTGAGAAACTATTGCATTTTGACGAAATAACGCTGGGTTCACAGTGTGTTGGGGATGCTGAATCGTCAGAAATTACTTAGTGAACTTCTCATTTTTGAAATCTGAATTTCTCACTTTTGCTTCTAAAGCACCCACTTTTACCTTTAGTTTATATTTCCCACTTCGAATGACCTCAAACGTCATTCGTTCGTTCCCTCTTTCAGTACGCTACTTTGTGACGTTTTCGAAGGACACTTTTGAACTATATAAATACGCATGAGTTGTGTGCTGGTTCGTTCCTGCTTCTTACTGCATGTGGGACATATTTTTCCCTCGGTTGAATTTGATCTTCTCCCTCTAGTTAACAGGGCTGGGGGCAGAGTGGAATAGTTTAGCTTATTCTGTAGTTGTGTCGCTGATGTCAATCCGTTCGTCTGTTTTAAGTCATATCGTAATTTCTTCGAACGTAGCACTGCAAAACATGAAAGTGAGTTATACGCGATACTGAAGTTTCAATCTAAAATGAAATAGTTAGTCCATGTGCTTCATGTTAAAATTAATACTATTTCCGTTGATGTTAGATTGTAATGGACATTGTCATTAAAAAATAAAATAAAACCTTCCATAAAACTCTACTAGAACACTTTTAAATAATAATATCAGAAGGGCTTTTGTGGATATTATAGAAATTTCAATAATTGAGATCATGAGTCAATTGAAGTTAGACCACGGAAAACCTGGAAGCACTGGATGGCCGTTTCGTCCTAGTATAGAACTCCTCAGCAATGTGCATCCACGGTCCCGCCTCACGAGATTCGAACCCAGGGCTCGTGATCTCAACTATTAAAATTATTATAATACCCATAAAGCCTCTTCTGATAATAATCAACATATGCTCACTGGTGACTGACTTCAAGAGGCATTTCCTAGAGTTCTAATGAGAAGCCGTTACCAGTGGAGTTCAACCAGGTCTGTTGTGAGATATCAACTCACTGAAGACAGTGGTGGACGGTGGCTCAATTTCATGGAATAGTTGAAGTTAGACATTAACACCGTTGAATACTAGCCGGCTCAGCGGTCTAACGGTTAAGCGCTCGAGTGTGAGACTGGTAGGTCCCCGGTTCGGATCTCGCGAGGCGGGATCGTGGACGCACACTGCTGGGGAGTCCCACAGTAGGACGAAACGGCCGTCCAGTGCCTCCAGTTTTTCCATGGTGGTCTAGCTTCAATTGATTCATGATCTCAACTATTAAAATAATATTAATAATAATAACAAAAGAAAAACACAATAACAAGGGGATTTTAGAAAAAAAAGGAACTTGAACCTTAGAAGTAGTCGCTGTTCTCGATGCTTTATCACGTGCATCTAATAATTTTTTTGCTTCAAACAATTTTTCACGTAAATTTTCTCGATGATGTTGACTGATAACGGCGCGTGAAACAAGTTCTGATAAATTGGATATTTGTCGATTAATATTGAAGTCATCAGTTACATTATTATTTTGACTAAGAGAAATTGATTTATTCACAAATTGAATTAATTCATTAACTTCATTATCAAGACGTAAAGCTTCTTTTTGTGCCTTTAAAATGATGAATTGGATTTTAGTAGAGAAGAAATGTGTGAGATAATTTTATAAAATAATAAAATGTAAACATTACAAAATGAACTGATTACAAAGTATATTTAAGTAGGATATATATTTCATTTAACAAACCTTTGGTAATATAACAAGGAAACAAATGAACCGATATATAATTTCTCAAAATTCTGAGTAGTGGTTAAAGTATGCGTCTTTTAACCTACAGGTAGCCAGTTGTAATACTATTCCATTTATTTTTTGCATAAACATACAGTTAGTAATACGAGACATGGGGATAGGTAGTTGGAGGTAATTAGCAAGAAAACATAGATTTAGGTTTAATATTAGGCTGAGATATTACTAATGAGCTATTTAAACCGTGACCGACATCCTATGGGGCTGAAATATTTGCACTGATTAGTCGTTGAGCAGTGACTAATGTCAATTTTGTCTATTCTTTAACACTGATTGACCCCTATGGACCAAGCTTCAATATAGTCACTAGTTTCAGTAGCTTCACAGTCAATCGAGGCCCGAATATTTTAGTTGTAACTGTTAAAACTTCGAAACTGAGTGACCGAAGTCCAGAACCATCAGAAAGTTTTGGTTCCCTTTAAATCCCAATTATGCTTTGTTAACGAATGTCAGGTCGCACGAAACCCAGGTCTATCGATTTTTATCGACTACCTCCAACCACCATCTTATATATCAAAATAGTGCACGTGATCTCGATTCACTTACACGCGTGGCGACACTGGAACTTTACAAATAGAATCTAGTTGACGCTAAAGACTAAGCAAACATGATACCGACTACAACTCAATAATCAAATAATGTATGTGTTATTAGCCTTCACATAAAAAGTGTCTATTAAACCCAATTTCATAAAACTGTGCCTGGTAAATGAGTTACAATAAACTATGTTAAGATATTTTCATGATTACTTTGATAATAGTTAGATATTCTTAAAATATGATTTATTGTATTTTCATTGAACATAGTTTTCTTTGCATTATCTCATCGTTTGACCCGATCTAAGTGATTAACGATGGCTCCGGTGAAGAAAATGGTCTGTTAATCAGTTTCTGGAAATGCACAACTCATTGATCCATCGACTTGTTTAAAAATATATCACTAGTCGATCATTCTCCATCATAATCTTAATAACTTCTTCCCCCTTATTGACAGGTGTTAAAGCCACTCCTTATTGTAATATTTCATCATTGCATTTCCAGTCGAACACATCTTTATTGATTGTTTAAATTCACTGAATAAATTCTATGTTAGTTTGCGTTAAATGGTTTTTTCTAAATATTTCGATTCCGGTTATGTTGATATTGTAACAGTAAAAAAATAGGCCTAAGAGCCACCATGGTATGGAAATCGGTTTAGTGATTCACTCGATGTTGTTTATAAACTAACAATTTATGTTTTCATCTTTAAGCTCCAAAGATAGCGATATTGGTCAATGGATTCTTTTTAATAGTAGCTGATTAAGATATACTCCATTTATACAATCAAACGTTTTAATAATGCCGAAAGTTGTCAAGACAATTGATGTCTTTGGTATTTGAAGTGGGTACTGGATGAAAAGAAAAAGAGTTGTCAGAACGTGGGGTTATTAGTTGCCCGTAAGAGACATTACCGCCACTTATACATTTAACAAAGTGATTTTCCCGTTTAACCTAAAATTCGTTTTTGATCAAACGATCTGTACAGATTGACTCCGTTGAGAGTCATAGTATCACAAAAAGGAAAATTTTATTCCCAAAAGAAACATTGAAAGTTGAAAGAACTATACAAAAGGACATTTTGTTGAATAGAAAAAAAATCTCAATAATCTCCAAGCTCAGTTAAAAATCTTTACTTTCTCTGAAGGTCACCATCATAATATTGACCCAAGTACATTGTATAAAAAAATTGCGAACATTCTTAATAGGTAGGTTAAGGCTATACACAAACTTGTTTGCTAACTTTGCACTATTCATAATGTAGTGAATGAGAATGAAGGTGTGGAAGATCAATTTATTATTTAATGTAAAATTACAGAATACTTTGGTAAAAGTATGGAAACCATACATTAAAAACCTCGTTTTCACATCTTTCAGTTGTCATTTGCATGCTTCATGATTCTTTCAATTCTTTTGTTATTAAAGTTACTCTCTGTTTACCTTCCTGTTCTCTTCAATTCAATCTTCTCAATCTTCTGCTCCCAAGCATTTCATTTCTGATTGATGTTACAAACCACTTATGTCCGTCAACATAAGTAGTACACACCACAATGCAACAGTTGATCAAACTCTTTTTAGAAATAACAACCCATACTTAAACTAACAATGGTAAATATATTCCAATGTATAAGGATAACAAGAGAGATTGAAAAAACTATTGAATACAAATTCCGAGAACTCTAAACACAGTCACAAAGAGACATCTTGTTAGCAGATCATAGATGGAATAATATAGGGGCACACTGATTAACTAAGAATGAGCTAATCATCGCTAGAAGACTTGAGAATATTCTTGCGTGTAAATGATAGATTAACCAAAAGTTTTCGCACTGTGATTGTTACTTTCATTTAACTTGTTTATTTGGAATATAATTTAGTTTCTGTTCAACCGTGTTCTGACTCAAGGTTTAGACGAGTAAGGTAGCTGAGTAGTATACAGAGAGATACGAACATATCTCTACGTTATGACCCAATACCCACCACTGATTCATTGATTAAATAGCTTCATATTTAAAGCAAATATCCACACAAAAACACGACAATAAAAACACTAATTTCATGCGATAGTAATGACAATAAGCAACTTGATGTGAGCACTTACACGTTCAGCTTCGTGACCAGTAAGAGCTATAATACGTCGAACACCTTTAGATATGGCCTCCTCACTAACAATCACTAAAACTCCAATATGTTTAGTGTTAAGAACATGACTGTAGAGAAAAAAAAATACCAGAAGATGAAAAAAGTAATCTGTTAATGATTTGCTGTTTTCACAAACAAATTTAACACTCAGTTCATAAAAGGTATTAAAGTGAATTGTCAGTCATAAATCATTAGCTTACTTTAGTTTACAGACCATGGAGTCAAGGTTAGTGATAGTAATTGATTGTTCAGATTAAAATCGAGTGAGTGGGATATTGTACATTGAATTTTATTGTGGTACAGTGCAATGTTTAAGCATCAAGACAAAACTCGACACAAAGTGGTTCAATAATTAAATTATTACAACTAACCGGTTACAAGTGTAAACTCTATCCTACAAACTTCAGTCTGAGCGACCCAGTAACTTCATTAGTCATTAAACACAAGCAGACTCAGTTGTAAACAACATAGAGCCTGGTAGAAATGTATTTTAGTCCAAATTGCCACTACTAGATCAAAACGATAAGATTAAATTAAAAAGATCAATAATAAAGGAGTCTAGATAATTTAATAATTGAATTCATGAGTCAGTTGAAGTCAGACCGCCATGGAAAACCTCGAAGCACTGGACGGCCGTTTCATCCTAGTATGGGACTCCCCAACAATCCCCATCCACGATCCCGCCCCGCAAAATTTGAACCTAGGACCTACCAGTCTCGCGCGCGAGCGCTTAACCAATGGTGTTAATGTCTAACTTCAACCAATCCACGAAATTGCCCCACCGTCCAACATTGTCTTAAGTGAGCTACTATCTCACAACAGACCCGGTTGAATTATGATAAAAATTATGAGGAAGACCGAATGTTAAGAATAGTTAGAAATGGCTGAATGTAAACGTACATATCAAGGAACATTGGCACTTAACATCTAAAGGAAGATTAAGAATTGATGTCATGTTATGGTACATGGCATGGTGGTAGTCAGTTGTTGAAGATTTTGGTCGCAACCTTACAGATGCATTCCATGTTTTATCTTACTCTAGTTCTTCTGTGGCAAAAATATTGCAAACTTCCAAATTCTGAACCTCATTGGTTCTTTCCGGACTTTATTCTCTGTGTCCTTATATGCATATTTATATGTATACAAAGGATACTTCTATTATCTCCTATGGATCTTGTTCACCTATTCTGTCTGCACTGATCCACTAAGTTGTTTATTCACTGATTAGCTTAATCTTTTAAACAATGTTGTGTGAACTATTTAGCTATAAACGATACCCTTTCAATTATATTCACAACAGCTAATTTATAGAACAAAAATCAATTTTGTTAGTCTAATTAACACAAATTTACGACAAACCATAAACAAGAACATTACGTACGTTCCTCCACAGAATTCAACTGAGGTAGTTTTACCATATCCCTTTTCTGGATCAGCTACTAAACTTGTCACAGGAACTCCAATAGAAACGACTCGAACAGGATCAGGATACGCTTCACCGAACACTGCACGCACTCCCTGAATAGTTTTAGCATATGACAGTGAAACATTTGATGAATAGACATTCAAACGTTTGCTTATCATCGTATCACAGATTTCCTCAGCTTTAGCTAATTCATCACGAGTCATACCCCGCTTAAAAATAAAAAAAGAAGATTATGGGATTAAAACATATATCCATTTGTAAATTCAGAGAAAAATATGAATAACAACGTTTGAAGTAAGAAGTTTTATTGACACATACCAATATGTCTGAAAGGATACCTTATATGCCAAATGATGAGATATTAACAGGTATATTGAGTGCTGTTAGAGGTATGAGGGCGGTTATCACTTCCCGATTGCCCACACCGTGGGAGGGTTCTTCTGGAGGTGCCTGAAAAGGAAATTGGATTAGAGGTGGTCTTGGTGACCTGAGAGCATGACCGCAGTGCCCAAGGGACAACTGCTTGAGGTCGGTCACACCCGACCGTTTTATGAGTAATTTTTGTGTTAGCTCCGTACTTGTTGAGACCTTACCGCTGGAGATGGATATCCGTGGAATAAGGCGAGATGTGCATTTTTAGGGTCGACCTTTTCTAACCCCACCTCTCCTTGTGGGAGGGCAGCATTGCTGTCATGGTGGTTGTCTGAAGGAAACACCTTACTGCTGTCACCCCTCTATACAATCAGCAGTACGACTTCGCCTTCGGAGCTTGAGTTTGTTGCTCTTAGTCTTACCGCTTTTCAACCGACCTGTCTGACATGTTAGGACCTTGAGGAACGGTTGTTCCAGGCAGTATAGTTCGGTCGCTTCATCACGATAGGCAAACCCGACCACCACATCAAGGTAGCAACAACGGTCGGGAAACTCTTGGTGACATGGCTCAGAATCGATCACAATGGCGTTGGTGTATACACTCTCTGTTTTCCCTTAAACTCAGATATTAAAATTGCTTCATATCTTTCTTTCTACGAACTAATTCTTTTTTCCTTATATGCAATCTTTCTTTTACATATTACCACCATTGAATTAACTACTTTTATGAATCCGGTGTCCATCTTGTTGTGTTAATGAGGTATGGCAACTTGGACCGATGCATATATGTACCTGGTCCTACATTGTAGCTGGCTGACTGACTAACTAACAGGTATATGCTATTGTTCAATGTTCGATTTTATTTTTTAAAGAAGAACATATACGCTATTGACTGAAAATGTAGTTTTATTTCCTAAAGGAAAAATATATATTTATAAATGAATTGTACGTATATTCTTGATTTGATTGAGAAATAAAAACATTACTATTCACTTTATGTTAAGTATTTGGTTGGGGTATGCACATAAAAAAAGGTATTTACCAGTATCAGAGTGGGACGATTGAATAACATAACAATTATCAAATAAGAAAATGAAGATAATCCCATTAGCCGATGACAAAACTTTGTAGAATGACTAATCAAATCTGTGATACAATTTTTGAATACTACTATATATCTCAACCTATTCTCAAAAAGGCAATGAAATCAGTATCAGTAAATGCAATCTTATAATTATCATAATATTAGAGACAAATAGTTTATGTCTGTTACACAACATTTTCATGAAATTCCTAGGCGTAAAAACTAATGCACATTAAACAATCTTAACTGTAGATTAAATCAAAACAAAAATAATTAGCGCTAGTTTATAATTTCAAAATTAAATTGAGATTCGAAACAAAAACACAGTTCCAGTATTAATGTCAATCAATAGTTTTAAAGTATTAGTTTGTTATTACATCTAATTGCCGAGTAAAATCATATTCTTTTAGAATAATAATAAGTTTATAACCTAACTACTATTGTGAACAGATTAACAGTTCAGTGCTAAAATTTAGATGTTGATTAAGGTTCGGTTAGTTCCTGAAGGAAATATGCAAATTCAATAAAAATTTATGTCTTCATTTAACTTTAATGATTATTCTCATCCAATAGAATGATTTATTAAATTTATCCTATCTATTAGGACTACTCTAATGGTAAATAATTATTACACATTTAATAATGAATCAATGAAAGCATTGAATAAATCTTTATAATAAATGTCCAGAAAAAGTATCTTACAAATATTTTATATTTTTACCTTGGCGGTAAAATCAAATCGTAAACGGTCTGGTGCAACTAAACTACCCTTTTGTTCTGATTCATCTACTAATTCACGAAGAGCAAAATTTAATACATGAGTTCCAGTATGATTACGCATTAAAGCTGTACGTCGTACAGTATCTAATGAAAGAAGTACTCTGCTGCCAACATTTAATTTGCCATGTAAAGTTCCAATATGTAAGATATAACCACCACGGCATTGTATATCTAAAATGCTAAATTCAGTAACCTAAAACAATAAATTAAAATATCTGTTAATTGTACAAGAAGTATAATTCATTAAAAAATAAAAATGACCAACTTCTGCACAAATCATCTTTCATTAAAGAGGAAGAATGTATTTGTAAAATCTCAGCGAAAGAATTCGAAGTAAATCCAACGTTTCGCCTGGCATTCTGGTCCAAGCTTTTTTCTTGGATTTACTTCAAATTCCTTCGCTGAGATTTTACAAATACATTCTTCCTCTTTAATGTCTCATATCAACTCGGCGCCCAAATACTGTGAAACTATTTTAGACGAAATTTCTTACATATTTCATTTATTTCATAAATATATATACTAGACAATTAACACTACTGTTTATATACAAATATCCAACCAGTAGTACATGATCGACCAGTCAATTAATCAGTTGACAATAATCAGAAACCAATGTTCCTTTCTTTTCCACTAATCATAAAACTGATAAGTCTTGCTAAGTGAACGCTATATTCGGTTCCTAAGCTATTCTCATAACCCTTAAGTTAGAACTACACAGCGATATGAACACGACAGAAAAGGCGCAAAATATATGAGAAGCACTGTACTCAAAAGGTTCGTTTTAGTACAGAAAATATAGGATTTTATGGTATTTTAGATGTACTTGGGTTTCCCGAAAATTCTGGAATACTACTAAACATAGTAGAAGTATAGTAATCAGCCAATCAGAAACTCTACATGTGACTTTTCACTTTCCTGATGTTTCGGCCTAAACTTCAAATGAAGGCTGATTTGGATAAAATGCTTCTTAGTGTTTTCCTGATCCTTTCTTGTCTTTTGCAAGTTTTCTGGATCACCCCAACAAAAACAAACCATATTATTAGGTAAATTTATCTTAATTTTAAGGAGAACACCTAGAAAATACATAAATTAATTCATTTGCCAGGTATTTGGGTGTGAGCCACACGTTAAATGTGGAGGCTGATTACACTGCCCTGTTACCCGAAGTGGAACACATGGAGAGGAATTCAGACCTGGAACTTAGTGGTTGATGATCGAACGATGTAACCAATAAAACACTATTTCGTGAGAGAAGAAAAAATAATTGTGACTAGTTACCTCATCTGTTAAACTTGTTATAAAACCATGGTCATATAACTGTCCTCCAGATTCTGCATAAAATATAGTTTTGTTCAAAATAATCCCACACATTTGACTGCTTGAATCGACACTTTCGACAAATTTATTTTCATAACGAATAGCTAAAACTGTAGCTTCAGAATCTGGGAAAACTAAATTGACAGAATATAAATAGAAAAATATTGATTATGAAGATGAGACAACAATTTTGTGTGAAAATAATCACAAACAAAAAAAAACACTTCCTTAGAAATATGAAAATATAAGTTTTATTAATGAACACTATGAAAATCTACCAGTTTATGGTTTATAAATATGCTGAATAACAAACTTGAACATGAGTTTTTTAAAGATCTAAATATACTTTCAAAATATATACACAATCACTTTCGAGTCAAACTATTTGTAAGAAGGTTATTGGTGATATTGTGTGACTAACCAAACTCAAGTAGGCAAAAGAGTGTACAAACCTGTGCCTATATTATTGATAATAATAATTTTTGTTGTCATATCCCAGTGAGTAGAAAAATTGTATTTTTGACTTTTCGTGACTTCATGTAACCCTATTCTTCAGAGTAAATTCGATTATTTATTTACTTTAAAGAAGTGGATTACATTAAGTCACGAAAAGTCAAATCTGTCGACAAAAAAGAAAAAAAATGTTTCATAGAAAGTAAAAGAAATTACCATAATTTCCATTAAGATCTGATGTATAGACAAATTTGTCTGAGTCATCTGTTACTGATATATTTTTACTTTTTAGTTCAGCCAATGCATGTACATCGAGATCCACAATTGAACCACCTGTACATTTTCTGCTCTGACTACGAATTTGAGCTTCTTCTTTAGCTTTTTCATATCCATTTAAATCAATCTGAAACAAACAAAACAGGAGATTGACGAAACATTAATAATACAGTTCATTAGTTTTGAAGAGACAGTATTAAATAAATTAATATATTTGTAACATTCCAAATAATGATTATTTATTCTCTGAAGAAGTGGCTTACATTGAGTCAAAAAACGTCAGAAAATCTGATTTTTCTACTTATTGGGATATTACAAATATATTAATGCATTTATAATGTATTTATCTAATAATGCTCAATTTATTCGAAATTATCAATTCAAACCTTGGTAATGATACTTACAGACAGTATTAAGTTTTTTTTTGTACTCCGCTGACCTGACTCTGATTTAGATGAACGTACGATGAATATGCTATAAACATAAATCTTCCATTTAACTCCGTGTATTACCTAGGCTAACCCCGTTTCTTTGATGGCAGTAATGAGAATCCAAATACGGGTTATTTTGGGTGAATTTATTTCAAGCACTCATCCAGACAGAAATTCAAAGTAAATGGTCGGGAAGCGAAGCGGAGAAGGTGATTAAGTCAACTAGATTTGATCAAGCGTGACTCAATATTTATAGACAGACAAAAATAAGCTAAAGACCTAAGATGAATAGAGTAGACGATACACACACATACACATTCATATAAAAATGGTCAAAATTAATAAGCGATTAAGTGACAAGGTCAAATGTTACTCTAGAATAATGAATAAATCGGTCTGTTCGGAAGCCACAGTAACCTATATGGGCTTGACGTAGTACCATACATTATAAGTTCATGTATACAACAAGATGATATGTAAAGAAGAAACCAAAATCATTTAGAATTATAATCGTCCAAACAAGATCATTAAAATAATTAAGATGTAATTACGAAAAGTAACTCCAAATAACATAATGAGATTTCAACGGTTGAGATCATGAGTCAATTGAAGCTAGACCACCATGGAAAACCTGGAAGCACTGGATGGCCGTTTCGTCCTATTGTGGGACTCCTCAGAAGTGCGCATACACGACCAATTGACTCATGATCTCAACTGTTGAAATTACTACAATCTCCACAAAACCCCTTCTGATAATAATGAGACTATTTGGAACTTTTGCTATAAAAGTATATCTAGTAAGTCAGTTGATTATTATGAATGTAAGATTTGTGAATTATTCGTTGATTCAAATTGTCAGTTACACAATATGAGAGAAAGTTAACACGACAGAGAAAGAGATTTATAGGAATTAATTTTAGTGTGTTAATAGCCTTCAGCTACTGTTTATTGGTCTATGAAATTAATTCTTTCATAAACAACAAGCAAAAGTATAACTTTGTTTAGTTACATTTCAATGCTAATTTTTATTTTGTACATAAATGACAGTTTAAATGTTATAATATATATCCAGCTAGTAATTAGGTGGTTTCGTTTTCTGAAATACATTTAATTACGATTCACATATCGATTCTATAACTAACTTAACAGATTAGACACCCCACTCTCTCTCTCTCTTTCGCTCTCATATTTTATCACTTATAACGTTGTAAGTTTTCAAGTTTAAAAGTATAGAATCACGAACCTAGTTTCTTCTTCTGGTTACTAAAAAGAAATAACATTTAATTAGACGACATATGAATCACCCAAAACGAACATACTATTCAAGTACACTCTATTTGATATCAGTTAATTGAGTAAGCAGAAAAAGCAAAAGAATACGTGTAAAGTTACTATCTCTATCTGAAGCACCATGAAAGATAACAGAGAATGTATTTTGAGATGGTGGAGAAGATTTGTAGCTCATGTGGATGATTTTGGTGGAGTTTTGTTCTCTGAGCTGGATGGTTTGGTCGTGGAGCTTTCATCGTTCTTCTGAACGACATCATCAGCACAAACTTCAAATAGAAGTGAAGTGTTTGAATTTCTCCATATATGTTTCAAAGCTTGTTCTGTGCACCTCGATGTTGATTGGTTCTTATTGACCTTAAATTTGTCATTGTTTACTTCTTTGTTTTGGTTGTGTCTCCCATTGTTTTGATTTTTGTTCTTATGTTTGTGCATGATTTTTCTGATTGGTTGATAAATTGGATTGATTTCAATATGCTTGTTGATTGCTGATTGACCTGAGTGCCAGGCTTCTAAAAATTCTCTGGTGTTTTTGGAGTTTCCTCTGTCTAAGATTTCCACATTTTTCCAATCGAATGAGTGTCCGCAGTTGTCCACGTGTATTGATATAAGTGAGGAGATATCATGCCGTTTGACTGCTAATTGATGTTCATGTAGGCGCAGGTGAAGGGGGCGTCCGCTTTGTCCGATGTAGTGTTTTTCGCAGTTGGCACAATTTATTTTGTAGATGATGTTTGATTTGTTTTCCTTTGTTATTTCATCTTTTGGTTTGCATAGGATTGATTGTAGTGATTTTGTCGGTTTGTGTGCTACACCTATTCCGAAGGTTTTCAGCAGTCTTGTTGCGGTTTCTGATATTCTTTGTATATATGGTAGGGTGATCCTTTTGTTGATTTTTGTGCTTGACTTGAGTTCTAATGCTGCGTGCGGTTGGTACTTTTTGATGAAGTTGATTGGGTAGCCGTTCTTCTGAAATACATCCTTCAGGTATTTCTCTTCATTTCTTCGTGCTGCCAGTGTGCTGCAGTGTGTTCTCGTCCTCTTGAACAAATTGTGTACGCAGTTGATTTTGTGAGCTCTTGGGTTGTTGCTATTGTAGTTGAGAATTTGATCTGTATGGGTCGGTTTCCTATATACTTGAGTTTCCAGTTTTCCTGTGTCGGTTCTAGTGATCAATATACCCAAGAATGCTAGTTTGTTGTTTGACTCCTGTTCCATGGTGAACTTGATGTCATCGAAGACGTTGTTGATCAGTTTGTAAGTGTTTTCTAGTTCATTCTTTTTGACGATGACGAAGGTGTCGTCTACATAACGAATCCAAATTTTTGGTTTGATCACTGGTAATATAGCGGCTTCTAGTCTTTGCATCACTGCCTCTGCGATCAATCCTGATATTGGTGATCCCATTGGTGTCCCTTTCGTTTGTTCGTAGATTTTGTTGTTGAATTGAAAATATGTTGTTAGGCATAAATTGATGAGTTCCTGTAGACTTTGAATTTGAAGCTTCGTGTATTTAGTGAGGTTTGTGTCGTTGTTGAGCAGCAGGGATATAGTTTCTTTTGCTAATTTTGGTTCAATTGAGGTGAATAGTGCTGTTACGTCGAAGGATATCATCAGTTCGTCGTTGTTGATTTGGATGTCCTTAATTTGGTCCAGGAATTGTGTAGGGGATTTGATGGAGTGGTTGGCTGAATCTACTAAATGTTTCAGTATTCTTGAAATTTCTTTTGACAAATTGTACGTTGGTGTTCCGGGGAGTGCTACAATTGGACGTAGTGGGATGTTTGGTTTGTGTATTTTGGGTCTGCCGTAGAATCGAGGGAGTACTGGTCCGTTGGATTTCATTCTCCATTGTTCTTGTTTTGTTATTTCTCCTGCTTTGACTAGCTTGTTTAAGGTCTTTGAGATTTGGTTGTCTAATTTTTTGACGGGATTTGTATCCATCAGTTTGTATGTGCTCTTATCTTCCAGTAGTTCTTCGGCTTTTTTGACGTATTCTTCTTTGAATGAAGTCCAACGGACCAGTACTCCCTCGATTCTACGGCAGACCCAAAATACACAAACCAAACATCTCACTACGTCCAATTGTAGCACTCCCCGGAACACCAACGTACAATCTGTCAAAAGAAATTTCAAGAATACTGAAACATTTAGTAGATTCAGCCAACCACTCCATCAAATCCCCTACACAATTCCTGGACCAAATTAAGGACATCCAAACCAACAACGACGAACTGATGATATCGTTCGACGTAACAGCACTATTCACCTCAATTGAACCAAAATTAGCAAAAGAAACATCGAGGTGTACAGAACAAGCTTTGAAACATATATGGAGAAATTCAAACACTTCACTTCTATTTGTAGTTTGTGCTGATGATGTCGTTCAGAAGAACGATGAAAGCTCCACGACCAAACCATCCAGCTCAGAGAACAAAACTCTACCAAAAGAGAATGTATTAATAAAATTATTAGGGCAAATACAAGTGTGTTGAGAGTAAACAGATGTATCAAGTTGCAATTATTATTTAACAGTACTAGATGTTCATTTCTATCATTTTATATATTACTTAAACGAACTTCTGTCTGTAAAATAATACTACTGATTTTTTTTACTTGTAAACATAAAAATCCAAATCTTTAAGTATGTATTGAAATCGTATTTTCTACATAGAAAAATAAATTCACAAGCAATATTTGTAATAACAGAGCTTTTATTAAGTGTACAGTCCATTAACTTATAGTTCTAACAAGTTAGTGGAATAAATATTAGAGTATTGAAGTCATGGTTTCGTCAAGGATGAGTTATATACCTACGAGAAGGTAGTAAACATCAGCCAACTTTTTTTACATTGATTTACATAAAGTTGGATTATTAGTTAGATCATAATGTTGCACACACAAAAAACTTCAGCAAAACAATCGGCTGTTTGTCATATTTCATGTAGTTATGTACAATACCCACTTACAAGATGCATCTTTGACTTACATATTCGTATACATATATTGTGATAAGCCCTTAAAAAGAACAGCTGTTTACTAAATTTTTTGAACAATACTCTAAGTAAGCTTTGAACTCATCTACTAGATAAAGATTCGTGTATCTGGCCTCAAAAAGAATTGTGACAGAACAAAGTACCTTTAAATGGTGTTCTTCAGCCAGTATTTGTGTTAAATCCAAAGGAAAACCGTAGGTTTCATATAAACCCCATGCAACTTCACCGGACAACGTAGTGCTGTTACTCCCTGATACTTTTAAATCTTTGATTACACGATCAAGGAAACGTCGGCCACGCTTTAAAGTAACTAAAAACTGTTCTTCTTCTTCATTAATAAGTTCTTTTATCTAAAAAGAATATGAATAGAATAGAAATATATTTAAATTAAACTGGGTAAAACGATAAAATGAAACATGATCTAACAATCACATACAGATTTATGAGCTCGGCTTACAGCCATACTTTCTGTGAATGGTACGAAAACTAATCAGCGTTTGGTTAAAATTCGAGTGATTTGGCTTCGATCCATCTGAGCTAATTCTTCGCCGATTCTTAATCCAAACAAAACTACTTGCTTACCTACGCCTGTTACTCCTCGTGGAGGAGTATAGGCCACCCACCAGGATTCTCCATCGAATTCTGTCCTGGGAAATCCATTCCAGTTGCTACTCATCCTTTTGATGTCTGCTTTCAATTCCCGACGCAGTGTTTTTTGGTTTTCTTATTTTCTGTTTCCCTTCAGGATCCCAAGTTAGCGCTTGTCTCGTGGTGCAGTTTGATTCCCGCAATGTATGTCCTGTTCACCTCCAGCGACGTTACCTCATTTCTTCTCCAGCTAGAAGCAGGTTTGTTTTCTCTCACAATAGGCTATTGCTGATGGTATCCGCTCAAATGGAAATTCAGTATTTTGCGTAGACAATTGTTTATATTTTACGATGGTTGTAGTAGTTCTCCAAGTTTTAGCTCTGTACAATAGAACTGTCTCGACGTTCGTATTGAAGGTACTGATTTCGATGTTGGCTGACAGTTGTTTTGAGTTCCATATGTTCTTCAATTGTAGGAATGCAGGTCTTGTTTTGCCAATCCATGCCTTCATATCTGCATCAGATCCCCGTTGTTTACCAGTGATACTGTTCAGGTATATGAAACTTCCCACCTCCTTTCTAGCTTCTCTATAAGGTATGATTTGGTCAGTGCACGTGTCATAATATTTAAGGATCTCGCTACTTCCTTTGTGCATGTTGAGGCTTACTGTTCCAGAAGTTGCTGTTACACTGGCTGTCTTCACCTGCATTTAATGTTATGTATATGATCTTAATATTTCCTGCTAGTTACTCTTACAGCTCTTCCCGCTGTCGCTGATAGGTCTTTCACGTGTTTCCGCTTGTTGGCTCTAATGCTCCTCTCCACTCTCTTGTTTGCTTCTTTGTGCACTCAATCTGTCCCTTGAGTTTCTCTGCTCTTCTTCGACTGTTGTTAATTGCTCTCTTCTTGTCCCATTCCTTATGATGATGCTTCTTGCGGTCCAGCACCTCCTGACATGTGGAAGTTAGTGCTTTTTGGCTCTTTTCCAGTTGTGCTTCATACTAGTTTCCTCTTCTCTGAATAAATCTTTTAAGACTTGGAACCTGCTACTGAGAACTACCTTGAATTCGTTGAGTTTAGCAGTATCTCGATGGAAGGCTATATTAAACATCCGTAATGATGTTTCTTCATGTCCCTTTCTTCTCTTTCCAAATTTATTTCACTGGATTATACTCCTTAATTAACATCTTCAAACCCTAATCTTTCCGATTACTGCTTATACTCTTACTACCTCTACCACTACGGGATTTAAATCGACAACTGTATCTCTGTGCTAATGTAGTATGGCAACTCGAACTGATGTACGGACGTACGAATATCTATGCTGTTACTGACTGACTGAATGCTGTTTCTCGGGTTGTCCATTGCTTCTTTAGCTTGAGTTTCATCTTGACGACGACCAAGTGGCGATATGAAGCTATGTCAGTTCCTCTTCTGGTTCTCACGTCTTCCATTGACCTACTGAATTTTTTAGTAATAAAGATACGATCAACCTGGTTCTCTGTAATGTGACCCGGTGAGACCCATGTAGCTTTGTATATGCGTTTATGAGGGAATATAGTGCCAGCTACAACCATTTTGTTGGAGTCACATAGATTTGCAAATATCTCTACGTTCTCGTTCATTTCCTCCAGTCAGTCCATGTCGTTCAGTGATATATTTATACCTGGTGTTGACTTTGACGTCTAGGTCTCCCATCACGATGATCAGATCCTTTCCTGGGCACGACCGACTATAGCCTCTCGTAAAATTGAACTTTAACGTCGTCATTGTTTTTAATGGTGAAAGCATGACACTGGACAACATTCATTGTAATCCCAAATTTCTTTGTTTCGAAGGATGCTTTAATGATCCTTGATCCATGAGATTACCATCCTATAAGTGCTTCTCTGAACAGCATCAGTGCAACTCCTCGTGTGTGTGAAGCAGTTTCTTTTTCATGACCAGAGTACAACAGCATCCCTCCAGATTCTTGTTTTTTTTCTGCCCGGTCTGGGTCCAATAAGTTTCACTTATTCAGAGCACTACCATGTTGTATCTCTTCATCTCTGTAGCTATTTGACTGGTCCTCTTGGTCTCACACATTTTCCGAAAATTCCATGTACCTATATTAATTGTTGCTCTGGTTGTCAGAAGAGGTATCGGTCTTGTGACTTAGGAAGAATTTCGACTTTCAGTATGAGGCGTTATGATTATTCCAAATGAATATCCTTCAACTTCCAGGACAGAGTTTAAATGGCTTGAATCGTTTATTCTGGTTAGCGTTTCCTGAGTGAATTTGTTTTCTACGGGGTAGGGTTGTTGACCTCATGCTAACCCTCCTCGTTTAACCGGACTTCATTTTAAAGAAGTATGTACCACGCGCTACATAAAATCACAGCAAGTGATTTGTAGTATACACAAGAGATGAACTAGGAGATCGACAGTAATGCATTTATAGCAACTTGTCTGTTTTCGATGGCTATTTTACATTCAAAACCAGGTTTTTGAGATGTAAAGGTTAGCTTTGAGGTTCCAAAAAGAAAACTTACAAGTTGCTTACAGGTTATCAGTAGCTGTGATAATATTTTGCTGATGGAAATGGATTGTATGATCATCGCATAGCAGAACATTATAATAACTTACTTACGCCTGTTACTCCTCTTGAAGGAGCATAGGCCGCTCACTAGCATTCTCCATCCAACCCTGTCCTGGGCAACCCTTTCCAGCTCCTTCCAGTTGTTATTCATCTTTTTCATATGTGCTTCTATTATCCGACGCAATGTGCTCTTTGGCCTTCCTCTTTTCCGCTTCCCTTCAGGATTCCAAGTTAGGGCTTGTCTCGTGATGCAGTTTGATGATTTGCGTAATGTATGTCCTATCCATTTCCATCGTCCTTTCCTAATTTCTTCTTCAGCTGGAAGCTGATTTGTTCTCTCCCACAAAAAGCTATTGCTGATGGTATCCGGCCAATGGATGTTGAGTATCTTGCGTAGACAGCTATTTATAAATACTTGTACCTTCTTGATGGTGGTTGTTGTAGTTCTTCAAGTTTCAGCTCCATACAATAGAACTGCCTTGACGTTGGTATTGAAGATTCTCACTTTGATATTAGTTGAAAGTTGTTTTGAGTTCCATATGTTCTTCAATTGTAGGAATGCGACCCTTGCTTTGCCAATCCTTGCCTTTACGTCTGCATCTGAGCCTCCTTGTTCATCGATGATGCTTCCCAGGTATGTGAAGGATTCTACATATTCCAGAGTTTCGCCATCAAGAGTGATTGGATTGCTGTTCTCTGCCTTGAATTTGAGGACCTTGGTTTTCCCTTTGTGTATGCTGAGGCCTACTAATGCAGAGGCTGCTGCTACACTGGCTGTCTTTGTCTGCATCTGTTCGTGTGGATGCGATAGGAGGGCTAGGTCATCTGCGAAGCCCAAATCGTCTAATTGATTTCGAGCTGTCCATTGTATTGTAAAAGATAATTAGGTAAATATTTTAAACCAGTTAAATAGGTTAATAGGTGATGGATATTGGATATGTGCATATCGTAACAATTTAATTCAATATAAACAAGGTATGGACTTTAAAGCAGGCTTTCCACCGATTATGCTAAAAACACTAATTAGGTGAAGTAAGTACTAATTAGATAATCCTTTTCTCATAAAAACAGGTGTGAAAAGTTATCCTGCACATGTAATGCCCTGATACACTCGAGGGTGGGCAGAGTCAGCTATCTCTCTCTATCGAAATGCTCTCACATGACTACGCGTACACAACCACTACCATGGAAGTCCTACTCACTGCCTTCTCACAGCAGGGTGATTTTATGAAATTCAGAGGACCGAAAAGCGAATGTCCAGTGCTTTCACTCGGTTGATGGATACAGAGGATCCACCTAAGGGAGTTGGAGAACTCTGGTTCCAAATCAATGGTGCACATGAGCTCCACGATCCTGAGGAAACAAATTGCGTGTGAACCCCTTTTGGTCACCGACTATCATAGAACTGCATCTCCCAACGTTACTCTACTATTTCGTGGATTAGACCTTTAGGTCAAAGGCTCAGGGAATGACTCCCTAAGAAAACCACGTGCTTCGGTTTGGGTACCTGAACAGTATCCCAACCCTCATACATATCGAGTGACGAAGGGTGTTGCATATATATTCGGTCCCTCCTTGTACCAATATTTGTGTTTACATAAATGAATAAATATACAAAATAGAGATGTGTACAATTTACAAATGTCCTTTCAGTGTCATTGAGAAATTCGAGAGGTAAACCAGTAAACGTACTGTATCCGGATCTCGGGTTACTTCTGGGAAAGCATTTCCTAACGTCTCAATCACAACGTCAACTAAAGTAGCTAAAAACCAGGCTTCGCGTTTAAAACCTCAATAGCAAATCTAACAGCACGTCTTAAAATGCGACGGATCACATATCCTCGACCAGTGTTCTGAGCACGTCCACCGTCGCCTAAAGCAATGGTCAGAACTCGAGCATGATCAGCTAGTACACGATAAGCCATATCAATTTTATCAGTATCTTCAACTCCCACTTTGCCCGTATAGGGTCTTGTATTAGTGCCCTACAAGATAAAGAGAGAAGGCAAATAAATAAATGTTAAATATTTGCAAAAAGTATACAGCCAGAAAACCAAAAATAAGGAACACTAAAAAGTGGGGTGAAAAAAGTGATTAAGACATTAACATCGTTCGATGCCGACTCAGTGGTTTGGAGGTCAAGCGTTTACGCGCGCGACCGAAGGTCTTAAACTCGATCCTCAAGTGTGGAGTTGTAGATTTGCGCTGTTGAGGAGTCCCACACTACGACGAAACGGCCGCCCATTGCTTTCAGGTTTTTAATGGTGGTTTAAACTTGGGTCGATTATGGAGAACACCACTAAAGTATTACTCTGAAAATGCTTAAAGTTATTTTATGACTTGAAAAACAATATTACAAGATGATTGACTGATATAAGAATGTAACAACCTGGACACATGTATATGGCTCCAGACTGAAGAAATAACTAAGAGAACATAACTAAACTTTACATTTTATGACTAGAGAAAACGTCAAGGGTATTGTGTTTGAAAAAGTTAGTTTACCTGTAGTGAGATGACTCATGAACACGCATAAAAATTACGCATACAAGGATAAAGCAATATTAAGCCAATTAGCGTAATAGACAGCATACAATAAGACATTTCTTGATCCCGTAAAGTTGATGAACATTCATTTTGAATATTTTCTTATCTAACAGTATTTTAAGGATTTCGATATCAATAGTGGTGAGAATAGTCAGTTAGTTCAGTAAGCTGACAAAACAGATGTAGCATACAGTCTAATAGATGAACACACATACGGCTTCTGAGCCGGGTTATTGGTCAACAAAACTTTTTCTAGCGAAAACTTAATTAAGTGCCTATAAGCAACTTTATTAATGAATAAAAAGTTGAGATGAAATGTAAAATATTTTTACTTAGTCATAGGACAAAATCTACTTAGCAAAAGCTATATTACTGTTAAGAACTTACTAATATATATACTTTAGAAAGGGGTGAATATTCTCGACATGTATTGTTCATTAAAGAAATGAGGAATTCTCTATAATCGTGAGGTTTACAATTTATAAGCCCTAAATAAATTACTAAATTCTTAACTAACGAATTTCTAATATTCAAAACAAAACTTACAGCTTCGATTGTCTTGAATAAAGGTACGAATAAGTCTGTATCATAATTAGATCGTTTGTTCTGAAGAACTGACAAGACCCGCTCAAATCCCATGCCCGTATCAATATGTTTTGCCGGTAGAGGTTTTAAAGATCCACCCTCTTCCCTTAAACAAAAGTTATGGAAATAGAAATGTCAGGTTGTCTTGTAAATGTTGAAAAGATGGGTTACTAAACACAAATAACGTCTTATTCATAGTTCAGATTTTTGCCAAAACCTATCGTATATTGTAGTCACCGAGTATATACAAGTACTTATGCTACACGACACAACCTTGTGTACAGAAGAATGATAAGACCTAAGAGGAAATGAGAAAAGAATTAAAACCACCGAAATAAAGATTATCTCTAAGGTGTATTTTTAAGACATGAAATAGAAGTTCCATACGTAGTTACGTTTTGTAGCTCAATCAGTAGAGCCTTATATTGTTCGCTCTAAAGTATTTCGTCCGTGTTTTCTTACGGAACAGATTTTTTCCAGCTTTAGCAAACATTCCAAAAATATTGGATATGTGTGATATGAAAATATGCTCGAGCTAATTTTGATTTTATAACTTATTAATTAAATAAGAATGCGTATACCAAAATATGAGTCATAACCATTGTACAAAGCCCATTCTAAACCTCTAGAACTTTGCTACATTACGTAATCAAATTATCTTAATATTCTGCGATAAGCACTCTAGACAATTATAAGAATAACCCTCTTTTAAGAAACTTTGATTTCTAACTTCTTTCATATTACAAACAATTGTTATTGACTGACAATTAGTTTTTTTTTAAATCATGTTAATAATTGGAATTAAACATACTATTTTGCATGTGGCCGAAGAACAAGCAACCAAATACAATAAATTTATCGTAATCCACAATTAAAGTCATTTTTGTTTCATTTAAATTTGTGAAGGAAAGTGATTGAATGTAATATTGTAGGAATAGCAAACAAACTGGTTGGAGTTAACATGAACACATAACTTAGTTGGTTTGGATTTGTAAGCTTAGATCACGTCATCAAAGCTCGATGGGACGAAAAATGTAGATCCCTCATAAGAAACGCTGGCAATATACAACAAATGTACCTTACAGAAGTTAGGTCATTTTTCACGTAATTGCATTTAGTATGATCTATTATCGTATCTTCAACTTTAAAGGACAAAACAAACATAAATATACATACACTTAAAAGTTATGTTAGAATACCGGTTAAACTGTATGAACACAAGGTTCCATATTTCCAGTACATCTGGATCATCTTGATTAACCAAATGAGCAGCAGCACGATCTCCTATACGATCATAGTGTATTTCAGAGCAAGGGCCACAAGGACCTGTTTCACCCATCTCCCAAAAGTTCTCTTTCATACCAAACGGAAGCACGTGATCCTTAGGTAATCTTGAAATCAGAAAAGTTAAGAATGTCGAAGTCGAGTTTAAGTATATTCTCAAGGATAATACAAAACAAAAACATCAGTACAATGTAGAATCTGTTTAATTTTATTTATTATTTATTTGAACACATGAATATTGGTACAAGAGAGCGCCAATATATATGGGCCACACAAAACAATGAGAATTCGAAGAGAAATAGAAAAAAAAGCTAAGGAGCGCAAAAAAAAGAGGACAATAACGAAGAGATTGGTGTAAGGTAGTGTGGTAGTAATGAGGGAACGGAAAGGTACAATTAGAAGAAATCTTTCAGGTAAGGGAGACACAACCACTTTTATGAAGAAAGTAAAAGGTTACAGCAGGCTCGCCACTGGCTTCTATTCTGAGCCATATCTGATAACGTCTCTAGCCACTGTGTAGCACCATCTCTCGGACCCCAACCAGGTAGTCGTGAAGGACGAACACAAGCCAGTCCTTTGCAGCTTTCTTTCATGCCACGACACCATGTCATGCACTGACCACCTCTCCGCTTCTTCCAACCAGTCCCAGGGTCGGCAAATAATGCACGACGTGGAATTCTCTGGGACGACATTCGTAGAACACGTACAAGCCACCGAAGTCGGTGTTTCAAGATGGTGACACCAATTGAATCATCATCTCTGTGCCCGAACACACGATGCCGAACCTCTGCATTACTGACATGGTGTTGCCACTGAATGTCAGCAATCCTTCGGAGACAGCGATGATCGAACACAGAATTCATATGCATCACACAAGTCACTTGATTTGTGTGAGGGCTGGGACACTTCCCGAGTGCCGAAACCAAAGCAGGTGATTTTCTTGAGGAGCCACACCCGAGGTCTTCGATCTGAAGGTTTGATTCACAAGACAGTAGAGCGACGTCAAGATATGCAGTCCCATAGAAGCCGGTGACCAACGATTGGTTCGTACACCATTTGTTCCCTCAAGATCCAGCAGCCCATGTACACTATTGGTTTGAAATCAAGGTTCTGCGACTCCCCTAGGTGGATCCTCCATATCCACCAACCCGGTTAAAGCGCCGGACATTCGCCTTTCGTTCTCTCAATTTCGTGAAAAACAGTAATGCCGCGAAAAGGCAGTGAGTAGGACTTCCCTGGTAGCGGCTATATATGCGTGGCCACGTGAGAGCATTACGAGAGGGAAAGCTAACTCTCCCCACTCGCGGCAGTACCAGGGCATTTAGTGGCTTGAACCAGTAACTACACAACTAACCAGTATTACACAGTATCAATATTCAAGAACAAACTATTATGTTTGAACCATGGAAACGCACTAGTTAAAATGCTTATCTAATAAAACCTAGGAAACAATCATAAAAAATATGTGAGGAGTCATATATTTATACTAATAACTACTTAGGTGTAAAAACCTGTATATAACTGGGCAGCATCATTGATGAACATGGTGAATCTGATGCAGATGTCAAGGCGCGGATCAGCAAAGCAAGAGCAATATATCTACAACTGAAGAACATCTGGAACTCAAAACAACTGTCAACCAACATCAAAGTCAGAACTTTCAATACAAATGTCAAGACAGTTCTGCTGTATGTGGCGAAAACCTGGAGAACTACGAAAGTCATCATCCAGAAGATACAAGTGTTTATTAACAGTTGTCTACGCAAGATACTTCGAATCCGTTGGTCAGACACTATCAGCAGCAACCTACTGTGAGAGAGAACAAACCAGATCCCAGTGGAGGAAGAAATCAGGAAGAAAAAATTGGAAGTGGATAGGAGAAAGCACCCAACTGCGTCACAAGGCAAGCATCCACCTAGGACCCTCAGGGCCAAAGGAAGAACATATTACGTCGACAAATGGAAACAGACATGAAAAGAATGAACAACAATTGGATAGGACTAGAAAGAAAGGCTCAAGACAGAGGGAATGTTGGTCGGCGGCCTATGCTCCATTGGGAGTAACAGGCGTGGTAAGTAACTGCTTGGGTTGTTGTTAATTCCAAGGTTTAGTAGATGGTACGGTCATCAAACTTATGTCAAAGTTCTTCATTCTGTTGAAATTGCTTCTTAATCTCAAAGTTCAAGATCACAGGATGAAATATTCTCATTGCAGAAACTTAACAACTCGTTATCTTTTTTCGAAAGTGAACAGAACTTATGAAAAACCAACAAGGCAATAAAAAACCTGATATAAAAGTTCAATTTTGATTACCACACTTTCTATCTAATAAAATTTACAGAAATAGAAAGATATAGGAGTAAATAAGACGTGGCCATTAGTATTATTATTATCACTGTTGTCAATAACTACAAATTACAGATTCGTGTACTTGACTTTGACTCATACTCCGAGGCCAGTGATACTATCAGATGGTCAAAGCTAAAGAGAGTAAAGCAGCGTTTGAACCTGAATTGCAGTAGCAGAAAGACAAATACCTGCACCCAAATGCCCTGGTGCACATGGGCTCCACGATCCTGAGGAAACAAATTGCGTGTGAACCCCTTTTGGTCACCGACTATCATAGAACTGCATCTCCCAACGTTACTCTACTATTTCGTGGATTAGACCTTTAGGTCAAAGGCTCAGGGAATGACTCCCTAAGAAAACCACGTGCTTCGGTTTGGGTACCTGAACAGTATCTCAACCCTCACACATGTCGAGTGACGAAGGGTGGTGTCTACATATTCGGTCCCTCCTTGTACCAATATTTGTGCTTAAATAAATAAATAACTGCTGGCAATAAATGGACTGAGAAGCAGAAACAAGTGGCGCGTAATGAGTTTCCGAAATGTAATCAGCGAATACTAAGTGTAGATGGACTACTGTAATGAATGCCTCGATAATTTCCTTGAATCGGCCTGTCTGACTGTTCAAGACAAAATTCGCGAGTAGTTGGACAATTTCATAATTGATTTTCGTGGGCCATCCAAAGTGGCGTATTGAGTACTAGACCTCAATAATTGATTAGTACTAAAACAGTATCTACATCTGCGATAATTCAAAATTTTGTTCAACTAGCTCCTTGTGTCTGACTAGTATTCCCTATTAAATGTACGGTTCTGCAAAATGCTGAACATCAAGTATAGAAATGAACTGTTGGTAAAACTTTCAAACTAGAACATTCAAGTAGAAAGCATCGTGTTGCAGCAACTTCAGGAACTGGCGTTAACTCTTTCCTAAATAAACTAACTCAGACACAATCACCCAAATAAAATAGTCCGGAAACATGTGGCTGCTAATTTTTGTCACTATACAATTAAATGGACTATACCTGTGGAGGCAGACGATGACACTATCTGCTCAGGTGTCAGTGGGAGGTGCTTTTGATTCAGTTCTTAGTAGGATGCCAAATATCTGAGTAACACTTCTTTACAACAACTACCAGATGTTCGAAAGACCATTACGGTACACAGTTCAAGGTAGTTATCACGCGATAAACGTGTATATTTCATAATAATACATTAATATCGAAGATCTGCACGTATATCTAGTTTCACGTAGGATGATTTAAAAAACAAGATAATTTTTGGTGCAAAACAGTACCCAATTGAAATCCAAATGTCACGCGCTTCTTCATCTGCAGGTAGACCATTTGAGATATCACCACCAAAGTATGTAACATACAAACGTTCACTCGGTATTTTCCACACTTCCGTCAATAATTCCCAAGCCCATTCACAAGCTTCTTTTTGAAATAATCTCCAAACGACCAATTTCCAAGCATTTCAAAAAATGTATGGTGGTAAACATCACGTCCGACGTCATCTAAGTCATTATGTTTTCCTCCAGCTCTGATACATTTTTGAGAATTATATGCTCTTTTGAGTCGGCCTAGTTCGCTATTTGGATCTACAGTTCCTTGGAAGATCGGTTTGTACTGAGCGAAATCAAAATTCAATGAGCAGTTACCTGATTCATTCCAGCATTTGCAAACAAGAGTGTGGGATCATTATGAGGGATAGTAGAAGAAGAATGAACATAAACATGTCCTTTCGATTTGAAAAAATCGAAGAACTGTTGTCGTAACTCCTTTGCAGTGATTTTATTATTCATTGTGGGGACTATTTGAGTAGAAAATACACGTAGTATGCAGGCGTGACTTCCGTAGTGGATGAAGGTCAGCTGTAGACGACCTTCGGCGACCAAATACCCCTCGATTCCAATATCCAATAATCTTGTGACGAGTTGAATAAACTAGCTTATTTCTTTCCTCATGCTTCTCAACGTTATAGTAGGGTACAGGTCTATAGCAGTATGTCAAACAGCAAATATAACTTAGACAACTTAATTCAACTGAATAATTTGAACTTGCTTCAAATGGTTTTGATGCATATGGAAAGCATATAAAAAAAATTGGGTTGTAGAAATGATCACCTCATACCGACATTCACCTCACAAACTTCAAGAGAGAGTTGATCTCGGGTGTTTCATGTAGGTAGTTCATAATTTTTAACTTTCTAACTTACTCGTGACCCTCATTTCGCCTAACCAAGGTCTCAATCTCTCCGCATTAAGTTGCTACATAGGATTTCTCCTAGCACCAACGTCCGTAGGAACGTCAATTCAATCAAATTGCTAAATAAAGACATTCTAGTTTGGTTTTCGTAGCCTCTTCGTTCGTGCATATCAAAAGACGATACCGGTGGTTGTTTTTGAATGATGATTTAAAAGGGCGTAAATCTGATGGAGAAGCGATACTGTAAAAGTAAGTATAAGCACAGACACTGTGACCAACAGTAACTATCGACTATCGGCGGTTGAATGCAAAAGTATTTAGGATCGTTACCCGTCGCCTCATATTCACGACTTGACAACTACCTTGAAAGGTACAACTGTCTTTTCGAAAATCGATTTTGTTAAAGCTTATAACCAACTTCCCATGACCACTGACGACATCCCAAAAATCGCCATCATTACTCCCTTCGGTCGTTGGGAATTAATGCGCATGACTTTCGGCCTACGAAATGCTGCCCATACATCCCAAAGGTTCATAGATGACGTTTTTCTATGTCTCAACTTCGTACATGTGTATGTTGATGACTGCTTGATAGCAAGTCCTGACAGAGAATCCCATCTCCAGCATCTGGACCTTGTTTCTGAACAACTGCGAACACATGGCATTACAATAAACATTCAAAAATGCCAAATCGGAACTGACTCCTTAGATTTCCTAGGACACACTATTGATCTGCAAGGCATCCGGCCCCCTGTGAACCAAAGTGGCGGCCATTCTGGATTACCCAGAACCGACCAACATTAAGCGATTGTGCACATTTAACGGCTTGGTAAGTTTCTATAGACGGTTCATACCAAACTGCACGTCACTTATGAAACCGCTAACTGACCAACTTCATGGAAATGCGAAATCCATCAATTTGGACGATACCACGCCAATAGCATTCTCCACAGTTAAGGAACCTATCACAAAGGAAACCATGCCCGCACATCAGAACACTGAATGACCCATTAGTATCGCAGTAGAAGCATCCGACTCGACAATTGGAAGAGTCTTACAACAATGGGTTAACCATCACTGGCAACCTTTAGCTATTCTCTCGACATGGTTGCTAGACACCGAGTCGAGGTATAGCACTTTCGGTAGGGAACTCCTAACTAGCTAGCTGTACGACATTTTCAACACTCTATCGAAGGCCGAGACTTCACTTTTTTCAGTGATCATAGACCTCCTACTTCCTCTTTGAGCTCATCTTCAGACAAATATTCACTTCGCGAGTCTCGACAACTAGACTACATTTCGCAGTTTACTTCAGACATTCAAATTATTTCTAGAGCAAACAATCTGGTTGCAGATGCTTTGTCTCGCATAACTTCCTTGAACAGTTTCCAAGGAATCGACTTTCTTAAACTCTCCCAGCTTCAAAAAGAAGACATCGGTCTTCAGCACGAGTTATCTTCAGCAACCGTTAAACTGCCTATTAAATAGATAGGGACAGGTAAGGAAACCTTACTATGTGACACATCTACAGGTAGGGATCGCCCAATCGTGCGGACGCAATTTCTTCAATACGTTGTACAAACGTTCTCATCCAGGTGTTTGTGCAACCATCAAGCTCATAGCAAATCGGCTTTGCTGGCCTGGTATGAATAAAGACGTGAGGGAATGGGCACGCTCCTGTATAAGCCGCCAGAAATCTAAATTGATTAGACACAACAAATGTCCCTTAGTGTGACAGAAAGAAAACGATGAAAATCCTTCCGTAGCTTCTTCGTTGAACAGTATTGTCATTTATTTGTTCCTTCTCCATGTCGTGTATTTTAACCTTTGTTCAGGTTTCGTTTAATCACACCTTTTGTCCCTCAGTCTTCCTCGTCTGAGCCCTTATTATGTGATTTTGATTAAAGACTTATCTTTTGTTACCCAAGTTTCCGTTGCATGTTGTTAGACTATTGACAGTAAAGTCGTGGTTGACTAGGCTCAAGGTCGGCGTGGTTCAGTGTGTGACTGTTAACCTTTTGACTGTCTGCCTGGGAGGATTGCCGGAATCCCTGTGGATAGATATTTGATCCCGTCTTGTTGGGAATATTTTTATTGATTCTCAGGTATCGAACCTCTTGGTATTACCTGTTTCCTTCATTGTTTAGTGCGTTACATTGCGTTAGAGAAATTTCCGACTGTATAGCACAGGCTGTACCGTTTGAGGTGTTTTTGTACTTTTGATATAATTTGTTCTGCTTTCTTAATTAGGACCATTTATATTGAGCACAGAGTTTGTGTTTTTATATATAATACGAGTATCTCAAAAACGCTTTGTGCGCTATAAAGAAGAATGTGGTCTGGTCTAATCGAATAAATTTTTGGTTCATCAGTCCAGTGTTCCAACCGAATATTGGTTGTTCGGTCGTTACGCTTAGGCTCATTTAAAACTCCTGATGCTCGATTCGACCATGTTCATCTGGATTTGGTAGGACCTCTACCAGACTCAAGTGGATACACTTACCTTTTAACCTGCGTAGACTGTTTCACTCGATGGCCAGAAGCAGTACCTATCAAAGGCATCACTGTTGAAACAGTGGCCTGCGCCTTCGTCGAACGATGGGCAGCAAACTTCGGCTGCCCTTCAACCATCACTACACATCGTGGGCGCCATTTCTAATCCGGACTTTTCCATTGCCGGATCACATTAATAGGGATCACTCGCTTTCTAACAATCGCCTACCACTCACAAGCAAACGGGTTGGTAGGACGCATTCACCGACAATTAAAAGCTTCACTATCAGCTGCAAACGTTTCACAGCGGGCCGACGCAATTCTACTCGTTCTAATAGGTATTAACAATGCAATGAAAGCTGACATTGGATACACCGCGACTCAACTCGTTTATGGAACGACATTTCGACTTCCAGGAGAATTCGTGGATCCTTCATCTTCTTCAATGAACATGGATATACCCTCCTACAGGAGCAGGCTTACAAACGCAGTGTGTCCAGTTAAACCCGTTTCCACTCGACCTCAATCAACTGATGTTTTCTTCCAACATGACTAGCGATATAGTACACACGTTTTGTTCGTTGAGACCCACATCGACGAATTCTCAAATCGGCATACGAAGGACCCTTCAAAGATCTTCGACGCGAACCTAAGTACTAAATAGTCGATAAGAATGGAACTAACGACAGAATCAGCATCGGCTGCATCAAAGCAACGTATTTAAAAGAAAATCGGACCCACGTCGATTTTCCTTCTATATAATCGAACGACACGACTCCGACACTTATAAAACATCATCCGACAGCCAACACGCACGTTAACACTTCGGCAGTATCTGAAAATAAACCTAAAACAACGCGTTCTGGAAAGAGTTAGGTTTCCAGATTTTTTGAACGATTATTGCACGTGAGACACCAGGTAACAGTTTGCTCCATCTCGATTTTCCCTTGTATTATATATAATAAAAAGATTAATATGCTTAAATTTATATATTTATTCCAAAAATAAACAAAATTTCTTGTGAATACGTGCACATTTAATTTTTTCCTTAGAAAAAAACCAAGAAATTTCCTTAAAAATCGCTTTTACGCTATTGCATGGGTATGAGTTTACTTTCCTTTTTCGCCTGCTTTGTGTCTTTACGCACGTACGAGTGTATTTTGACATGCAATTACATATTTTTATTCTTTTCCAGCTGTTCTGGAAGAGAAAGATGAAGTTTTCGAGAAACCGAAATTTTCATTGTACTTTGTTTCTTTATTACTATATGGTCCGTTATAGTAAGGAAAGACGACCAGATGCTGCTAAGCATAGCAGGCTATCAAAATAGTGTTTACCAAGGACCAACTTCTGGCTGGCCACATCTTAGGTTCCTCACTATCCCACTAGGGGGCGGCAGGGATCTGTAGCGGTAAATAAACCCCAAAAATAAATGGCTCTGTAAGTCTCCGACATTGGATGCTGACCACATTATTCTTAACAGACTCACCTAGCTAAAGGCGCTTGGTCATGCATCCGCACCAAATCACGAGTTGGAACGCCGTACTCCACTTCCCCTGCAATCACTAGCCAGTCTAGATCCGTCGATCACCGTTATATTGATAGTTTATCAAATATATCATCAAACCTCCTCGCTTCTATCTTTTGATTTCACTTGGTGGATACGATTCGTAGCAGAAGGTGGTAATGGTTAAAGCGTTGTCAAATTCTAAATACCAGTGACATCTTCACTGGTAAAACCAAACCTTACGGCATTAAACGATCAGACTCTAAAGAATTCGAACTAAAATATAATAAATGTCTCTACCGAACGAAGAACAACTTTCTGTTGACACAAAGAGTAGATCAATTCAATTTTCTTGATAACTGCCTGTACTTGCACTTGTATACATAAGTTGTATATATTGTTTTCCAAAATAATGAATGCCACTGTTACTGTTAAGGTTTACTGAATATCATCTTAAGGTTCGGGGGATTGTCTGGTATTATGGGCTACCATCTTCGTGGAGACTATAATCATATGTTTCTTCCTTAAAGTAAAATCCCAAAAAACTGGATACCTGCTTTAAATCCTGTTAACTGTAAGCACGTGATTATTCTTGTAGATCACCAACGTAGGTGATTTTATGTCGGAATGATTGGACGCCTACTCGAGTTAGACGTGAATGGTGTGACAAAATAGCTAACGTCGAAGTCACGCCTCGTGGTCAGGGCTTTACGTGAACTACCTCAATTGACTTATCAATGTACCATAGATGTTTTGAAGTCTGTACAACACAGAGGACGTTATTACAGAAATATTTTAGTTAAAGTAGATACAAGCGAAAGTAAGACCAATGCCGCATGGGCCAGTCCACGGCATATGATTAACTAATGCGCGTTGGTTGTACTTGACTTTGGCAGGGAGCGATGATCTGTTCGACATTCAGTGATCCTTTCGTGCCTTAAGGTAACCCTCGTGCTATTGATAGAAGAAACCAGACAAGTAGTGAATAGGTCTTTATTTCGATCTTCGCGCAGTCACAGTGGAGCGTGGGATTATCTGTTCAGACAAACAAAGGCTCTCAACATTCAAGATAATAGGGAATATAACGCTTATGAAAAATAAGGAAGTGAATGAATACTTGAACAATACTGTTTTGGCATAAGCTTGGTTGTTTGGGGTCAACTCTTAACCAACCAACCTGAGCTGTTACATTAGCTTCCCCCTAGAATCGACTTTCGTAGGAACGTCGGTTCGATTAACCTATCTATCGAAAACACCTTAGTTCTATTTCTCATCCCGAGGGAAAATTATCAACTCGCTCACTATTTGACTTACAATCAGTGACGACTAACGCTGTCAACGATAGTCCATGGATGTCTCCTCATTTACTAGTTTGTCATCTTATTTTGTAGCATGTGATCTATTCTACAACTATCGCTGACGGTTTACTGCGTGCTTTCAAGAGAAAGAGTGTGAGAATGTGGAATAAGAATATCTGAGGAAGTGCCGCGAGCGGGCTACCCAACACCATGTTGGTGAGGTACGATTTTTCCATGCTCAGACCGGCTATCAGGTGTTTACTCACCTGCCTCTTTAGTCGCCCTCAAGTAAAAAGTAAAGAAGAATCTACTTCAAAGGTAATGGTGAAAACCAATCACACCTGAAGAACTGCTCCACTGCCTGCATAAAATAATAAGATACAAAATGGAAATACAAAAATATAATTTATAATTGTTCGGTTCCACGTAAGTGATTGGCCTCCAGAAAGGATTGGTATTCTGGAAGAAAATAGACATAGTGTAGCCATCTTATGTACGAAAAGGTATGAACACAAAAAAAAACTTTTTCATAATGCATATATGTAAAAGTGTAAACTTGCTAGAAGTTGGACTCATTGTCAAACCCGATCAAATGTATGACCTTGGGCCTATGACGACCGCCTTTTATAACCAGGTACGTAACCAAGGGTGCATAGTTGTACTCCACAAAACGGAAAAGAATATACGGTTAAGGAGGAGAAAAAAATTGTGTAGATTATGAGGATTAAGTACAATTGTGTCAAATACTCTTTTCTGGTTTGATCTAAGTATGCATGATATATTGAAACAATATTTCGTCAATTCATCCAAGTAACGAATTTGTCTGCACCTTAGAAATGTGTAAGTCCTATTACTCATTAGTATTATATACGATTAATCGGTAAAAGGAAAGATTGCAGTCATTCGCCCGTGGTTTGATGTGGTCTAATGGCTAGGCACACGGTCTAGCATCCAGGAGGGCAGAGGTTCGAGTGCGTGTGGGGCTAGCGTTTTCGTTCACCAAAACCCCCTTCAATACGATGTTTGTTGGCCATATGTTGCTCAGATATGAGAGAAAGATAACAGGAGGACGGATTGATATGTCAAAGTGCCATATTGGAATAGTACAAGTTCTTTGTTTTTATTAATAATAATGCTATAGAAAAAAAAACTACAAGTGTGGTAGATTTCCATTTTACGTTATAATTAAACCAACGAGAAAAAAAAGGTATATATATATAAGTTATTGACATAACATGTCTTTTTTATAACGCTAGTGTTAAGTTCCAGGATTTTGTATGGACCACTAATAATAATTGGTTTAACGTTAGCATAGCTGTGATATTCATATTTCAGTTCAATGTTGTGATTACTTAACAGTTCCCTTATAAGTTGTGTTTAAAATTAGGTATGTGGAATCAATGCGGCTAACATAGTAACCTTACAGTAACGCACTGTACTATATCTTCACGGTTATTGATTCTTAAATGTCAGAAATTAAAAAAAATTTGAATATTGCCAATAATGATGGGTTATATGATCACACTAAAAAGCATGCTGTAGGAAAACTGGTTAAGTCATTATGTAAGTTTCCTAAACATGAAAAAAAATGATGAGAACTTTATTAAGTATTTGACCATGGTTTAATCCAAAATGTTTTGTCTAGAAAATTACTTATTAATAGTAGTATTAAGCGTATCAAGCTACTAAACACATCTTCGACCGAAAACTTTTAGAAGTAGTTCATATGGTATATATGTATAGCCAGTCTACGTGAAAAATGTATATAGATATATAAGAAGTACAGCCAACATAGTTAATTAACCAGAAAAAGAAATTATAAAACTCGCCTGGGTTGCTTTTTGAATTCGTTGTATTTGCCAGTGTTAGTTGTATGAGTTTGATTAAAATCCGCAGCCATCGTTTCGGAATACCTAGCTTATGTGTCCAGTATTTAAAAAAAATTTAACATAACACTTATATATCAAAGGCAAAAGGTCTGGGGAGTTGTAGGTGAGGCGGAATGAGGAGAAAAGTTATTTTTAAGTAGATGAAGGGTCTGATTAGCTACGTGGTTAGATTTTATCCTGCAGCTGAAACTGTCAACATCCTTGATTGGCTAATCGGATGTGCCCAGCGAACCGTTTTAGTCATTTGTAAAGATTTATCGTTTTTGCATTTCGATTCCGTAATGGATTTGTCAGTTAAACGATCTAACAACACGTATGGTGGTTCATGATCTAGATAAGCCGGCTTTAGCCTATCAATACTTACGGTGTCGATGTTTCCATGTTTTTCTATCACGAAATATTTAGATTTTCTTGAGACGACTTTGAAAGGACCTTCAAATGGAGGGCTAAGTGGTGCTTTTATTTTGTCACATCTTATCCAGACGTGCGTGCAATTGCTTAGGTCTTTAGGTACATATACGGCACGCGATTGTTCGCGAGTATTAATTGGCTTAAGTCTGGACATATGGTCCCGTAGTTGATCTACGTAGTTTCCTAAATTAAGTTTTTGACTGTTAGTATTGGGGTTAATAAATTCACCTGGTAGTCTCAGAGTTGTTCCGAAAACCAGTTCCGCAGCTGAACACTGTGCGTCAGTTTTGACAGATGTTCGTATTCCCAACATAACTAATGGTAGGAATTCTGTCCACTGATTGGGGTTTGAGTGAGATATAAGGGCGGTTTTTAGCTGACGGTGAAAACGTTCTACCATCCCATTAGCCTGAGGATGATATGCAGTGCAGCGTATCCTATTGGAGCCTAGAAGTTTAGCCAAGTTATTAAATAGTTCGGATTCGAATTGCGCTCCTCTATCCGTCGTTATTGTTATGGGTGTACCAAAAATGGTTACCCAGTTCTGCATGAAAACTTTGGCTACTGTTTCCGCTGTGATGTCCGCTATCGGGATGGCTATAGGGAATCTGGTAAATCGATCTATGCATGTAAAAAGATAATTAAAACCGTTTGAACGAGGTAAAGGACCTACCAAGTCGATATGCACATGGGCAAAACGTGCATCTGGTTGCGAGAAAACACCTATGGGTGAATTTGTGTGACGATTAATCTTTGATTGTTGACATGCTGAACACTCTCTAACCCATTTGTGTACATCCTTCTGTAAATTCGGCCATATATATCTGGCATTGATTAGTTTTGTTGAAGCTTTCGCGCCAGGATGAGACAAAGAATGAAAGTTATTATATATCAACTTTCGCATATTTTTGGGAACGAAAGGTCGCGGCATTGCCTTGGTCGTGTCACAATAAATTAGAATACCATCGATAGGTGATGGGAATTGTTTTAAATTAAGACTTGAATTGTTTGTTTTAAGTAGGTTTTGTAATTCTAGGTCCTGCTCTTGTTCGTGTCTCAACGTCTCGAAGTTTACTGTAGACTGCTGTAGCACGTTCATTTCTAGTCTGGATAAAGCATCTGCCGCCTGATTGTCCTGACCTTTGACATGTCGGATATCGCTTGTGAACTGTGATATATAGTCAAGGTGTCGGACTTCTCGAGGTGAGTATTTATCGGCTCTCGCTTTTAATGCATTCGTCAGTGGTTTGTGATCCGTAAAGACTATAAATTCCCTACCTTCTAACATGTGTCGGAAGTGTTTAATGGTCAGGTAGATTGCAAGAAGTTCTCGCCCGAAGGTAGAATACCTTGTTTCGGCTGGAGCGAGTCTTTTCGAGAAAAAAGCAATTGGTTTCCAGGCGTTTTTAACCAGTTGGTTAAGGGTACCGCCTACTGCTTTATCTGAAGCATCCACCATCAAAGCAAGTGGGGAAAGAGAATTCGGATATATCAACGTAGTTGCTTGAGCCAGTTTATCTTTAAGCTGTTTAATAGCTTCGATGGCGTCAGAAGACAGTTTGAATTCTTTTGGTTTTCCTTTAAGTGAATCTGTCAAAGGTTGCATTAATTGTGCACAACCTGGTATGAATCTGCGATAAAAGTTAATTAGGCCTAGAAAACTTCTCAGTTGTGTTAGAGAACTAGGTACGGGGTATTGTTTGATGGTATCCACTTCTTTTTTGATAGGTTTAATCCCTTCTGGGCTTATTGTGTGACCGAGAAATTCTAAAGTTTGAACACCGAAAACACACTTACTTTGATGTATGTTTATTCCATGTTCATCCAGTCTTTTCAACACTGCTTGTACATGCTGTTCGTGTGATTGCAAATCGGGGCTGGCAATTAACAAGTCGTCTATATACCCCTGCGCAAATGGCATATCTCGAAGTAGGTTATCTATGAATCTTTGAAATGTCTGTGCCGCATTTCTCAGGCCGAATGGCATGCGTACAAACTCGAATAAGCCAAAGGGTGTAGTAATAGCTGTCTTGGGAATATCTTCATCAGCCACCGGGATATTGTGATATGCCCTGACTAAGTCAATTTTAGTGAATATGTTCATACCCTGTAAACCGTTGGTGAAATCTTGGATATGAGGTATTGGGTACCTATCTGGTACGGTTTGACGGTTTAGGGCTCTGTAATCCCCGCACGGTCGCCAGTCACCTTCATTCTTCTTTGGGACCATATGCAAAGGGGATGCCCATTGACTATCAGAGGGACGGATAATACCCAATTGTAGCATATAATCAAACTCGGCCCTAGCGATTTTGAGCTTATCTGGTGCTAGTCTCCTGGGTTTTGCAAACACCGGTGCACCTTCGGTTTTGATAGTGTGACTCACTTTTAGTTTGTCTTTAGAAGGCTGTGGGTTTGGTTTAGTTAAGTTTGGAAATTCCGCGAGTATATCTTGGAATTTCGCTGTTGTTACTGGGGAGTTTGAATCAAGTTAAGAGAGCTGATGTGACTTTCTTTGCCTTTTGTGTAATACGAAGTTTCTTTTAGTGTTAATCGCCGTTTCTTGGTGTCAACTAGAAATTCGTATCTCTCTAGAAAGTCCATCCCCAGTATTGCCAGATCTAAGTCGGCTACCGTGAAAACCCAAGGGAATTGCCTCCTGAACCCCAAATCTAGGGTTAAAGTTTTCTGCCCAAATGTCGCAATTTTAGTTTTATTTGCAGCTTGAAGTGTAATTGATGATGTTTCTCGACTAATCTCAGTTTTATTTTGAGGGATGATGCTAAGAGCAGCGCCAGTATCCACCAAGAAATTCAAGCCAGAGTTTCTGTCTCTAACATAAAACAAGCGACTGTTTAGGCGCCCCTCCTCAGTCGTCGCGACCTGGGGAGGGGTTACTCGTTTCCCGCTGTCTTAGAATTATGCTTAGGCCAGGCGCATGGTTGCATGCACTTGGTTGAGTTGACACCAAACTTCCAGTGGTACCAACAAAACTGCCCAGATTGTCTGGACATTTGTGACCTGTTTTGTGACTTGGATCGTGGTCGTTGTGGTGACCTGCTCCTGTTTCTATGACCCATTTGCATTCTGGTGACAGCCTCAGTGAGACTCTTAACACTCGCAATGAGTCCTTCTATTACGGGGTCTTTTGCTGATTCTACTTTTTGTGTGTGATTTATTGTGCCTGATCCAGTTGGAGGACCTCTTTCCATTATTCTGTCGGCTATACGCGCTAAATGAGATAATGAGGTTTCAGGATCCTGTGCATCCAAACAGTGTTGGACGTAGCATGGGAGAGCTTGTATCCATCCTTGTTTTAGGACTGCTTCACCCACTGTGTTATCACCCACTAAGACTTGGAGGTGACGTAAAAACTGTGACGGCGACCGATCACCTAGTGTTTCACCTTGAAAAAGTCTTTGGATTCTTTGACTATCTGATAATGATAAACGGTTCATTATCTCTCGTCTTAAGATGGTGTATGGTTGTGGTGATGGTGGATCTAAAATCAAGTCACGGACTTCTTTGGCGACTGAAGGAGGAAGGATAGAACACAAGTCTCTATAGCGAATCCCTTCAGATTTGATATTGTGTCTCGTGAAATAATGCTCTAGTTGAGCAAACCACAACTCAGGATCACTACGATCAAATTCTGGAAGTCGGGATTTCGTAGTCATAACAGTGTCTATCTCCACTGGTGACAAATCCTCCAGATTATGGGTTTCTATTGAGTCTGACATGAGGTATGTGACAAATATAGCAATAAAGTTAGCACAAAAAGTGGTTACTATAACACGAATAACTTAAGATAATACGGAATAAACTAGTTATATACTCAAATTAGTTTACGGATAATCAGGTCTACTTTTACGATTAAGTAAAAAAAATGTTAATAACAGAAATGAGGTTAAATTTGTGTTCAAAAAGGGCTCACCAGTTTCGTGCCTTAAGTAACCCTCGTGCTATTGATAGAAGAAACCAGACAAGTAGTGAATAGGTCTTTATTTCGATCTTCGCGCAGTCACAGTGGAGCGTGGGATTATCTGTTCAGACAAACAAAGGCTCTCAACATTCAATATAAGATAATAGGGAATATAACGCTTATGAAAAATAAGGAAGTGAATGAATACTTGAACAATACTGTTTTGGCATAAGCTTGGTTGTTTGGGGTCAACTCTTAACCAACCAACCTGAGCTGTTACAATCCAACTGCCGGATGATTTGTCTAGGGCTCAGTGACATTTCACTGGTCCTACCTTTTCATATACGTCATTTTGAATGGTAACTGAAACACATGTTATCAGTAACAATTACCAGCGTCTTCAGTAATAACCTGGCTACTGACAGTGAAATAAACTGTAAAGGTTATTGAAAGTCAACTGAAACACTCATGGTTCAAATGGTTCAAATGGTTGTGGACGGAATAGAAGAAGCTTTCGCTTAACAGGCTTCCGTGTCTAGTAGCAGGGGATCACCAAATCCTCCAGGCAGGAACCTAGGTATGTTAACAATAAAAAGGAAAAGAAATTGGTAAATCATAATGTGATGCTGTCCTTGGTCCTTAAGAATAGGTCAAGTTGCCTCTTGAAGGACTCCTGAGAAGTCGCTTGGACTAGCTCGGCCGGCAGCGAATTCCAGCTTTTGACAACTCTTAAGGAGTAGAAGTTGTGTCTACATTCCGTCTTGCTATGTTGTGTTTCCAGTTTCTGGGTGTTACCCCTTAGGTTATTATTCGAACTAAGCTTAAGTAGGTGTTTAAGAGGATGTCCAGAAGTGTTAAGAATACTGTAAGCCATTAGTAAATCACCTCTAAGACGCCTATATTCTAGTGGGTAAAGGTCTAGTGAACGGAGGCGTTCTTCGTAAGGCTTAGATTTGAGTCCTCGAACTGATTTCGTGGCTCGCCGTTGGATACGCTCCAAAGTGACCTTGTCCTTCTGGAGTGAGGGGGGAGTACTATGTTTCCGTACTCTAAATGGGGACGGATAAAACTATTGAAGATTGTGTGGAAAGTTCGTCCGTCAAACTGTCCAAAAATGCGCTTCAACGTTACCAGTGCAAGGTTTGCTCGGAAGGCATTTTTGTCACAGTTAGCGTAAGACTTTAAGTCATGGGGTACCAGGACTCCTAAATCTTTTTCGACTTGGGATACTACTAGAGAGGAGTTTCCTAAGTTGTAACTGTAGTTTGCTACATGTCGCAGATGGACTACTTTACACTTTGAAGTGTTAAAGGTAAGTCCGTTATCGTCTGCCCAACTTTGAAGTCGCGTCAGATCATCCTGAAGTGCCTGTGTATCGTCTTGGTTGCGTATCTCTCTCCAAAGTTTCACGTCGTCGGCAAAAAGTAATAAATCTGACGTTACCTGTTGAGGAAGATCATTTATGTAGATCAAGAAGAGAAGAGGCCCTAGTACTGAGCCCTGGGGGACCCCACTAGGACATTCCATAGCCTGAGATAAAGTGAAATTAACCCTAACCTTAAAGTGTCGATTTTTTAGGTATGAAGTAAGCCAATCGATTAGAGGTGGTTTGATACCTAGTCGTTTGAGCTTGTTGATAAGACACAAGTGGTTAACCTTATCAAAAGCTTTTGAGAAATCAAGGTAAATGACGTCAACCTTTCCCTTGCAATCGAGGATGCTTGTCCATTTGTCCACCGCAGTCAGCAGGTTGGTTATACAGGAGTAACCCTTCCTGAAACCATGCTGTTGGGGTGAGAAGAAATTTAAGGACAGTAGATAGTCATTTAAACCGTCGCATATCAGGGACTCCATGAGTTTTGAAGGTAATGACAGAAGAGCCACCGGCCGATAACTTGAAGGTTCATTGCGTCGACCACCTTTGAAAATTGGTGTGATGTGAGCCAACTTCCAGTTTTCCGGTAATTTGCCTCGGCTAAGCGAGTGTGAAAACATCACGCTAAGCGGCGTTGCCAGGATTGAGGCTGCCTCCCTCAGTATGGCAGGATGAACCATATCCGGGCCAGGAGAAGTGTCAAGTCTTAAGTGCTGCAATTTCCGGAACACCAAGTCAGCGCTTAGGTCCACTTCAGAAAGTCCTGTGGAGTTGGAGATGAAACTGTCGTCAATAAAGTTGATGTCAGCCGGTTGAAATGTTTGAGAGTAATGGGCCGCCAGAAGGTTAGCGGCGTCGCCATCGTTGTTGGTCGGGCCGTTAAGACCTAGCAGTTGAGAAACTCCTGTTTTGGCTTGACGAAGAGAGGCTGCATAACGGAATAGGCTTCTAGGGTTAGAGGCGAATTTGTCCATAAGCTTTGTTTGGTACTGAAGCCTGTCTTCTCTTATAGCCTTCGTGCATGTGTTCCTGATATGTTTGTATTGCCTATACGCTCCATCGTTATTAGTTCGTTTGTATTCCGCCCAACAGTGCCGTTTGCGGCTTAGGAGGCGAAGGGTACGGTTCTTGATTACTGTAGGTGGCTTGAAGCTCTTGGGAACCGTTTGAGGAACTGAATGGTCTGTAGCACATAAGAGCGTGTGCAGTAAAAAGTCCCAATGACCATCCACATCGATTTGAGGGTGAACATCCCAAACGACCTGTTGTAGATAGTCATGTAGAGCTGGCACGTTCAGCCGTTTAAAATTCCAACGCAAATTATTGTTGGGATACCTTAGCTTAGTTTTGATGACAAAACTGAAGGCTATGACGGCATGATCGCTTTTTCCCAGAGGAGCCAGGATTGAGAGGTTGTCGACTAGGAATTCTTCGTTAGTGAATACACAGTCTAAGCGCGATGGTGTCTGACTGTTTCTCCAACGAGTTGCCGACCTCACATTTTCATATAAGCCCAAGTTATCGATGAGGTTGTAGAACCGAGCTTCAATTGAGTTGTCGCCTCCAGTGTACGTGTGTTCCGCGAAGTTGACTCTAGGGAGATTAAAGTCCCCTAGAATCAGGATGTGTGTGAAACCGAGACGGATAGAGCGGGATAGTCCTTCCAGCATACGACTATCGTACTCGGTGTCGGCAGTTGGCTTCCTGTAAATGACTCCGACTAGACACCTGGAAGTACTAGACAGTCTTACAGAGCACCATATGGATTCCTCAAGATTGTTAAACTCGAGGTTGTGAACCTGGTGCACCTCCAAGCAAGAGCTTATGTATATGGCTACTCCGCCCCCAATTCCTGTTTTTCTGTCGTTGCGGAACAAAGTCATCCCAGTCAATGCTAACTCTTGGTCCGAGAACTGAGAAGATATCCAGGTTTCAGATATTCCTATCAGATGGGCCTTATTAGCGCTGCTAAGTTCACGTAGTTCATCCAGTTTGTTTGGTAGACTCGCGGCGTTCATATATAAGCAGTTTATGCTTTCAATTTGGAACGCGTGAGCTTCGTCCTGTTTTTCTGTATGAACCTTGTGTGAATGGACAGGTAGCCCACCTATGTGAGGTTTGCCGAGGTGGTAGGCCCTGTCCTTTACACGTTTTTTTTATCGTTTAGACAGTCCACAAGTGGAATGGTCAGCTCCAACTTGCCTTTGTTCTTGGTCCTAACTTCGTATGGCCTATCCGGGTGCATGTGGATTCCAGGTGGCAATCGACGTCTATTAGCACGAAATGCTTCCAGAACTGCAGCCGCCATGTGGGAAGATGGGAAGGTTATCTTCATTAGACGGGGTCTAAGATCACCGTCCTTCTTGGCTAGTCTCGTCACATGCTGAGTCAGTATGTGTTTGAGCCTCAAGGACTGTTTGATGAATTTCCATTCCCTGATGTCAGAATTTGGTTGGGTAGGGTCTGCATTTTCCGGTATACCTTGGACAATTATGTTTCTTCCGCGGAAAAACTTCTCGCGAGATTCTTTAGGGACGTTTCGTATGATACTGCGCTCAGAGTACGGTATGTCGGGCAGTATTCTTACGTTACCATCTGATTTCAGCAAGTGGCTTGCTAGCAAGACGTCCTCTACGTCGGTAGCATCCTTAAGTGTTACTCGGAGAAGCCTCGGGTGATTTAGATGCTTAGAATCCTTTCCTCGAGTGAGCCGGGTGACCGTCAAAGGCTCTATTCTAGGAAGTTCAAGCTTCTTGTTCAATTCACCCCAGAGCATCCTGTCGTTTTTGTCCTGCAGACTGAGAGGAAGATCAGGATTGTCAACGAGGTTCATGATAATGAGAGAATCGTCACGAACTGTTGTTAATTTACCAGGTTTCACGATGGGTTCAGGTTTAGTAACTTGTTGTTTGGAGGTCAGTGTGCGTTTTGAATCATGGGCTCTTTATTGGCCGGACGAACAGTCTTGGGGGTAGACTGTGCGACTAAATCACCAGTTATTTTCCGTGCAGCAACACTTGGGTTGCTCGGCTTAGGCAGTGATGCCTGGTTCTTTTGGGCTCTCTTAACGTGGGTCGAATCACCTGCAGGGTTTTTGGGAACCACTGTTGTGTTTGGGGACCCTGAGCTGGGAGACCCGAGTTTGCCTAGGGAGTTCAGTACCGTCGACGTAATGATGGTACTGAGCCTCGACACGTCGTCGTTAGTGTTGATGGATGCGCCGTCGATGGAATACCTATCGACATCCCTGTTTTTGAGTCCGTTGCACGCTCTTGTTTGTATATCAGTTTTTTTGCTATCGTTTTCCAAGTTAACTGACAACTTGTTCCGAAGACCTGTCAGTAGGACAATGATGTTACTCAGCAAGACTACGGAGTCTGTGTTGCACGTGACACACACCCACTTTTGCTCTGACTTGCTGAGTCTGTTGTAAGCAGTTGCTGTCAGATCTGTGCATGCTTCGTGGAACCAACCTTTGCAGTTGTCGCACTGCATGCCAGTTGTGACAGCAAAACGGCATCCCGGACGTTTGCATGAGTTTTTCATGACGGTGTTGAAGCAAATTATGTTATAGATGCTTGCAAGAGCCTAAGACCTTTAAAAAAACACTAAAAAGCACACTGAAAACGGACAAAAATGGACAAAACGAGTGATATAAACTGAAACTAGTCTATACGTGAAAAACAAAAAAAACCGAATAGTAAGCTGAGGCAAAACCACAGGTAACTATTAAATATAGTGAAACTCAAAAAAAAGTAATCTACCGAACGTATAGCTCAGGATAGATTCTTTAGAACTGAAATGGTACTTTTGTTGCGTAAGAACACAGCAAAAGTTTGATAAATGCAAATCACGTTAGGACTAAACTTCCCGTTCGAAAAGCGCGCGCAAAAAAACTGAAGGTCATGATGTTTGGTTTACTCTTTAGGTTTTTACGTCTCACATAGGAAGCTCATAACAAACATATTAATGCATCCTGCTACTAAGCCTGAAGATGTAAGTTTTAATCCTTACTTTTTTATTTACGAATAACATAAAGTCAAGTCATCGAGTCCCAATCGGCATAAATATTTTGACAGGTGGTTTAGCAGGATGTGTTGCAAAGACAGCAATTGCTCCACTAGACAGAGCCAAGATAAATTTTCAGTGTAAGGCTCTCGTACTTATTTTGGTCTTTTTAGCTACTCGAATGCCGTTTAATGTTCGGAGTCTTATTCAGTTTCTCAAAAACACTTACCAAGAACAAGGTTTCATGTGCTTATGGCGTGGTCACACTGCAACTCTTGCCAGAATTTTTCCTTATTCTGCTATTCAGTACTCTGCTCATGATCATTACAAACATTTACTTGGGATTGGTTCAACTAGCCATTCGTGAGTTTCCTGATGTCTTTTACAACATGCTCCTTGTGAATGTCTCATAAATAAATAAAGTATTCTTTCGATTGCTAATCTCTATATCCATATTACTCAAGTGTTAATTCGCCCGGTAGTATGCCTTAAGTAGACACACGTGAATTTATGTTTGTGAAGTTCGATCAAATCGACAGTTATAAGACCAATGGCCTTTCATCTACTTATTTTCAAGTAGTTCTAGCTGCAATCGAACACAGCACACTAATGCGCATGATGCCATCCTCATATTTGAAACCGGGTGCTTCCCTTCTCTCCAGTTGTTGATGAGATCCTCATTGGAGAACTGCAATAGTAATATCTACGTCAGAAAATTCGTTTTCTGGTCCTCTACAGATGTAATTATGACAGATAACTTCTATGGAAATAAGAAGTGTATCTGTTTGAAGTTCTGGAAAATGTAATTTCAAACCAGTTCGGTACAATCTTTTGGCTGCGTATTTACTTCAAAGGGTCTACAAAAGAAAGACGGACAGTTTATTGACTTTGAATCGTCCAATCTCCCAAGATTTTCCCCGGCCCTTATCACAATTCGCGTACTGTTTAACTTCACTTTATAACCATTATTGGTATGCTTCTAGGACTAGTCGTTCTATCTCTTTTCTTTCAGAAATTTCTATTGTCTGGAGATTTTTCTCATCTTGATTTATTTCTGGAAGTAATGGTACTTCGTTCAACTTCTCAAACATTAGCCATTTACACAACGAGTAAACAAATAACGTTGTTTGAATAAGACGCTAGTGAAATGTAGAATCATTTAAATGCATTACTCTATAATCAGGGAATTTTTAGGATCTATTTCTCTGGATCTGATGGCAAAATATTGTTTCGCAACTGCTTTATGTCACTGCCTAGTTTATTTATGAGAAGAAAGGTTATGTCGATTGTTTGCTTTTTCTCTATACTCGAATGAACCTTAATAGCTTGGTAGCTGACGAAATGTCAAAATTAATACTGAGAACTACTTGTTTCTCCCCAATTAACGTCTTTCGTTGCTCTGGTCTACTTGTTATGAGTTTTTATGCCCATGAATAAAGGTCGTTCAAGGTTGCATGTAGACGAGTCTATGCAGTTTGATTCGTGATACAATTTCTACCTAGCTCCGTACATTTTTAGTTTTGCTATATTTATTCATTAGCTTTTATTTTTCCCTTGATGTATAGAGATATTTCGTATATACGTTTACGGCGATTTCTTGCTGGTGTTGGAGCTGGGACAACATCGGTTACCTGTACATACCCACTTGATGTTGCTAGAGCACGTATGGCAGTTACAACTGCTTCCAAGTTAGTTGATTGACATTTTGTTGAAATTAAAATCATTCATGTTTACAAACCCTTTTTTTCTAAGCTCCTGTGCTTTAATGTAATTGACCTTCTTCGCAATATACTACCACAGTTTATAGAAAGAAAACTCTCACAAATGGTTCAGAGTTCCCACCTTGGGATATAATGTATTTTTTGCCAGTATTCGGATATGGAGATTGTAGGGTTTCACTAAAATATGGGGACACCGAAAGTCCATTTTGCTCTAGTATGGGGCTCCCTAGTTGTGTCCACTCTCAACTACATACGCGGCAATCGAACTCAGGACCTCCGATCTCGTGCACAAATGCTTAACACCTCCGAATGTCGGCTTGGTGGTTCAGGGGTTAAACTCTCGAGCGCGACACTGAAGTCCCTGGGTTCTATAGCCTGTGATGGGTTCGTGAATGCGCACTTTTAAAGAATCACATGCTAAGACGAAACAGCCGTCCAGTGCTGCCAGGTTTTCAGTGGTGGTTTAACTTAAATCGGGTCTCGATTTTGATATTTTTTCTTTGTTTATTCATAAATATTCGATAGATACGTCTTCTTGAGTAATTTTAGTTGAATTTATTTATTTATTTAAGCATCAATGTTGGTACACGGAGGCACCAAATAGATATGCGCCCCACAAATCACTCGACTTGTGTGAGGGCTGGGATACTGGCCGGCTACACAAACCGGAGCGGGGAGCCACACCCCGAGCCTTTGACCTAAAGGTCTAATCCACAAGACAATCGAGCAACGCCAAGAGATGCAATTCCATGGTAGTCAGTGACTAGCAGTTGGTTCATATACCATTTGTTCCCCCAGGAACGTGGAGCCCATGCACATTATTGGTTTGGAATCAAGGTTTCGCAACCCCCCTAGGTGGATCCTCCATATCCACCAACCCGGTTAAAGCGCCGAATATTCGCTTTTCGTCCTCGCAATTTCGTAAACAACGCCGCCGCCACGAGGAGGCAGTGAGTAGGACTTCCCTGGCAGTGGTTGTATGCACGTGGCCATGTGGGAGCATTTCGAGAGGGAGAGCTGATTCTCCTTACTCTTGGCCGTAACCCAACATTCGGGGGCAATTTAAATCAAAACATTCTTGATAATATCATTCTCTCAGAAATCACTAGGAAACTAGGTTTTTCTCGCCTATTATTCACTGGTGTGAGAGGGGTGGATAGTCAACTCAAAATATCCAAGTGAATAAATATTCGGTTCGATAAAAGTTTTTTAGTTCATTTCCTCATTGTAAGCTTATCCAACTCTTCGTATTACTACCCTATACAGCGAAAAAAATTAATTAATTGATCAGTTTGACTTTGACGTATTTTTCTCTCACTTATCATTATTCAACGCACTGTTATCTCCACTGTGTAATCTTTAAAGTTGTCTTACCGACTGGTTTGTGTAGCATATTTAAAGTTAGAACTTAATAGGAATTTAAAGCGATTGACATCTTCCTAAATACTCATTTTCGGCTCCAATATAGATGTTAATTTATGCATAGAATTATTGCCTAAGTAAAGTCATTATTCCAACCATTTATGCTGGATTCTTTTTAAGCTGATCAACCAATCGACCGTTTGTGATTCTTCTATTTAGAATTATTACTCAAATTTTTATTTATGGCAAATGAGAATACTGTCGAGATGCCTAACTCATTCTATCAGTTGTCTAAAATTTTCATACAGAGTTGTATGTGAACTGTAAATAGTTGTGGTTTAGATAAGTCTTATTGTTTGAGGTGTACATTTTCAATTGAATTTAACATAACTAGATATTAGTTGTGCTCATATCCAGGAACATAGGTTTTAGATATATGGATGGGACACAATATCGCCGGTGTTACTTATGATGAAATCACTATAAATTGTGAATTGAGCTTGTTCAAAATGTGTGCACACTGCTGAATACTGACTCAGTAGTACAATAATTATATTATGGTCTCAGCAAAACATGAAGATCTTGAGTTCGGCACTCGTGCCTTGGGTTTGTTAGGACACGTTAAATTTTCAAATGTAGCGTACTATGAAGTCAATCTTAAGATTCATACATTTATTAAAGGTGATTTCTGTTCATGTGACGAACTTTCTAACTAATAATCACTGAATGCGATAGGTATATAATAGGATGAATTCGAACGTGAAGTATTGTTCGTTAGTATTCACCAAACTAATCTTCCCCATAAGATTTGTGTTTTAGAGTAATCGGGGCTATGCGATAGCGTAATAGTTGTATTCTGGTATCGAGAAGTTGTGATAACATATCAGGATCGCTAGTGTACATAATTTCTAAAAAGTCTCAACCTAGAATCAAAATGTTGTTTAGTGGTCTTCGGTGTCAATCTAAAAATGAAGCCATGTTTGTATTTTCTTGCTGACAACCTATTTCGGAATCACTTAATTTAGCATGATAAGGTTTTCAACTTATTAAATGATCTACTTTCAGTCACCATCGTAATTATATTTACAACATTATCCTATTCACTATCTTTATTCGTAACCTATTATAATATATATCAATGATCGTATAAGCATATGATAAACACGTGATTATATATATATATAAGGTCACGAGAAAATTTAGTAGTGTTTTCTGTTTAAACGTTGCTGATTTTTTAAAATTATGGTACATTTGCATGAACTCATGATATCTAAATTCCAACTTGTAGTAACTTATTGCTAAAGATTTAACGGGATAAGTTAAGATACTTGATTAACGTAAGACGCAATGGCTTAATGGTTTAATCACTCGATTCGATTATAGATTCAAACTCCGATTCAACTACCTTGGGGAGTTGGCCATAAAACTCAGAACCTAGTACAGATTCATGTTGACTCAAGTTGCCATACAATATAAACACAATCAGATAAAATAACCATGCAGGTAATAATAGTAACAGTGATTGCGATAAAGACTGAACATTGAGAATACAGTCCAAACAGAGGTATGTACGGAAAGGTATTGAAACTCAGGATCTAGAGAAGGATAAGTAGTAAATCCATCCATGTACTGCTTTTTCAAAATTACCCAGTTATTTTATGGAGATACATTGATTTTTGCGCATGATTCTCTTGCTATTCATTTATCAAGTACAAAAGTATTTACTTAACTTTGACCTACACTGTTTGTACGGGAGCTAATAATACTACTTGACTGTTCAAACTAATGCTAATGGGGGGTTATTATACGGAATCTATTGGTTGAAAGTCAAGTGTTTTAATCATAACCAATATCACTACTGCCATCACCCCGGTGAACTATGATTATTTGATATCCAGATTAATTTGACACTGATTTAACTACTATAAACTGGTCAAATATTTAAAGCTAGGATAAAATTAAATTAATCCACGTCCACTAACCTATCTGAGGTTACTTAGGTCACTAAGACCATCTCTAACCTGATTTCCTTTTCAGATACCTCTCGAAGAACCCTTCCACGGTGTGAGCAACCTGGAAGTGATAACCGCCCTCATGATTTCAACAGAACTCAAGATCACTGTATTCATAATCAATCTCCCTCTTCAATTCCTACGTTGTAGCTGACTGACTAACCTAACTAATTCCATACACAACAAGATATATCTTTGGAACCTATTATTCAGATTATAATCTTCCTAAATTTCTCAAAGCATTAAGATTTTACCGACCATATGTTCATGTGCACTACTGTTTACAAGATCTTTAAACAACCTTTTATCCTTTAATTACTGCTTTTAATTATCTTTTTTTTGATAACTGGTAACCATTCGAAAGTTATTCTACATCTAAGATACAAAACTTGAACTTTCTAACTTTTAACCCTAACGAAACAGTGGATAATATACACTTCTGAGTAGTCTCAGTAAGCTAGTGTTCCTTAGTTTTCCAAAAGTATTCGAACTGAAGTTAATTCATGATCAGTACCAACTATAAATTAAATTAATTCCCAAAACCTCTCCAGACAAAATACAACCACATTTATTAAAATCTAGTGGTATACTGGCTTTCATTTGTATGTAATCACTGTAACTTATTTTAAATTAGTATATATATATAGCTATGGAAGTGTTAATTAGATGAGTTGAAACAATAGTTGTACCATTCATAACAAATAAATTATCAAGCATGACGAATACATAGTTTGTGAAACAAAACGGATGAAATTGTCATATTAAACTCATAATCTACAGGAAAATGAAAAATGAATAGACCCATACCACTGCGATTGATATCGACCCACTATCATCCAAGGTCTCTAAATATAGATTATGATTATCTAACGGATTCTAACATGAACGTCTGTATCTCTCAACATATTTTATACCAATATTAAATGAATTTGTGAATTATTGTGATATTTTGTTCCAACTCTTTTCTTCTACCAATCTATATGTTAGCCAGTATAGTGTGTTGAGGATGTGTACTACAAATTCTAATTGACAAGTTGATACAACTTCTCAGTCTGATCAACAAACTTTATGTCTCAATCTAATACCTTACAAACAACTTCAAAATACAATCAGAACGGTTGTGTTGTTAAGTTACTTACAATTGATTAATAAAACTTTGAAACCATCTATGAAAAATAAATATTACTAGTGCTAAATGGACTGTGATTACTCTACTACTTAGTATTTTTTGAGCAAAATACTTTACTCGACTAGTCTTAAATCATCATGAAACTTGTAAGCAGACAGGGGTCTATTTGAGAATCGAAACAAGAACATATTGTGTAGTAAAATGTTAAGTATGACTTACATAGGAATTTTCTATCTTTTTAATCTATCCAGTAATACCTGACTGGTTGAAAATAAAACAATTAACATGATCCGACATATACTAATCAATGCTCTATCCTGTTAACATGGAGATTTACTCATAAAACTTAACTTTTGATCACAATGGAATAAGCATAAATCTATAGGATCTAATTACATTTTTGTCAATGGAATAAAACTATGAGTTATCATGATTCTTTCTGTGAACCTGTATACTTAACAGTATACTTCTTTTAGTAGATGTACTTGTGATCGTTAGTTGAGTTAATTCTACCGTCAAATTATTCTATTTATCATTAAAACTAGTTATTTATAAAAGTATTACTGTTATTATTATTTTTGTGGGTGTTGTTAAGACTTTTGAATTTGAAGTTTCACATTATGAAATATCTGTTTAAACAACCATTTGAAGCCAGAATGCATTGAATAGCTGTTTCGTCATGGTGTAGGTCACGTCAGTAGTGCACATACACAGCCCCACCTGTGATTGAATGCAGAATCACTAAGTTTATATCCACTGATTTTTATTTCTGACGTTAAACAATTCACGATCTTACGCAACTATCGTGCACTGCCTTTGTTGATATGTCTCACTACTAACAAGGTTGAACACTACTGGTTACTACTTTCCATTTAAACTCCAGGAATTACCTAGAGGTTAGTCACCAGTAATCACATGATGACCGTTATTGTAGGGACCTGTGAAGATTTTTGAATTTTCCTATTACTGACTGGCTATGTTTAGGCAGTGGATAATAATTGCACTATATCGCGAAGCAACCGAAGTTAAAAATGTCAACCACTGGGTTATCGACGTAGTGGTGTGAAGGTTAAGCATGCGCTCCGAAATCTGAAGGCCCCGTGCTCGACCCCAGCTAGGGTTGTGGATGTTTACTGTTACTGAGTCTCACACTAGCTGTGTCAGTACCCTTTTGTTTTTGCTTGTTGTCTAAGCAAAGACTATCCCTAGTTTGATACTTCATTATTATGGATCTGTATTTCGTTACTTCCGCCATATATGATTTCTTTTGTTCATTTACTCAGATATTCTAGTCTTTTTCATGCTATACGAGCTCTTTATACAGAAGAAGGATTAAGTGCATTGTATCGTGGTTTTTCCCCTGCTCTCCTCGGTATTATCCCATATGCTGGGACAGCTTTCTTTACGTTTGAAACACTGAAAGAAACTTGTTTAGGTAAGAAGTCCTTTTTTATATCATTTCTTTACCTATTTACGATTGATCGTCTCTTTTTATTCCTCCCTATCAAGCACTTTATTTTAACTCTTGTTCTTTTAAAACTATTGTTTTAAAATTATTTTACGTGTATGTGTGTAATGGTTCATTGTTTGTTGGTGTTGTCCACCACACTGTAGGTAACTCTGAATCAGTTAATCACTCAGTTTTCGACCAAGTTTTGTCTTCTATTTGCGTCTAAATCCATTTTTTATGATTTACCTAACCATAATGTATTGTTTTCTCTCACACAATGTCAAGAAAATGAATCCTCTATGATTTAAAGATGTCTACCATTATGGTATGACTTCAGTTTGTAAAGGATAAGAACACCCATAACATAAGCATCTTACATTACGTCATCGCTACTAATAACACCACTGTTTTTTCTCTTTCTGTCTGTGTTATTCAGTGTCGTGTTTATTTCTAACTGAAATATTTAAGTTTAACTGATGCAAGTCAATTGTTCAGATGTTACTTTATGATTTTCATGTGTGGTAATTATTATAAATTGGTCGTAAGTATCTGTATTGTATATATTTACATAAATAATGTTTATTTACTTTTCTATTCAGACAGAAGCAAAGATCCCATCACTGGTAAACGGCCTAAAAAACTGTATCCATTTGAAAATTTATGTTGCGGTGCAGTGGCTGGAATTTTAGGACAAACTGCTTCTTATCCACTAGATATTGTTAGACGAAGAATGCAAACTGCTAATATTACAGGTATGCTGTGTATACCTTTATTTTCTTCTTTTTCATTTTGTTTCGTTATTGATAAATCCACTCACCGCCTTACATCTAATGAAGGGCTGAACTTGTTAAACATGTGATTGTTCTTAATGATTATAGTTTTTGAATCATCAATTGATCTTAGCCAGACTATCATTGAAAACCCTGGAGGAACTGAACGGCAGTTTCGTCCTAGTATAAGACTGCTTAGCAATATACATTCACATACCCGCGCATCCTGGAATCAGATCGAGGACTTTCAGTCTCGGGTGCGAACATTTAACCTATAGATCATTGAACCGGTAACCGACAGTGTTAATGTATAACTTCAATTAACTCATGATATTGCGCAGTCTTCATCTATTCCCTACGGTGAATAACTGTGCCATAGCTGACATATATGTATGTTTGTTCTAGTAATCAAAGTAATCTTTTTTTTGTCCCCGAAATGAAAAAAATGGTTAAGATTATAAAATTTGTTCAGTTAAAAAATATACTATAATGAGAAAAAAATGTATCATTTAGAAATCTATCGTGTAATGTATATTTTCTTTAGAAGTTATTGCGAATATTGATGCATTTTAACTAATTATACATTTTTTATTATTCTAATCATTAGATTAGATTATAAACTGAAATGATAATATAAATTAGATATTTCAAGAGTTTAGTTATTTAGCTCCGTTTTATTTTTAAAAAAAAAACATTTCTCGGATGTTTTTCTGTCATTGCTTATTTACTTACGTCTGTTACCCCTCGTTGAATATTAATCATCAACCAAAAATCTCAAATTAATTCTATCCTAAGCTTTATGTTCCAGTTATTCTCCTTTTAGACTTAACGCTGATTACTAGTCTATGTTAAATGTTCAATTCATCAAACATAAATGTACGCATTTCTGTTGTGTTTTTTTCTTAAAAATATGTCAGGCTTCACATTAATATTATAATCGACTGACTTTTCTCAATCACATGTAATTTTCTGGTTTGTGACCTTATTCATTTAAATAGCTTAAGCATATTGAACAATTTTCTCTCGACTAGTCTTTTTCTCCAATAATTAAGTACAGATTCGTGCATATTTGTAAATATTTGGTTTAAGAGTTGTTGATACGATTGCATAAATGTTTTAAATCAAAATCAGTGTTATCTGCGAGATTTAACTTAAGAGTTAATTATTGAAAGTTGAATAAATTTTAACCACTAATATACTCTATCTACTCTTAATCATAAATGTGTTTGAACCAGTTAAAAAATATACTCTTTTTATCTATCAGAGTTAATATAAAAACAGTTGATTGTATTGTGGTGTGTGTTACTGATGACGACAGATATAAGTAGCATGTATTACCAATCGAAAGTGGAATGCCTGATGGCAAAGGTTAAGAGAATTCGAAGAGAAGAAAACGAGAACAGAGAGTGATTGATATGGAAATGAAGGAATAACAAAGTCTGAGACAGTTGATGGATATTTTGGAAATGAAGTATTTACTGTATGGTTCTCAGATTTTACCAAGTTATTTTGTAATGTATTAAAATACATTTAATTGTCCTCATTGGTGTTCTCGTTCACGACAGTATTATGGAAAAAATCATAATGCTGATTATCGTATTATAATCAGAATAGGGTTTGTGGAGATTGCAGTAATTTTAATAGTTGAATCCGTGAATCGATGTAAGCTAGGTCACCATTGAAAACCTAGAAGCGATGGACGGCCATTCCGTTGTATTATGGGACTTCTCAGCGGTGCGCGCCCACGATCCCGCACGCGAGATTCAAATCCAGGACCTTCGGTCTATTAAAATTATTGTATTGTTATAGTGTTTCATAGTATTCAGTCAGTGGTCTTGAGTGCTGTTAGAGGTATGAGGGCGGTTATCACTTCCCGATTGCCCACACCGTGGGAGGGTTCTTCTGGAGGTGCCTGAAAAGGAAATTGGATTAGAGGTGGTCCTAGTGACCCGGGAGCGTGACCGCAGTGCTCAAGGGACAACTGCTTGAGGTCCGTCACACCCGACCGTTTTATGAGTAGTTTTTGTGTTAGCTCCGTACTTGTTGAGACCTTACCGCTGGAGACGGATATCCGTGGAATAAGGCGAGGTGTGCATTTTTAGGGTCGACCTTTTCTAACCCCACCTCTCCTTGTGGGAAGGCAGCATCGCTGTCATGGTGGTTGTCTGAAGGTGTTATAAATCGCTTTTCTTACGGTTATGACCCAGCTATTCCTATTGCTTAGTATTCTCGGATACCGATTCAGTCGACAAGTCCCCAAATCAGAACACGGTTGAACAGGAAAGAGATTATATTCCAAATAACAAGGTTAGATGGAAGTAAGATGCAAGCCAGAAGCACAATAGAGAAAACGTCAGTATATTTATAGTTTTTTTACATGAGAAGATTCTAGAGTATTCTCCAACTATCGACTAGTGCTGATTGGATAAGAATTAGCCAATCAGCGTGCACCAAAGCAATCGTGAATTGGGCATGCTTTAATCCAGTCTATGTCCCGCTAACAGAAGGAAACACCTTACTGCTGTCACACCTCTGTACAGTCGGCAGTACGACTTCGCCTTCGGACCTTGAGGAACGGTTGTTCCGGGCAATATAGCTCGGTCGCTTCATCACGATAGGCAAACCCGACCACCACGTCAAGGTAGCAACAACGGTCGGGTTTCATAATATTAATCCAAAAGCTAAAGCGGAAAATCGATGTGTGATACTGAAATTCATATATGATTGCTCACTGAGCGTGGATAAATATGCACTTAACTCATAGACTGTCAAATATATGTGATTTCCTTCCCTTTCATTGATTTACTACTCTGAACTCATTGAGATACATTACTTGTAATTTTATTGAATCAAGTATTATCTAGATTGTACTTAGGTTTTCTATTCTGGTTTATGAATCCTGGATCTGATATAACATCGTGACACTAGTCTCATCGTACTAACATATCATAATATATATATGTGAAAGGGATAAAAGTATTTAAAACCATCCATTATACATCAAGAAAAAAACAATAACATTCCTGTCAAGTGATCTCTTAATTTATTGCTCTCAATGTGTTTAAAACTAGTTCAAAAACAAATAATACGTATACAATTAAAAGTACGTTAATGTACCATTGTATACATTTATGTGTACAATATATTTTAACTTGTTAAAATAAATCTTGAAGATTCTAACAAAGTTGACTGTTAAATTAACTTGATATTTGATATCTTTTCTCTACACAATAAGTTGCGAATGATTTTCGTGTAAAATTAAAAAATGTTCATTGACCAAGAAAGATTATATGGTAAATTCAGGTATTTGATGATGAAACTAATAATAAAATACTTCATGGAATAGATTTCACTTGATTTTATGTGATAGCCTAATAAATCTTCAAGGTTTCAAAACATATTGTACTGATCAACTTGACCTTGTTCGATGAAGTGTTTCCGACCGTAACTACTATCTCGAAGTAGTGGTCGGAATTACCTATCGTAACGACGCAGTCGAGCTATTTTAGCTGGAACACTTATTCTTTTAGGTCATATCATTCCGAGCAGGTCGGTTGGGGAGCAGTAAGGTGAAAAGCAGAAAACTTAAGATTTGGAGGCGAAATTGCACTGCTGACTGTACTGAGGGGTAAAAGCAGTAAGGTGTTTCCCTCAGATAAGCATCATCTGCATACATACTTCATTCTTACGACGAAAAAATGGCGTTAAAAGGTTAGCTCCATAAATCCCATACCTCACGGATTTCTGTGGTCTTTTGAAACGCGGAGCTAATACTCTAAATTTCTCACGGAAAGTCGTTTTCTGATTTTTGGGCCCCCAAATGCCCTGATACGGCAGAGAGTGGGGAGAGTCCGCTCACCCTCTCGAAATGCCCACATGGCCACGCGTATATAGCCTCTGCCAGGGAAGTCCTACTCACTGCCTCCTCGTGGCGGCGGCGTTGTTTACGAAATTGACAGGACGAAAAGCGAATGTCCGGCGCATTAACCGGGCTATTGGACATGGAGAGTCCATCTAGGGGAGTTGGAAAACCCTGATTCCAACTAATGGTGCACATGGGCTCCAATATCCTAAGGGAACATATGGTGTATGAACCATTCTTTGTTCACCGGCTGCTGTGGGACTGCATCTCCTGACGTTGCTCCATTGCCTTGTGGTTTAGACCTTTAGGTCGAAGGCTCGGGGTGTGGCCTCCTAAGAAAACCGACTGCTTCTGTCCGGGCACCCTGGCAGTATCACAGCCCTCACACAAATCCAATGAGATGTGTATGGCGTATATGTATTTGGTGCCTCGTACCAATATCTATGTGTTCAAATAATTAAGAAATAAATAATAATAATAATAAGATTTTTGGGCTGTGCAGTCACGCTCCCAGGTCACTGCGACCAAATTTAATCCAGTTTCCTTCTCAGGTACTTCAGTATGAAATATCCTTTCACATTTTTGGGAACCGGTAAGTGATAAACTCTTTCATACCTCAACCCTAGAAATCTTGTTTACGATCAGATGTGTCTAGTTAGTTTTCGATTTTCATTTAGGAACGTTCTATTTATTGATATATTATGTTTTATATGTGATTTCATATGCGTGATATGTGCAAATTAAGTATAAATGTATCAAAATCTTACTAGAAGGAGTCGATTTTCAAATGTACTCGGTAGTTGGAGCTCAGTTTTAATAATAAGGTCTAGTAGTTAATGGATGATATTGCAACGTCATAATCCCTAGGTCCATTTCCAACTAGTTTCTGCTTAGCAAGTTTGCCCTAGAGAAATTAAGAGGTTAACATATTCAAGAGATTTATTGACAAAATTTTTATTACTTGAAAGAAAGGTTATTACTTTGAAAGCACTCAACGAATGTCATACGTCTTTCCAATATACCCTAAAAAAGTAAATCACGTCTAAGATTTCGATTTTAGCTCGTTTAGTCACAAGGTAAAACAAAATGAGACGATAATGACAACCACTTACGTTAAATGGAGAGATGATGAATTTAATGGTTTTGTCTCTGTGAACAGTAAGAGAAGTCTGATCCGTTCTTTCACTACATGCGTCTTAAAAACATACATAGAAGAATTTCAGGCCTTCAAAAATGACTTTTTCTGAATAGTGGTTATCGTTAACCGATCTTAAGTAAGCCCCTATACTAATTTATTATCATGTGCTGACTAACGACTGGCTTTATGATGTGATTCGTGGAGTTCTCGCGCGAATCTATGACCACTAGAGCTTAATTCGTGTCGGGTGTAAGACAGTTATTCACTACAAACAATAAATGAAGGTTGTGCAATATTGTGAGTTGATTGAGGTTATACATTAACACTGTCGGTTACCGGTTCAATGATCTATAGGTTAAATGTTCGCACCCGAGACCGAAAGTCCTCGATCTGATTCCAGGATGCGCGGGTATGTGAATGTATATTGCTAAGCAGTCTTATACTAGGACGAAATCGTCTTTTAGTCTCTACATGTTCTCAATGGTGGTTTAGCTAAGATTGGTTTGAGATTTAAGCTATATAAATCTGAGATCACTCAAAAATGATCATTTTGAACTCAAGGATGATATTATGGTTCAACTTGTTAATTGCTTGGAAAGTTTACTAAGACGAATATTCTATACAACCGCTTGTTATACTAGCCTCTTACTGGTATGCATCTGAGTAAAGGACAAAGTACACTGGATATGTGAATGTGACTTGTTTAGCATCTCTTATGGAACTATGTGCATAGGTCATTTATTGACATATATCCAATGCGTAGAAGAACACTTCCGATTGTGACTCAGTAAAGAATAACCCATAATTATTGATTTTCTTATTCTCCTTCATGTATTTGACCGTAGTCACATAATATTGGCTAGATCTTTCGATGTGTTTTTTTTATAAGAGATAGATCTAGCCTAGTCTGTCGAAATGTGTACTCATGTATTTCTATTTACTCTACAGATATACTTTAACAGCTAACAATATATGCTTCTTATTATTCAGTATTTACCTACTCATCTGTCCGGCATAGACAGTTTTGTCTATTTAACTTCATTTTTACGTTCTTAATGTTCGATCTAGTATTACTTACTTGCTTGCCCAAATCACAAATAAATGAAATGTAAACGGAGGGAAGTTTGTACCTGTGACTTAGCGGTAAGATATCAAACACCTTAACCAAATAAGCAAACATTTCAAAGTTATTAATCACATTTTATTCATCGTATATAATACTTTTTTCACTTTTCTATTATCTATCTAAATTAACTAGGTCATCCAGAATACATAGAAAGTGTATATAAAACATTACGATATGTATATAAAGATGAAGGTTTTATTCATGGATTATATAAAGGTTTATCAGTGAATTGGATTAAAGGGCCAGTAGCTTCAGGTATTAGTTTCACTGTTTATCATCAATTTCAACATTTACTTCATCAATGGATAATAATTAATGAATAATTTTTCTTCTTTTCATCATTGATAATTATTATTTTCTTTCGTTACCATCTATTTATTAAACAAGAACCAAATTATTATGGATATTACATCATAAATTCTTATGATCTCTCTCTAAACACGATACATATTTGTTGTTGCTAAGACGTAGTCTGAGCTGTTATTGTTGTTGCCTGTTTTTTTTCTAGTTGTTTATTAGTTTTTACAATATGCATTTGTTGACCGTCTATCATATCCAATTATGTGTTCATGAGTTGTATTGATGTAGTGAACAAGAACACCAGTGAAGACAATCGGATGTATTTAACACAAAATTACAGGACTTGTTGATAAAATCTAACAATCATAAAGTTAATGCTTAATTTGCAAAATGTCCACTGAGTGTCTCAAAATGACTCATACTACATTGTTCTTGCATTTTCATACAAATTGCATCGTGTTTCCATTCTTTACTGTTCGATCCTCTTGTCTCTCTGCTACCAATCCTTCTGTTCACGACTAACATCATATACTACTTATGTCAATATAAGTAGCACACACCACATTGATAGCAGTGGTAGTAGCAGTAACTGAAGGCTATCTCTTATTATCAAGTTATACACATTTTAAATCGTTACCATTTTTGTAAACTAAAGATAATGACTATCTTTGTTTATTGTACGCTTATTTTGAATATATTTTACAAAAAGAAACTGGCTAAAACTCAACTCTCGGTTTACATTTGTAAATGATTTGCAAATATTACTTGACTTTTTACTCTTTTTTTATCTTGTCACTATCAAAATAGAAGTTTTTCTTGTTTTCTGAGTTTGTATTTTCTGCTGTCTTTTGTCTTTCATTTTTTTTAGCTATTAGATCAATGTATTTCAAATACTCTCACACATCAACAGATATACACACACACACACTCACAAACTTGAAGTTGTACAGAGTACTTCAAGTTCCTTCTCTATTAGATATTGACTATCCTGTATTACCTAATTATTTTATATTTTTAAAATAAAATAATGTACATTTGTAGAATAATCTTGAATTATTTATTTTTGTGCTGTTACTTATTATTTACCTCATTTTTATCCACTGTGTGTTTACTGCTTAATTTATCTGCTATTACTCGTGCTACTTGCATCGAATTAAGTAGCTTAGATTGTTCTACATTATTTCTTTTTCGTTTACTTTGGAAATTTAGCTTAATTATTTACGCCTTTTTTCAATGTTCTCTATAGCACTTTTTTGCCTTTCAGACAGAATATACATTGTATTACATTAACCATTTACAAATATAAGCTGGCAATATTGTGTAAAGTACTTGTGTGTGTGTGTTAGTTTACATATTAGAATTCTCAATAAATTATTTCATATTGTGTTTGTTTCTTTTTCCTTCAGTACTTTTTCCGTAGTATTTGCAGAAAGATTTCTATGTTCAGAATCACCTTTCAACAGATGTGATCAGGTATTTTAAATAGAAATAAAAGTTTACTTGGTTCGTTATTTCATTTCATTCTAACAATCAATGTAGTTGATGATTCGTAATGATTAAAATTAACAATGTAAACTATCTATTAGTTAAGTTATGAGAGTTTCAGTGATTTCTATCATCGATTCTTTTAATTTAGGGGAAAAATTATGATTATTACTATGGTAAATGTGATAGAATTTATTAAACTGACATTGTTTCTAAAGTCGTATGATCGATAATCACTAGTCACTAAAACGATCACCAATGAAACTATTCAAACATTAAACCTTATCAGTAGATATAAAGTGTCTATGTAAAGCATTTGAAAAGTTTTGAATTGGTAATGTACAAAGATAAAGAGGAAATTGTGTATGAACTTGCTGTAGTGAAACTTTGTTTTGAAGATGCGACTATTGATATTTTTCCCATTACCTCGTGAATCAGAAATATTAGCGGTATTGATGTATGAGGAAGACGGTAGGAGACTTTAAATATAATCTTGCAAAGTTTTAACTATTTCCTGGTTCATAATAGGGTTAGTAAAGAGTCGGGATAAGAAATTTTGGTTAGAGTTTTCATCACGAGCTGACATCACCTGTGACGGAAAAATCCCAGATGAATAGATGAATCTCGCTGACGAATTTCAAAAATGTTATCTAGAACCTGATTGGTTTGTTTTCATACTTTAATTTCACCGAAATATTGATCGGACGTTTGGGAGGTGATATCTTAATCACTTAACATCTTTGATATAATCTCTGGTATCAGATGCGTTATTATGTGACGTAAATAGGGGTTTGAGAGTGTTTATCACTTTTTTAGTGCTTCTCAAACATAAACACCTAATCCAATAATCTGATCTATTGAAGATATTGTATTGTCTGTTTTCTTACATTCATTCTCATTTGAATTTCATCATGTATCTAGCGATTATTTAAAGGTTCAATCTGTTTTATTTCTTAACGCTCTCTTTCAATACAAGCTGGGTTAAATATTATGGAATCATTTGTAGCATTTAAGCTTTCATCCTTAATTTTTTACAAATTGATTTACAATGGAAAGCAAACAGTTTTGACTACTAAATTTTTTAAAAGACTTTCTACTGAAGCACTCTGTACTGTTGAAACTCAACTGTGAGATTCTTTTCATCTGTTGGTTGCAAAAGTAACTTCCGTGTGTGCTCATTTGGAGATCCTCTGGTACCAGGTTCGGTTTTAAAGTAAAAAAAACTAAGAGTTAAACTTGAAGCTTCGTCATCTGACCAGACCTCAGTTGATAGCCATCAACTCTGACATGCAGGTACATCCAGTTGGCGAGTCCCGAATAGGACGAAACGCGCGCCATGGATTTCACTTCTAGCCACTATCCATCTTTGCTTAAAAAGCTTATGACTTAAGGCTCTATCGAGGCGATCCGCACAGGATTCACATATGCCAACATGAGACTGATCAATTGCAATCCTAAACAACAATGTGAAGATTCATGTAAACAATACCAAGTGAAGTTACACTTATCATTTTAATCATCTAAGTATTTGTAAAGTACACTTCATATATGTGTTTTCTTTGATTATTTCAAAAGAGTGAGTAATTTATTTCAATGAGAATGAAGAGTTTTCACTAATATGATCGCAATACTTATTGGATAATGAATATGAAGTAGTTATCTTTAAAGTCTTTAGGTCGATAGATTCTATCTATACAAGAGAAAAATAAATGACATTATTATTATCTATCAAGAAAATCGTGAACTTAAAGGTATCCTACATGAATTCAATACTTGTTTAGGGTCAATTATTTTGAAGCTGGAGTTGGAGATGAACTCGGAATATCCATTCCTTGATATCTTGTTGAAGAAAAAGATGAATAGTTCTCTACAAATATAAGTATATGTAATGCTAACCTAGAATAAGCAATATACAGATTTTCAAGTTGAATGGCTTTGGTTTGAACGACAAACTTAATCTACTCTCTATCTTTGAAGATCAGATTAATTTACATCGAGGACGCTATCAATGACGAATTGAATGTAATCCTTTCTCAGGTTTATTAAAAAAAGTCTAATACCCAAAAGTAAGTGAAAAAACGTCATTGGTGATGAATGTTAAATCTAAAGGCAATGACACAGGAATTGCTAAAAAAAGATGATTAGCAAAATCATTATCAAAGAATCTATGCTCTGTAGACCTTCGAAATACCTTCGCGGACCGACTAGTTATTCAACGATATCTTAATAATAAATTTTCACTTTGACTCAACTTAGTATGTTTATCAGTTCACTTGGTCTTGTGGAGCAAGTTATATAGGCTACACAAAGTGTAGTGCAATTTGGTTGGCTGTTGCGCAATCACTATAATTTTGTAATATATTTTATTATTATTATTATTATTATTATTATTATTATTATTATTATTATTATCAGAATAGGGGTTTATGGAGATTTTAGTAATTTAATAGTTGAATTCATGAGTCGATGTAAGCTAGACCATCATTGAAAACCTGGAAGTACTGAACGCCTGTTTCATTCTACTATGGGACTCATCAATGGTGCTCACTCATGAACCCGCATCAAAGGGACGCAAATTCACGACCTTCTGTCTCAAGCACAAATTCTTAAACTCTAGACCACTGAACCGACATCTAACGGTGTTAGTGTCTAACTCCCACCAATCCATGATCTTGCTCAACTATTCATCCATTGTCTGTAGCAGATACCTGTCTGTACCCAACACAGATTGGACTCCACTGGTCACGGCATGGGAGATTGTGGATGTACACTGTTGAGGAGTCCCATACTACAAAGAAAGGGCCGTCCAGTGCTTCCAGATTTTCAGTGGTGCTCTAGCTTACATCTACTCATGAATTCAATTAATAAACTACTACCATCTCCAATAACCCCCATCCTGGTAATTTTTTTTGTCTAATGCAACCTCAAATTTTCATTTTATTGACTTCTACATATGAGACTCATTTTATTACAAATATCCTTTTTTATTTAGATAGATGTAAGTCACAACCATCATGCATAATACCGTTTTCTTTGTTATATTATTCGAGATAGCTATCTCATTTCGTACTTCCACTTTAAACTCAATAACCAAATTCTATAGATCTTTTGTTTCTAGCTTTATTATTCATGATAAATTTATGATATTTGTAATTGACACAAAGCCTTCGAAATTTGTTCTAATGTTAGAAAGTATAGTTCTATAGAATAACTTCGTTTATCATCCTCCAATATGAATCAGTTCATTAGTTAATATGCAGTGAAAGTGATATATTATGGAACTTCTACTAATCCTAATCTATAAAATTTAGAATAGTCAATATTTAAGATTTACAATGTACTTAATATTTTTACATTCAGCAATTAAAAAGAATGAAAACAAAAAAAAGGAACTAGTCTCCATCAATAATAGAGTATACTTTAAAACATTTCAAGTAAAACTGAAGATAAACGATATATATATATATTCATTTCAAAACTTCGATTTGTTCTTCCATCTATGAAAAGTGCTTATTACTTTGACAAAAAGGTTTTCTGT